GGTATATAATTCTATGTGTATAGGTATATGATTGTATATGATTATATATGTATATACGTCGGATTTACATACAAACATCCAAACATAGGTTCTTTCAATGGCTTTGTGGCTGATTGTATTGGACAAGTCCTGAAAATTGGAGACTACATAGATGTCACTCTAATTAGTGGACAGAGTATCTGGGCGTGATCTCTAGCCCACAGACCGAAAGGACAACACATGCAGTGCTGCTATTTCACACTGCAGATAGTTGACAACTAGACCAGAATAACTATGCAACTGGATGCTTGCAGTTGGAGTGACCTATCTCTGCAAGGAGTCCTAACCACCACCTTTTTCTGAGAATACCTGCCCCGTGTAGTTTCCAAGATCTTTAACAATGCCGTTGCTTGGGAGGATCAGGAGCGCTCCGTGCAATTTCTGGGATCCCATATGACTAAGACTATAGCGGAAGGAAGTTTAGAAGTCAAACTTTCGACAATATGGACAGATGAAAAGCAGAGATGGGAAGAGTCAGAGAAGAGAAGAGAAGAAGAAAGAGAAAGCCTCAGAAGAAAGAAGATCCAGGTGCGCGAAAAGGTAGGGAAGTCGCGAAATGCTGCGTTTTTGTAATGATTTGTGGCTCCGGAGGGTCGAAAAGTAGGCTCCCTAAAGCGGCGGGTGCGGAGCCAGCTGGCCAAATGAAAGATTAAAAATTGCACGCGGTTGTGGCGAAAAGCACATTTGCAAGTGAAAGAGCTAAAAACACCTCACGTTCGGAGCACTTTTGGAAGTTGAGATGTCGAAAAAGTGCACCCCGTTGTGGCCCGAAGCACATTTCGAAGTCAAAATGTACAAAACACACCAGCCTCGGGCCACTTTTTGGAAGTTGAGATGTCGAAAAAGGGCATGCCGTTGTGGCGCGAAGCACATTTCCAAGTCAAAAAGTACAAAACACACCAGCTCCGGACCACTTTTGGAAGTTGAGATGTCGAAAAAGTGCACGCCGTTGTGGCGCGAAGCACATTTCGAAGTCGAAGTGCAAAAAAATGTGGGGTACGGAACACTTTTTGGACGTTCAGATGTGGTTTCGCGTGGCACGCGCAAGGGATTGTGCACCTTGTCAAAAGTAAGCAAAACAAGTGAAGGTTTTGTAGCATTTCCAAAAACGATGGCAGGCATGGGACGTTTGAAGAGGATCTGCAAAGATGCATTTTCCGTGGCAGGCGCAGTACAAGAGCCATGTTCATCAGAGATGTTAGGAGGTCCGGGCGCTGATGTCCTGAGAGGGGTTGCATGTTGGAGCATTAGATCTTCAGTTTTCAGAAGATGATTTTGCGTGACAGGTGCAGCACTTCGTATGACCTGGCCTCACTTTTTCGTGGCAGGCGCAGTACTTTAGACAGGTGGAGTGGAAAAATCGCAAAACGCATTGGTACGAGGCCGTCAGCTCTGCACTCAACTTTCCATTTTTGAAGGATGTCTCGCAGAATTGCGTCGTTTTTGATGTTGTCAAGTTCAAAAGTTGAGGACGTCTCGCAGAATTGTTTCGTTTTTGATGTTGTCAAGTGCAAAAATTGAGGAAGTCTCTCAGAATTGTTTCTTTTTTGACGTTGTCAAGTTCAAAACTTGAGGAAGTCTCGCAAAATAGCTGCATTTTCAAGCTGGACAGATAGATAGATAGATCGATCGATCGATCGATCGATCGAACGATGGATGGATGGATGGATAGATAGATAGATAGATAGATAGAAAGATAGATAGATAGATAGATAGACAAGTACAACTACCACTGCACTACCCTACACTACTTCCACAACTACACATACAAATTTACTATGCTATGTTACACTATATACACTAATTACACTACACTACATTAATTACAGCTAATTACACTACACTACACCAATTACACTAACAACTACAACAACTACTACTACCACAACTACAACTACAATTACACTACACTACACTAATTACACTGCAGCACACTACAAATACAACCGCAACTACAACCACGCTACATTACACAACACCACACTATACTGATTACATTGCATTACACAACAACTACAACTGCAGCTGCAACTACAACTACAACTACCACTACATTACACAACACTACACTACACTACACATATTGCACTACACTACATTACACTACACTACATCACACTACACTACACTACACTAATTACATTGCAATACACTACAACTACAGCTACACTACACTACATTACACTGCACTAAACTACAACTACAACTACAGTACCTGACACTAGGCTACACTACACTATACCACACTACACTGCACAACACTACACTGTCACTACACGACATTACGCTGCACTACACTACACTAATTACACCACACCACGACTACAACTGCAACTGCACTTGCAAATACACTAATTACACTATATACATTACAGCTATAGCTCCACTACACTACACTACAACTACTGCTATAACGGCAACTACAACTGCACTACACCACACTACATCCAGCAGTTGTGGTGAGGTGACAACTGCAACCATTGCAACCGTTCCAAAACACAACTCCAACCACCTGTCGGTCCATCAGTGGATTCGCTCTGCCATCCGTGATTCGCAACAACCAACCTCTCCTATTTTTGAAACTTCCGCCACCGCCTTGTGCGGTACTACTGGTATACTACAATCTACTGAACGATATAAATATATATATATATATATTTGTATCTGTATATATATATATATATGTATCTATACATATTATGTATGTATGCATGTATAAATATATACTGTATATTATATATATATATATTATGTATATATATATATACATATTATGTATATATATACATATTATGATATATATATATTATGTATATATATACATATTATGTATATATATATACATATTATGTATATATATATACATATTATGTATATATATATATATATTATGTATATATATATATACATATTATGTATATATATATATACATATTATGTATATATATATATATATTATGTATATATATATACATATTATGTATATATATATTATGTATATATATATATATACATATTATGTATATATATATATACTATGTATATATATATATACATATTATGTATATATATATACATATTATGTATATATATATATATATATTATGTATATATATACATATTATGTATATATATATATATATTATGTATATATATATATATATTATGTGTATTTATATATATTATGTGTATATATATATATTATGAGTATATATATATATTATATATATACATAATGTGTATATATATATATATATAATGTATATATATATAATGTATATATATATATTATGAGTATATATATATTATGTGTATTTATATATATATACATAATGTATATATATATACAGTATATATTATGTATAGATATGATATACGCAATGCTTTCACCCAACCTTTCCAAATCCCCACCTCGGTGTCGCCCTCGGCAATCCTCTGCTCGATCGCGTCATCGAGGTCATCAAAATCCATCGAGACGACTGCTGCGTCGACGGAGCGTCTCCCGTCGGCTTGTTGCGATGCACGGACAAAATGCTGCGGATTTCGGAGGTGTGGAAATCACGAAATGGACATGATATGATGTACAGTAATATTATGTGTATATATATATATATAAGGAATGCCAGTATATTAAATAAAATACTACAACGCTCGCTGGGCATAAGTTCGGTTTGGAAATCATCATGGAAATGATCATGAATCATGGTTTTGGAAGAGGTCAAACCTGGCCATTTGGAAAAAAAACGGGAAACAAAATCCAGGGTGAAGAAGTTTTGGAAGATCTGTCTAAATCCTTTTCAGACGGAAAGTGGGTGGAACTAGCCCCTTCAAGAGCAGTCGAGTGTAAAGACCAAATTGATAGACCAAAAGTCAAAGGCTCCAAAAATGCGGTATATATGGATATGGTATGGGTCACGAGTCATGAGTCATAACTCTCAACTGAGGGAAGCACCAATGTTGGCATGTTAATTCATGTTGTGTAGAAACAGTCTATAAACCATCGCATATCTATCCATGGAAAACCCAATTATAACATATTGGAATACCATCCCATACCAAAGTGACTGGACCTGCGGAAGTTTGGACTGCTTCCCCCATCAAGTTGTTTTGGGATTCCAGGAAGTCCCAGGTAGGGATGGGAAGTAACACTGAAGCACCCTGGTCAGATCTTGATCCTATGTGTCACATAAACTGTTTTAACATATATATATATATACGTATAAATATTATGGGTGTGAATTGTCAGAGAATTCCAGTCATTCTATCTCATTGCCGAGCATACTCTGATCCATTGCCAAATGGCTGGCTCCCGACGCCATCAGAAACACCACAGCCAAGAGCCCCACATTGCAGCTTGCTGGCGGCGACACCTGCTGATATATCCACCATGAATCCTATTAACTTGACTACCAGCAGAATCAAAAGTAAAGAAATCCGAAATAAAACGTTTGGAAATAGGGTAAAAAGCTGTCTGATACCTGGGACCCCTGATGCTCCTGCATTCCAGTGACTCAACCCAACCCTACCGTACGATCTGTCGCATTCTGTCACCCCAGGGGGTCCTCCAAATACCAAAGAAAAATATCAGATTCTGAGTTCAGAATATTTAACTCGCTTGGGTCGCAACAGTTCTTGGTAACCCTGGGAGCAAATGGAGGTGCGCAAGCCAGTGCGACCTGCTCTACTGGATGGGACATATCGACAAGGTTTCTTTTAATACTTTCTCACATGAACTGGGGCCATGTGAATAAAGTGTGTAAAAAGTCCATCATATACCATGTATTGTCTGTTACTGTCTAGTAGTTCGCGAACGAACGCCAAGCATCCCATAGGCCATAGGCATAGAGTCATACAAATTCCCGGAACTCCCCATGAAAATCGAGATGTTGGTCATTTGTTCCCATGGGTTGCTCCACTGGCTACGCAGGACACTACTTTTCCACCGCCAGATATGCAGGTCGCTACTCCTGGAAGCAGCGCGGTGACCCATTGACCAAAGTGGGAATTGCGGACCCAACTTTGGGAGGGCTAAGTTCAATCTCAGGCTGAACTTGTTGAACACAACATGACAGTTGCAGTCGAAAGTTGCCAAATCTCCCATAAAACTGGTGGGTTGCATCTGCCACTTTGGTCTATGTGTCTTCATTTAGGGCTAGAAAAGTCCTAAAATTGTGGTGTTGATGTGGGAAAATCAGGTTTTTCCCTTTGGGGATGTGTTTTTCTTGCTCCTGGGGCGCGACCGCCCTAGTTGTCTGCGCCCAGCGGTGCAGACTCATCGCAGCCTGAAGCCAGCGGATGGGAAACATGGAGCCAGGGTATCCATGGCTATCCTGATCCTATTTTAGACAAGCTCGGTTCATTTTGTGCGCTGATTTCTTAGGGTTTGGAGCCAAGTCCACATGGATTCAATCTGCTGAGCAAATTTCAGTCAGTCGAAAAACTCTTTGCCAAGCTGATCACATGAAAATTTTCGACCCCAAAATCAGTGTTTTTTCCAAAGTAACCAGCCTGTAGCCACTCCAACATCATCTCAGCCACCTCGGTGGATCCCAAAAACTGCAGCATCTTGTGGCATTCACAAAATCTTTCCCAAAAAATGTGTGTGCGTTCTGTCTCAGAAAATCCCATTGTTGTTTTTCAATCTTCACCAAGCGCAACCAATTTTTGCCCTGACCTCCGCCTCCTTGGTCTCTTTGACAATGGACAGATCTTTGGTGCGCTTCTCCAAGTCGTCCAGCTCCTGATCCCGATCGAAAAATGGCAATGGGGTTACAATGGGCTCTTGGGAGCCTTTGTAGAGATATCATCGCCCCTTGTCATTGGATGTAATTGGGATCTATGTCGTATAGCCACCTTACTTTCCCAGCAGGATCATCTGAGTTCGATCAGAATGGAGGTCTCATTACTGCTCATGGGGTAAAAATAGAAGTGGCTGGAAGCCATTGTTACATGAATACGTATTTATAATTAATTGTTTCCAGCTACTTAGTAGGTGGGATGATCACCCCTGCGCCACGCGTATCCCAATCCCTGCTGGAAAGAAAATGACCACTGAGTGGTGAACTGTATCTCTTGTCCACCAGATCCATCCCTGCACATATTTGCTAGTGTTAGTTCAGTCCCTGATTGTCAAAATTCCCTCAGTTGTTTGGTTCCCAATTTCTGCGAGTTTTATCCAAATTAGTTCCTCCATGACGTATTCCCTAATACCCTTGGAGCTTGCGCTGCACCCGGCCTCGGGTGCCATGTAGTTCAGGTCACTCATGCCCACCAGCTTGAAATCCGCCTGGAAGTTTGAGGGCTGGCCAGGAAAACATCGCTAAGAATTCATGTAATTAGCTGAGACAAGATCTAATGAATGTCCAAAAATTCAGGGATCCCAACCATTGCGCCAAAAAGGGGGCTTTGGATGGTCTTTGGAATTCCATATTGTTGGACAAACCATGTGTGTGTCACAGGACCCACAGTATTCACGCAGTGACTGCGTTGTACTTGTAGGAGGCGGGAGGCGGGCGGTGAGGTTCATGCATTCACGTACAAAAGTGTTTGCGAATATGTGTATGTACAGGCTCATATACAGTATGTATGTACCTGTATATTCATTTCTATAATTTGAAGAGGGTGTGTGTGTGTGTAATATATATATATATAATTATATACATACATGTATACACTTTGTATACACTATGTATACGCTTTGTATACACTTGGTATACAATGTGTATACATCAGTATATGATATGTGTTTCTGTCTGTGTGCAATGATGTACTGACATGCATGAATGCACATGCATCTGTGTTGTACGCATATATCCAATTACATGTCCGCGTACCTACATATTGGTTAGATACATGTGAAAAAGCGTGCTGATAATATTATATATATATATACATGGTTCCGTGTCTCGCGTTCACGGCCCCCCCCCTCCCCCACATATGGTATGTAGGGTTACCCCCACTCCTCCACAGGGGGGGAGGGATACATAGACATATGCGTATACAGATACATATACATACCGTATACAAAGACATTTGCACATACACATACTACATACGTATACACACACATGTATGTGTATATATATATATATTTCTTGCATATATATATATATATATAACTTACATATACATATAGGGACCATCACCATCTCAGGGGGAAGGGGGGACCACCAAACGCTGGGCCATATGTATATATATTTTTTTGGCGCTGACTCACAGAAGCGATCTCCGCTGCGGCCCTAGCTGGTCTGTAAATTCATCCAGGTCCTTCCCTGGAAAAAGATGAAACAAAATGAGAAAAGCACTCAACCTGCGAAATCTGGTCCATAGGCATGGCCATAGCTGGTGCAGACCAGAGGCCCAAAGATGTCACGGTTTCGCAGGGAGACCTGCTGGGCAGGGTCTTCCGGGAGATCACCTATCGCCTTGAGGAATCCTCTGGCAAGTGCAAGACAAAGGCCAGGAGGATACTCCTTCAAGCGGGCCGTAGCCCAATTTCCTAAGGTGTCTTTCCCAATTGAACTGCCTTTGGGCACTTCCGTGGTGATACGGCCCTTGTGCAGTTCCATTTTTAATTGGGGTGCGTTGAGCACGCCCAAAGTCGTCGGTTTCGACGATTGCGCCCCCCACAAGCCTTGGGCTAGGGTGAAAGACTCACATTCAGGAAGCGCGAGCAGCAATTGCATGATGGGAGTTCGCCAGATAGAAGCATCATCTGGGTTAGGAGATTCTGCAGGGTGTTCAACCACAGCAATTCCTCCTGTGCATGCCAGCGCTGCCATAGCCACAAGCTGAAAGCCCATGAGAATGTTCCCAATGCTGACCTGTGCAAGCTCTCTCAAGGAAAGTGAACTTAAGCCCCATACCTCTTCAAGGGTTCGCACAACACGCGGTCCAGCTCTCTGGTGAGGATCTTCAGGTGAAAGTTGACGGCCCCTTGCACGAGACCAAGTCTCGCATGGTGGGCCCCCAAGCAGTGCCACGATCTGGTGGTCCAAAATCGCTGAGATCCAAAAGCGGCGCGTGTCAGCGTTGGAGAGATCTCCCCAGCGCTTGTCAATAACGATGTCAACCGAAATGACCTGGATGAGGAAGGTGCCATGTAAATCGTTAAGGCCATCCACAAAGAACTGAAAATCTCCTTGTCTGCGTCTTCCAGCAAAAAGGTGAAGGATGTAACGCTCTCGTGCAAATCCACGTGCTGGGCGCAAAACAGGTGCTCGGTTGCGTTGCTCCTCAATCTCACGGAGGCAGCATTGTTCTTGGATCGCGATCTCTTGGTGCCAGGGTGAATTCTTGTCACGGCCTTCAGCGGTCAGGAAGGGCCAAGCGGTAGAATCCATGTGCGTCCGAAAGAGTCCTCGTAGTGAGTCTCCCGCAACATGAAGGACCGCAGCATCTTCATCCGTGAAAATGTCCAAAAATCTGGTCAAAGTCGCCTTAAAGGTGTGCCAGGAAAGAGCGCGAGCATGAGCGGCATCCCGGATCATGGTCTCACACTCTTCAATGGTCGTGGCATCCAAGATGTCCAGAAAGATCTGCTCCAGGAGGTCCAGGTCGAAGTCTTCATCCGGTCGTCCTGGGGGAATCTCCTTTAGAGGTCCCTGTACCTTCAAGGGTGGAAGAAGTCCATCATGAATTGCTTCCATGCTCGCATTGATTTGTGAACCTGCGCCAGGTGCCGGCTGCCAGCGAAGTCGACTGGCCTGCAAGGTCTGGCGACAGGTAGCCACCTGCAGGAGATGCGTTTTCAACTTGGCAAACGTGTGGTACTCCTTCATGCATGCTCCACATTGTGTGGTGCCAAAAAGCTGCCGCACAGGGTTAACTTGGCCATGTACACGAAAAAGATGAGCCCCACATCCTCCTCGACTGAGGAAACGTTTTTTGCACATCATGCATGCATAAACCTGTGTAGCATTGGCAGCTACCGGTTTAGGAGCATCATGCCAAAGGCGTCCATGGGAATGTAAGGTCTCCAAAAATTCACCATGAAAACCAGCAACAATGTGTGCATTACGCATTTGCCCACTCTCATGATCGCCAGCACGCCGAATCAGCCGCTTCCAGTACCCTGGATGGTACTTCATGAGATACTCCCATTGTTGAAATCCTTCCTTCGGGTCAGGGAGCTTTGAGGAGTTCTTGATCTGCTGCCACATCCATGACAGGTCATTCCAGATCAGATCCTGCCACGCTTGATCATCATTGAAAAGCCCCCAGGAGGTGCTGTCGCCTGTTCTGTAGAGCTGGCCAAGATGACGGAGTCGGCAGATCCGCAAGAGAACTGCCGGATCAGGAAGGCCTGTTTCAGCCAGGATGGTGGCATCACTCCTTGATGTGGGTTGCACAGGTAGAAGTCGATTGTACAACCTCATCATAGCACTATGCAGGTAGTGTTTGTCTTTACCATCACGAAGTGTCCAAGATTCTGCCCCGTAAAGGAGCTTGCTCAGAATCAAGGTGCGGAACAACTCGCGCCTTCGGGTGAGGTCCAGACATCGATTTTGAAATAATAATCGTCTGTGGCGATTAAAAGCTGCATGAGCAATGCCGAGACGTCTACGGACTTCGCGGCGAAGATCTCCTCGATGATGGATTGTGCAGCCCAAGTGAGTATATGAACTCACCACATTGAGATGTTCCACTCCTCCCTCCAAGATGATAGGAAAAGTCTGTGAAGCGCAAGGGCCGTAGTACTTGAGCTTGGCTTTGGTGGCACCTTTGCCTTGGAAAACCATCATGAGCTCCGTCTTCCCTTTTGCTAAATTGGGACTCATGGCAAATTCTTCACATAATCCCAATAAAGCTCCTCCAACTCGTCCAGCAGTTCTCTCCAAGGATGAAGGAGACTCCTGTGAGAAAGCAACGCAGGTGTCATCCATCCAGGTTGGCCCCATGAAAGGCTTAGTGCCACTGGCTGCTGCTTCACCTCCTGGTGGTCTCAAACCTTTCTCATCCGGAAAACTGTCCAGGATGTTGGACTCCTTCATGATCTGCTCCAAGCGATGTAGCAAACGGGCCCAGAGAAAGGAGAAAACAATGTCAGCAAAGCAATCACCCGGTCTCGTTCCAAGGGTAGTCCTGCATGCATCCTGTTGGACGCCCACATAAAAGTGTGTGTCCGTGTGCAACGCTTGGAGGACTTTCTGAAGTTGCGGTGAAAGGCCAGCCCGCACGACCGCAGGGCGATCATCCAGATGTTGATGTAGAGCATGAAGAAGATCAGGCCCAAGCTGAAGACGGTTGCCAACTGCCGCAATTGCTTCATCATCCGGAAGGCCCCCAAGAGCAAGTTGACGAACTATGCAGTAGAATGCTTCCGTCAAGTCTAAGAACAAAAGGCCGACACACTGGTGCTGTCGGAGACGTGTTCTCAGATACGCCCTTGCTTGATGGACACCAAGAGTGACAGAAATTCCTCTCATGCCTCCTGTCTGCTGCAGCTGTAGGTAGTGCTCAAAGACATCAGCAGAGTGCAAACGCAAGCATCGATGCAAAGATTTGCCCACATGTGATGAAATGAGCACACTGCGATATGCAGAACAGGAGTCTCTAGGGCCTTTCTGCTTCCAAATGGGTTGAAGTCTCCCCCCTTTGTGCAAAAGACTTTCCTGTCCATGGGTGTAGAGCTTGAGTAACTGGCTGTAGGTCTTGCGTGCTACAATGGCCGGCGAACTCGCACAAATTTTGGCATCAATCAAGTCAGGGCCCGTGGCCTTCTGGGGCTTGACATGCCTAAACGCAGCTTCTAGCTCAACCAAGGATGGAACCTCTGTGATTTTCAGGTCAAGAAAGGTCGCCTGAAACTTCTGAAGATTCTGGACCCAAAGTTGATGTTGTTCCTGTTTGTCAACTCTTCTGCCTCCCTCCATATGTTGGAAAAAATGAATCCATGTGTCCAAAGCATGGGACGGAGATGTGCACGGTTGTCCAGTGGAATCCTTGATCAACGGAAGGGTCTGCTGCTTGATGGCCTTCAGATTGGTCGAGCCCACAACCTTCTTGAGTTCATGTAGAATCGAAGAGGCAGGTGCATCAGTAGGCAGGTTTTCAAAGGCATGCTTGAGATAGGCTGTCTTCCTTGCACGGAGCTTTGCCTTGAGCTGTGCTGCCGACTTATAATGCCTTGCCAAAAGTTTGACATTCGCGCATTGTAGCCAGCGACCATAGTGCCAGAAACGAGCCTTGTCATAGCCCGGCCGTGAGGTCCAGGATTGAAAGCATGCTCGTAGCAGCTCTATTCGATGATGTCGCGCTAGCTGTCGTAGCCCTCGTCTGGCGATGAGCTTCTGAGTGCGGAGATTCCATGTGGCTTCATCAATGCAGGGTTTCTTTGGTCTGTGCTTGGCATGGGGGCACAGATTCTGGAGCCGAGCAAGAAGATGACCATTGAATTGGGAAACTTGATCCTCAATGTTCTCCGTCCACGCAGGCACGACATAATCACCCAGAGCTTGTTCCACATGTTCATGCTGCACCAGGGTGAAGTCAATCCTGGGCTTGGAGCTCTGCGCACTGTGCGATTGGCGTAGTTCTTGCCAGTGAAGTTGGGGGGCAACGGCGGAGTGATCATGGTGACTGTTGCCAAGATCGAATTCGTCGAGGACTCTACTGATAGAACACTCACTCAAACAGGTTTGAGGGATCGCAATGTAGTCAATCATGTGTTCAGAAAGTCCATCAGGAGTGGTCCATGTGGTGTTTGTCCCTTCATGGCAAGATGCAGTGCAGGGTAAGCAAAGGTTCCGTTCCTGCAGGAATGTTCTCAGCAGTGGAGTACTTGAAGTATGACCACCGATGGTGCGAAATACTGAAATATGGTCAGCGGACCCTGGTCCTGCATTCGCATCCAAAAGGGCGAAAAGTCGAGCAGTCTGTGGGCAGGCCGCAGTGATCTGTAGCAGATGATCCCACCAGATTTGACGTTCTGAAAGAGCTACGCCGCTCTGAGGTGCATGTGCAACAAGAATCCAGAAGTCGACCCACTCCGTGACCACATGGATGAGCATGCTGCGATGGTCCTTGTGCACAACAACGAAGTGATGTGGTGCGAAGAAAATGGGCCCGTCATCATTCACTGCATAGGCTTGCTCCAGGTTGACCCATAGTTCAATGCCGTGCTGTCCATGAAGTGCTCCACTGGCAAAGCGAAGGATCTTGTCTGTTCTGGAGAAAAGCTCTGGAGTGCGAGTTTCCTGCAGGCCTAAAAAGTTGAGACAAAGCAGCTTGAATTGAGTGCGCAAATAATCAAGTTTGCCGGCATGTCCCCATTCTCCGTTGTACATTGAACCAATGTTCGCGCTGGCCAGGCTGATGTCAATCTTGGCAGCCCGGTCAGAGGTGAGTTCGTTCCCCTCGCATGTAGGTGTGGCAAGTGGAGAAGGTAGCTGAGGAGGAGGAACATGGAAGCCTTGAGAGCTCCATGATGGAAGTCCATCAGTTTGACTGAAGAGCATCCACATGTAGGGCAAAAAGGGGCGCCATAAATCCAGAGAGATCGCCTGTCGTTTGCTATAAAAGCTGCGACGTCGTTCTTCTCTGGCAAGCCAGTCAGCAAAGTCATTGTATGGATCCCCACAGTGTCCAGGTGTGTGCTCAACTTGTAGTCGATCTGGTAGAGCAGCTTCAAGTGCTTGGAAACAACTTCGTAGGCTCGTGAAGGAGGCATCTACATCTGCAGTGCCGATGTGGCCTTGGGCTTGCATTGCCGTGGTCCATGAATCCGTCCGAAACAGTGTGGGCGTGTCCACATTGTGCGCCAACCGCCAAAGGGCGGCCCAGGTCATGGCTTCACGTTCAGCTCCAAGAGATCCGACATAGGTGGAGCCAAGAAAGGATGGGCAATGGGGGTCGTAACGCACAGGATGCGTGAGCCACCCAATGACTTCCACGGCTGGATGCTGGTTCACAGATCTGTCGCCCAATACCACATAAGCCCAGGTGTCTCCATTCCCATTTTCCTCGTTCCAAGCTGCAGGACGATGTCTGTGGAGAGGGATTGAGGATCCATCCGTGTAGATGATGAGGCGATCAAACCGAGCAAGGTCTGTAGTGTCGCTGATCAACATAGCCTGTTTTGTGGTTTCAGGCAAATCCAGACCAGTCGGATCTCGGCATAATAGATCATCCCCAGACTTGAAAAAGTCGTCAATGTCCTGCATGGTGATGCCAAGCTTGATGAGGAAATTCTTATCCTCGTCTGGATGTCGGCTCGGATCAAAGAACGGTCGATTGTGCCGTCCATGGTGGGATAATGCCGGCCATGGCAGAGGTTTCTTGATTCGACCTTGTTCTGTCAAAGGCTGCTGGACAACATCCAAGAAGAGAACACGAAAAACCTGAGGCAATAATTCCTCCTTGTCCAGGATGGCTGCTCTACAATATCCAAGCTGGTAGAGAAGCTGCATGAGGCCAAGTTCATCAAGAGGCATGTTCGACGTGTGCAAGAAAATGCCCTCATTGTCCTTGACGTCCTCATGACAGAACATGTAATGGAACTGATTCACTTGAGCAGTCCATTGCGCAGGAAAGCACAAGGCTTCATGGCGATGTCCAAAACGAAGGGCTTTGCAGTCAATGCCCCAGTGCGTAAGCTCAGCTTCTATATCAGCAGGAGCACCCGGCGCTGAACATTCAATGTACTCTGGTACTATGAGTTGATCACAGCCTGAACGAAGTCGAAGAGCCACAGTGACAGGTGCAACCGAAGGGGATGATGCCTCTTCATGTAGGGGTGCGAATCCCTCATCACTGCTATGGTCATCACGCTGAAGCAGACTGGCCAACTGTAGAAGAATTGGACTTCTCATCGTGTGATTGACAGTGGTCGCGGTTGGTCTGGGCTGTGGAATGGGCTGAGTCCGAAGGATGATACCATATCCGGAGCGTCCCGGTATGGGTCTGCCAGAATGAAGGGGGACTGTACCATACCATCCTTCACATTGCAACTGAGCGCGAGGCCCAAGACAATGATCATGTAGTCCATAGACTCTCATAAGATTGTCAATGAGAATGTGCTCATGAGTGGTGATGGCAAGTTGTCTCATGGCAGGGCGTCGCCCTCGTCCTCGCGATTCAATCAATGTGACCACGCTGGTGACCCAAACTGCATTGGGACGCTGCACCAGCACAACATGCGTTGCAACTTCCTGTTGGACCGTGGGCGGCTTTGGATCAACAAGGTGCAATTCAATCACCGCGCCCTCAACAATGTGGTCCGCTCAGGTTCTCCTGATTCTGTCTTCCCAGGTATGAAAATCATCATAAAGATGCACAATGCGCGCAGTGCGACCATGTGGTGCATGCCATTGATGATCGACGAACCATACTAAGATGGGACACGAGGGGGACTCATCCTCCCAGGAAAACGCTGCATCTTGCCAAATTGCATGTAAATCCTGGGTGAATTCTGACATAGAGCCAATTTCCCATGGTACGCCAGGAACAAAAATGGGAGCATCAGCATTCAGTTGTGAGGCATCACAGTCAGCAACCTGGGGAGGAGCGGCATGTGTCCCTGCGGGGGCCAATTGAGGCGCTCCAGGCTGTTGCATCAGACTGTTCTCATCAACGATCTGCCATTCAGCGGCATGAATTTCAACATGAGTGCCATGGCGTGGAAAAAGTGGTCGATCATCATCAATGGGATGGCTGCCAGAAAAGCCGACACACAACAAAATACGTCGTCGACACGCATCAAGAAGGTCAGCAAAATGTAGGAACCTCTGAAACGAGAGCCAATGCGGAACAACCTGGGCAAAGCGGCTTCCTAATTCACTCTCTTGTCCATGCCAAAAGACACTAAGCAGAGTTCCTCGCACCGATGGTCCCAGGTTTTGATGGATGATCAGATGGCCTCCATGTTGGTCAGGCGTGACCGGTGGGTAGACCAGAGCCGTCTGAAACTGTGTAGCTGGATCGGCACGATCTCGCCATGTTTGCCGAAAAATGGCGTCCCACCTTTCAGGATCAGCAGGAAGAGCAACAGTCCTAAAAGCATCACATCGTGGCCAAAGATCTCCATTCAGGAACCATGTGACAAATTTGACGTGAATCTCACCATCAATCGTGTCCGTGGCAAATGTGGAGGTAGAGGCCGCTCGCCATGAGTCAAGAATGTCTCCTTGATGATCAGGAAATCGATCAGTTACTGGCGCTTCCTCTGGATGGTCCTCAGGAATGGCTAGAGGTGTCAGAGAAGGACCAGTTTCGTCCTCCTCAAGGAGGCGCATCGATGTGGCCAGACATCTCTCTAGTACTTGAGCTTGTGAATGCAAAGAGGTCTGCTTGGAATCAGGAGTCTGAATATGCCAGTGGTTTGTCCAAAGTTGGATATCATCCACATCATCCTCAGCTCGAAGTTGAGTGACAAAGCTGGTCAATTCAGCCTCTGTTCGCGTACGCAATTGGACCCTCAAACCAAGGCCATTGTGCAATCGTAAAGGTTGATCATGATCCTGGATAATGCTGCCGACCAAAATCTCGCATCTCATCGTCTGTCGATTTCTCTGCTGTGTGCAAAGGGTAGTCAGCCCAGCGCTATGCAAGAAGACCGCAGAAGTGCAAGGTGTGGCCAATGAGAGGGCAATTTCATTTTGGGAAGAATGGGCCTCCAGCCTAGGATGGGAGACCAAGCAGGCCACTCGCCCAGGTTGTGGATGTTGTACCACCAGTACTGTCGCGACGGTGCCAGAGGTAGGTCTGGAAATCGGCTCAGGGGCAACGAAGAACAAGTCAAAGGCAGAGTCATCCATGAAATCTTCCCACATGAAACGTATGTCAGCCTCCCACGTTTCAAAGTCTGTGTCAAATCTCAAAGGTCTGGAAGCTCTGTTGGTGCGATGATGCCTGTGAGAGATGTAGTGAGAGCGAAAGTACATGATAGGACCTTCCTCAGCAAACTCCACAGCTCCATATGCAATCAGCAGATCCCAAGTTTCATGAATCCATTCTGGCCGATCAATACCAGGCGGTCTGTCAAAGGCCGCTTGCAAAGGGTCAGGAATTCCTTGAGCATTTCCAGGAGGAGGTTCTGCATCTTCATCAACACTCATGGAGAAGGGAAGGATGCGCTTCTCGAAAGTACTGGTAGAGCAGACCTGCACATTGAGGAGTGGATCCATATCCACAGGCATGGCAAGCTCAAAGCTCCTTGGAAGGACCTCCAGTGGAAGTTGCAAACCAGCCATGAAATCCGTGGACTCAGCCGAGCTGTCATCACACTGGAAGTCAGAGTCATGGTCGCCAATGAGAATGCGTATGTAATCACCGTCTTCAAGATGTAGAGGTTCGATAAAGTCATCCGCAATGAGATTGTTGTTGAACCAAAGTCGGCAGCGTTCTCCATGAATATCCAAAAGAGACTCCAAGTCGAGCATCCGGAAGACAGAGCGTCTGTTGATCGTTCTTGGGAGCCATTTGGAAAAACGTCTGAAGGCGCCTGGGAGAATCTCATTGGGTTCATAAATCTCCATGTCCACGAGAACAAGGCGCAAAAAGGGTGATGGCCGTCGTTCATCATGAAGTTGGGGCAAACTGCAATGAAGATTTTGGGACACTAAGTCCTCTGGGCGTGCAAGCACATTGTGAAAGGCCAGAACTTCGTCTGGCAGAATCCCAATGGCTTGCGCAATTTGATGTTCAATGGTGTCCTCCGCGTCATTGGAAAGGCGTGCTGGGAACATTCGCCCATCCAAAAGAATCAAAACTGTGCGCTGCCAAACAACTCTGGATGAGGACGAAGGCAAACTCAAGGAGGAACTTGATGTCATAGAAGAGGGCGTGGTAGATGCTGCTGCGCTCCTTCGAAGAGGCCCAGGACGTCTGGCCATGAAGGAAGTCAGGTCATCTGCTTCACAGGAGGCACGCAGGTGCCAAGGTTTTTCCGGCCACGCCGCAAGTGTATCATGATGGACTCTGACAGCGTGGAACTCAAAGTCATTGTCCATACCAAGGAAAACTTGTACCATGGAGTCAAAGGATACCTGGTGGGGTACAGCCTTCTTTCGCAGGGGTAGAGCAAAAACGTCTGTACGTAGATCAGCTGAAGAACCCAAATCAGTAGCTACCTCAGACGCTAGCTCAATCGCCCGCCATTCTGAAAGGAAATCCCTTTCGAAGGTGATGGAATGGGACCAGTGGAGTCTTGCCGCAAAAGGGTCAAGCTGGGCCACTGGCTCAATTGGTGGCATCGGCCCCTGGTACGCATACATTGTTGTCATGTCGCACCGGCCTAGTGAAAAGACCCTCCAGGTCCACCAACTCCACCTGCACCACCATCGCCTGGAATATCTTCCTTGTCTGTGCGCGGTCGCTTGACCCGCTGCTCGAGCAAGTCGGCTGATGCTGAGAGCTCCACGAGGCTGTTCACAATCGTGGTCATGCCCTCGTGGATGCGTTGTGCGCCAGGATCTTGTTGGTCTGCTGTCGCATCCACCATCTCCTCGCTTTCTTCCTCCTCGTCGGAGATCGGAATGGTGTCGCCAGACTGAGCCTGCTCCCTTTTGGAAATGAGGTCGAAACGCCTTTGCGCTTTCCTCACATTCAGTCTTGCGGCCTGGATGCTGGCTTGATGTGCCGACTCCGAAGCTTGGAACTGAGCAGAGAATTCCCTCCACTTGACGACACTTTGCTGGAGGAACGTTTTCCACTGCGAAAGGAGTTGAGCTTTGGCTCCTTCTGCTTCGATCAGATCCTCCTTCGCTTGTCCAAGAACTTTCACAGCAACTCCAAGCTCTTTGGTGTTGTCTCTTTCGTCTTGTTTCTGCATAGTATGGGCCATTTTCTGCAGATCGGAGGTGAGAGACTCTTCGTCCTTCTTCATTTGCTTCAGAAGGCGATTCAAATTGGCTTGAGCTTTGCTCTCTTTCTTGATCTCCTCCGCAGCTTCGTCTATGGTTCCAGGACCTGCTGGAACTGCTGGCACAGGCATCATCTGCATGGTTGGTGCCCATTGTCCAGGTGGTCCTGTGATTGCTGTCGGTGGTGGAGAAGGCATGGTCATGGTCGAAGATGCAGCTGAACCCTTTCCACTGCCCTTGTCCGGAGGTGGAACAGGATATGGAGCTGCCATGGCCTGTTGTTGTGGATACTGCATCATCATCTGAGGCATAGGCATCATAGGTGACATCGGCATCATTGGCCCCTGCATGTGGGTAGATTGCTCGTAGCCCTTGCCATAGCCCTTGGATTGATGGTGCGTGTCCATCTGCCATGCGTCGTTCTGGTTGTGTTTGCCATGTTTCTTGGACTTGCCCGTGTTTCTTCTGGACCGGGTGCGCGGGCTTCGACTGCCGGAATCTTGCCAAGTGGCACCATTCCATGGTGGTGGCTGTCCAGTCTGGGAATTGTAGGCATGTTGGTGTCCTTGTCCCTGATGATCCGGTGGCACAAAGGAGTGGTCCACACATGCCTGCCATTCCTGGCCACATTTCCAGCATCTCGGGAAAGAGCCCTTCATGATGACATGGCATCGCCCACAGCGCCAAGAAGGCTGCTTTTGCGCCATAGCTTCTCGAGCTGCAGCAAGGAGTCTTCGAAGAAAATGTGGATCTTTCGAATGATGCCTCCGTAAAATGCTGTGCAAGTGCAGGAGCTGCGTGCCAGTCAGACGTAGCACACCTGTACGATGAAGAAACCACCGTGTCTTGCCCTCGCCCTCTGTCGTCGCTCCGCTCGCCGCAATGTGGGAGTAGCCGTCCTTGACCTGGATGAAGTGCGCAAAAGGTTCCACAGCCGGATCCACCTTGTCCCTAATCAAAATGGTGAGAAAGAAGACCTTAAAGGCCGAAAACATACACCAGAAATGGGACAAAGGCAGTGATGAAGCGCCAGGAAGTATGTGAGCACGTGCACAGTCAGCAATGGAGGTGCCGGCTTGCCCAGAACCGGCAGAGCTCAAACAGTGCAAAGTGCCACCAGCGCGATCAGGCGTGGAAAAGCAAGGCCACAAAGGCCCGGGGGTGAACAGCAAATGAAACCCCCTCAGGTATGGCTTCCAGTGGGATCGTTAAAGCGATCCAAAACCACCTTAAGCCGAGACCTTGTATATATATATATATATCATGTATGCGTGCACATATATAATATACAATGACTCGTGTATGAGTGAATATGATATAATGTTGTATCTGCAAATAGCATTACACCGGATAAGTTTAACATGTTTCAAAAATAAAAATAAAAATAAAAAAGAACAGTTTATAGCTATGTTTTTTATCTGAGCAAATCGATCGGGTGGCTGGGGGGGGTAAACGAAAAAAGCGGCTGAGGTTGCAAATAAACATGAACTTCCAGGACCCTTGCTGTGGGGGCTCCTCCAAGGGTCCACGTTTAAACTCCAAAGGTTCCCGAAACTCCAAAGGTTTTCTTCCTCACAGGTTCCATGTTAAAAACCCTGAATTCAACACATAGGATTGGGGAGAGGATGGGAGTCCTAGCCGTACGGCAACCATTTTGGAGGGGACAGGGGTTCCAAAGGGGTCATAGTACCATAGGATCACCAAATGGGAACGAGGCTGTGGCTTGATTTGTGCAGGGAGCTGCTCTGAAAATGGTGCCGCTATCATCTTGCAATGGTGCCGCTATCATCTTGTCTGTGTGCAATGATGTAGTGACATGCATGAATGCACATGCATCTGTGTTGTACGCATATATCCAATTACATGTCCGCGTACCTACATATTGGTTAGATACATGTGAAAAAGCGTGCTGATAATATTATATATATACATGGTTCCGTGTCTCGCGTTCACGGCCCCCCCCCTCCCCCACATATGGTATGTAGGGTTACCCCCACTCCTCCACAGGGGGGGAGGGATACATAGACATATGCGTATACAGATACATATACATACCGTATACAAAGACATTTGCACATACACATACTACATACGTATACACACACATGTATGTGTATATATATATATTTCTTGCATATATATATATATAACTTACATATACATATAGGGACCATCACCATCTCAGGGGGAAGGGGGGACCACCAAACGCTGGGCCATATGTATATATATATATATATATGTGTGTACATGTATATACATTGTTCTGTACATCATTGCATCTACACATTGGATCCCATTGGTGTGTCTGTGCGCACATGTGGTAGCATTATACACATATATCTGTGCATAGATGTGTGTAAATATGCAACATACCTACACAAATGTATAGAAATAAAATGTATGTACACGTATGTACAGTATGTGTGTATATATATATATATACACATGTAATACATATATAATTACGTCACGTATCCTCACACATGTAGGAGTCTCCGGTTTTGAATACCTTGACAGTCCCAAAGAACGCCCCATTCTCCAAGTGCAACTGAGAAACAGGTTCCTCCCTGACCAACTTGAGACATTGCTCAATGCTGGCTTCTTTTCCGTGCAGCAAGCACCAAGCTTCCTCAGGCTCGCTGAGTTCGCTTCAATTTCGCTCATCCGGGAGAAGTGTATGGCGAAACATGGATGGTTTCGTACTAAGTTTACTAAGTCTACTAAGGTACTTAGATGATTAGAGGACATAAAATGACATGAGATAACTAATCATGTGGCTCCCTTGGTACCCCAACAACTTGACACACCTTGAGAATCCCATGCGCTCCCAGGATTCTGCCAACGGAACATGCCCATCTTTCATAGATCGATACTATGGGGGTGCCTAAAGTGAGACAAAAAATGGTGGTACCCCCAGTTATCATCCAAGTTATAGATGACATTTTGTATTGAGACCTATAGTTTTGGTTGGGGTACCCCCGTGACTTTGGAAACCTTCGTATGAATACCTAGAATCTATAAATCAAGGATTGTATCCTCACCAGAATACACACTGGACATCTCAGCAAAGATCCAAGGTTGATTTCACCTCGACTGGCACTTCTGAAATCTTCTCATAACCCAGCAGCGCCTGGCACCGATGCAACAGGACAAGCGATTCCAAATTCTGCACTGGACAAAAAGGAAAGTGTTAAAAGAGGAACAAGAGGAATCATAAAAAATAAAAATGATAATAATAATAATACATAATGATAATACACATCCATGATATCTATGTCTATACCCTCCGGTGTCATCAAACATGGTTTGCTGAACAATCCCCCCTTCATCTAGCTGGGGATACCATGGATCTCCCATTGCTACAAAGGATTTGGGGGGTTCTTAAGTCATGGACAATCCCCAGTAACACCAAGGTTGCTTCAAGTTTCTAAGTCTGGTCATCCATGACTTGGATGATAACTGGGGGTATCCCCATGACTGGAAACCTCCAAATTTATTGAAAAGGTGAGTGAATTATGAACCGTCACCACCGAATGAACTGACCTTATTGACCAAATATCACCAAATAAGAAGGGTAATCACCAAATGATACGGGGAATCATCACCAATTGGTTATGAGCCAAATATCATCACCACATCATTTCCCCACCTGCAGCCGGTCTGTGGCACAGCTTTTGAAGCGGTCGTCCGCCTCTCTGAAGCGATCCGCCTAGACAAGCTAGGCAAACTTGGAGAAGTCTCAAGCTGTTCTCAAGCCGTGTTGCTTTAGGGGCCATGGTTGGTATCTCAGTATGTACGTAGGTACGTATGTGTGTATGTGTGCATGCATGCATGGATGCATGGATGCATGGATGCATGGATGCATGGATGCATGGATGCATGGATGCATGGATGGATGGATGGATGGATGGATGGATGGATGGATGGATGGATGCATGGATGGATGGATGGATGGATGGATGGATGGATTGCATGCATGCATGCATGTATGTATGTATGTATGTATGTATGTATGTATGTATGTGTATGTGTGTATATATGTATGTGTATATATATATATATACACATGTATGTATATATATATATATGCGTGTGTACAATGTATATATGTATGTATATGTACATATATATATATATATCATGTATGCGTGCACATATATAATATACAATGACTCGTGTATGAGTGAATATGATATGATGTTGTATCTGCAAATAGTATTACACCGGATAAGTTTAACATGTCTCAAAAATAACAATAAAAATAAAAAAGAACAGTTTATAGCTATGTTTTTTTATCTTAGCAAATCGATCGGGTGGCTGGGGGGGGGTAAACGAAAAAAGCGGCTGAGGTTGCAAATAAACATGAACTTCCAGGACCCTTGCTGTGGGGGCTCCTCCAAGGGTCCACGTTTAAACTCCAAAGGTGCCCGAAACTCCAAAGGTTTTCTTCCTCACAGGTTCCATGTTAAAAACCCTGAATTCAACACATAGGATTGGGGAGAGGATGGGAGTCCTAGCCGTACGGCAACCATTTTGGAGGGGGCAGGGGTTCCAAAGGGGTCATAGTACCATAGGATCACCAAATGGGAACGAGGCTGTGGCTTGATTTGTGCAGGGAGCTGCTCTGAAAATGGTGCCGCTATCATCTTGCAAGGGGCAGAAACCAATTCCTAATCATAGAATCAGTAAAACCATGTTATTTGAGGCTGCCCGGGGGTTCCATGTTTGTTTGATCCCCTGTGTTGTTTGGTAATGTTTTGAAATTGGAATTTCAAATCTGCAAATTGCGTTTCAGGCAAGAATCCATACCTCCCCCGCGGGTTCACAACGACGCGACTTCCATGTTAAATAACCACTTTGGTGCCAGGGGGTTCGATATTAACCTCACCCGGAGTATGTTTATATATATATATTATGTGTGTGTGTGTCCTATTAAGCCCTATTGCATCCCATCGCTAAATCCCATAAAGTGGATCAAAACACAACAAAGCCCAACATGAACAGCCCCAAAGAACTGGTTTTCAACCAACAAGAATGAGGATGACTGGTCGGTTGCAGATTTATATAAGTTTGTAGCTGATAACAATTGTGATCTAGTCATTCAAAGGGTTAATGCTGCTGTATGGTTCAAAATGAGATTTCAAACGGATCGCATGGGGCGGTTGACAGTTGACAAGTGGAATCAGTGTAATTTCGGTGTTCAGCCAGCGTGAGCAGTTTTTCGCATTGCCAACGATTGGGATTTCCAAAAATCTCAGCTGAAGAGTTCTGTTCTTGCACCCTGGAACAGTTGCTGGTCTAGTTGTGTCGACGGAAGTGGCCCGGAAGTGATGCTCCATCGCTCAAAAACCAGAAAGTTCACTTCATCTCAGTTTGCTCCCAGTGTCAAACTAAATTCTGATCCAACAACTTGCTGATTGCTGACTTCAACGCCCCAATGCCACCTCACTGCAGGAAGCTGGAGTCGCATTCAACTTCTCCGTAAACGCCTGCCAAGGAGCTGGTCCCTGCAGAGACAGAGTTGGAGCCAAAAACTAAGGGGACAGCTTCCATTGGACAATTAGATAAAATATGACAAATTAGCAGTCAAAATGTCGAGATCCATTCCAATATTTAGAAAAGATCATGAAATTGGATAATTAGATAAAATATGGCTCCATTGGGTCTCTTATTTGCGGTTTTCCATTGTGGATAAAATTACCCCTTGTAGCTGCAAGTGGTGACAATGCAGGTCCGCCGGCGCCTGTGCTGCAACTTTCTTGGATTCCTTTTTCTCTGTCATGTTGATGACAAGCTTTCAGCACAGTTGCTGCGGCTGCGGTTGTAGTTGTTTGTTTCCTAATGTCACTAAAAAGACGCTGCAAAAAAAAAAACAACGTATCGTTGAAAATCACAAGTTCCATTGGGGTAAATCATGCTCAAGGTGATTTTAATGGCGGCTTCAATATTATTGTTTAGGAGGTCTTCTTTAAAATGATCGCAGTCTCAAGCCGTTTGGATCATTTTGGATCAGAACACCTGGTTTGAGACAAACACTAGTGACTAAGTGTAGTGCTGTGAACAACTGCATGTCACATTGAGATACTAAGCTGGGCAAGATACGGCAAAGCCGCAAACGCATTCAAACAAGCATCGTAGGTCTGGAAAAGAATGGTTTCTAGCTGCTAGCTGTACATGCACGCACGTATGGATATATTGCTCAAATACACATGTATGGCATTTTTTCAGATGTGTACCCATGCATATGTATGTACTGTTTATTCATCCATTTGTTTGTTTGCATATTTATCAATCTATTAATTCATGTATCTACTATCCATCTATTTATTCTAAGTCTTCGGACGTCGCTTCTTGGAAGCCCTTCGCAGCATCTCTCAGCAGCGATTTTGGCCAAAGGGGTCTTAATCGCCGACCCACCAGTCTTTGCCAGCGGTCCGGCCAGGGCGCTTTGAAAACCCTTCGAAGCCATCCTGGCAATGGAAAATGTCCAATGAGTTTTGCGAAAATCGCCTACTCTGTATATCTATATATAATTATATATAATTATATATAATGATATATAGAATGTACGTCCGTCTTAGATATAACTTACATTGTCTCCGTATTACGAAGACCCCTTTTTCAGGATTTCCATCGCCAGGTTGGATTACGCGGAGAAGCGATGTTTTTTCGCGGTTGGGCTCCTTCAAATTGGGGCCGGTGAGACGTTGAGCAAGTTGACCAAGTGGCCATGGAAGACCTCGGATCTCAGGGATCTCAGGGACTCAGGACTCAGGGGCGGCAAGCTCCACCGGGCAATCTCCACCCAACACGGGCCCATCAAGACATGGGACTTGATGGGATAATGAATGGGATTTATATAAGTGATTTGATGTGACTCAATGTGACTTAATGTGATGCAGGGTGAGCCCTTGGGTGTGCATTCAACAGCATTCTGGGTCCAGAAATGCAGCCAAAGAAGCAAAGTTTGGTCTGCAGTTCCTGCGCTGGCATCATGGAACGACAGCAGAAAACAACACCCCGGGAAAGGCTGGGCGATTGAAAATAGAACATGTTGGCCCACTAGGCCGCCATCACAAGTCGGAGAACCGAAAGTACCATTGGTACGGTATCATACAAAGACTTTCATCAGCATAATCGTCACTCCTATCATGATTCTGATTGTTGTATTGTTGTAGTTGTCTCCATTATATTCCATTATTGTTGCTTCTATTGTGGTTGCAATGATAACTGTAGTAGTTGGCCATCTAGCAGCAGCTTACAGGAAGGCAACTCCTTTCGTACTTCCACTTTCAGTGGTCAGAGTGCAGCTTATCCTAGAAGAAGTGCATAGTAAAAGCCCCCAGTACTAAGGAATTCCATGAAACAAGATGGTTCCCCTTTTGAGTTTGGGGTCATTTCAAGTCAGGTTCAAGTAGTTCACTTCTAGTCCGATTGTCCCAGCGAATTGTTTCTTGCCATTCTTGAAAACATAACAAATCAGACCTTTAATCCAAGCTCCTGCCATTCCCAGAACTTGCCTCACACTCCTGCACCAAATGTCCCATCATCTCGGTGGGCCTGGCAACTGAGAAGCTACCGAATCCCCCACAACACTGTCATCATCGCCCCTTGCCTCCTGAGCCTCCACCAGATCCTCCACTGCCGCTTCCGCTGCCTGTCCCTGTTCCACTCCCGGTGCTCGTTCCCGTGCCACTACCAGTCCCAGTGCTGCCACTGCTGCTGCCACTGCTGCTGCCACTGCTGCTGCCGCTGCCGCTGCTGCTCCCTGTGCTCCCTCCCGGACTGCTGCTTCCCGAGCCCGTGCCGCTATCAGTTCCGGTACCGCTGCTGCTGCCACCGCTGCTCCCTGTCCCGGTGCCTCCCGTGCTGGGGCTTCCTGAGGGACCCGTGCCGCTGCCACTGCCAGTGGGCCCAGGCGGGCCTAAGCCAGTCGGCATATGGTGCCCGAAACAGGAAAATGGACAAATGGTCTTCATGTAGGTCTCATCACTGTCCTCGCGGCGGAGCTGGCTCAGTAATTTGAGAGCCGACAACAAAAATGAAGATCGGGGGAGGCATGCCTCCCCTTCTACAAGCTTTCATGAATTCATATCATTTATATTCATAATTCATATGTATATGCGTATGTGCGCGTGCGTCGTATCCAAAAAAAACAGGATGCTTCAACCATCTCCCACCATAAGCGCTCTCTGTTGAACTACAAGATAGGTTTGTCTGAAAATAGGCTACCCATGGGCCCATGTTTCCAGGGTCCCAGTTGCCTCTCATCCCCAAGTCCGGCCCAGGGTTGCCGCTGTCGCAGCACAATTTCCCGCAAAAGAAGGCGTAGCCGCCAAAGGGCCGGGCCTTGATCTATGTGGAAAAAACTGAACACCCAAGTACTGTTTGGAAATGTCCTTCTATGAACTGATGGCCACAACTTTCAAACCTTCACAGAAGAAGAGCTCCCACCACAGGTCTGCAGCAGAAAATCATCGTCATTCAAACTAACATGGAAGTGGTGGAATGAGGATTCAGGGATGGTGGAACCTTTGCTGTTGGTTCAAAGCGTTAAGACGGGCTCAGTTGATGTTTCGCGGATTGTAGTTGGTTTTGATCATCCTCATTGTTGCTAGCACATGTTACCATTGTGGTTTGTTACATGCGTTACGTATAGTACATCCCTACAATAGCCTCGTGCCTCCGCATGGCTTCATATCCCAATAAATTATTTTGTTGTCGCACGAGTATGCCTTTATGTCTTGGCTGGCTCTACCTTTCCCCATCTTTCTTGGTGAAGATTGTGTCCAGCAATGCACTTTCTATCACGGCGAAGCTTCGGTCACCTGCAAGAAAGATCTTCAGCAGGATATCATATTCCCCCACTTATCACTTTCGGCTAGCCGGCTGGGCATTCACCCAGTAACCTCTGAAACTAAGCTTCAGCATGGTTCACCCCAAAAAAATGCATCTTCACCATCCCATGGGGCTGAATGATCATACAAAAAGACGTTCCTTAGAATGGCCACAAAATGGGGGTATTCCCTTGAGACAGACCTATGTCTGGCAGCGTTGGCAACGTTGGCCAGTGAATCGCCACCAAATGGCCGCTGATCCCAATGCGGTGTTGTCGAAGTGGCAAGCGAAGCTGCTCCAGTTGCCTGCAGTTTCGAGGGACATCTGATGGAATTCTGGGAAAACTCTGGAGATTTTGGTGGCCATTTTCTTCTGGGAATTCACGTTTTTGGAGGATGGGGATGGCGTGGGTTTGCCCATTTCCTGTGTTAGGGGAACTCAGCTGGGTTATGATCCTTTTATATTTCGGTATGGGTCCTTTTACACTGCTACCTTGCAAGGATACTTAAATCATCAACTGGGATTTATGCATAGAAGCATCCCATCATTGTGAGAATCCTTGATATCGTGAGAATAGACTTGTTATGGGATGATCATCGACCGTCATCGACCCATCTTTTGGTGCAGTATCCTTTGATTTCAACCCACCGCCAAGTACCTAAGTCCTAGTCGTCTCATGGGGAACAGCCGTGAGGGGTCAAGCAATTGGTGCCTCTACCAAAAAAAGAACGTTAAGATATGTGTAGGGTGGTGTGGTGATCTCTCCTGATATATATATATATATATGTATATATACATACTTACATACTTACATACATACATACATACCATACCATACCATACCATAACATAACATAACATACCATAGCATAGCATACCATAACATAACATACATACATTACATTGCATTACATTGCAAAACACAACACAACACAACATAACATAACATAGCATATATGTGTATATATATATATACACGTGTATATATATATGTAATGTGTATATATATATATAGAGAGAGAGAGAGAGTAGTAGTTTGAAAAGAAAGAATAGAACTGTATGTTGGATGCCGACCAGAGAAGGTGGGCCCCACCTTCGAGGGCGCAGCCATTCTCTGCCATGTCCTCAACAATCTCAGTCATTCGCGAGTCACCTGCGGGTTCCCTCGAGTTCTTGGATCATCTGCGGCTTCAATCATGTAAGGTTATTGTTCACCCCAACAAGGAATCCTGAGGATGGATTGCCAACTGAAGACCACGAGCTTGCTATGAATCCAATCACTGTAGCAATAGCCCGCCCGCAAAATGAGGCGCTAACATGGCACCACGGCTTGCGGTGGTAATTTTTGGGGGTATAAGATTGAGAAAGGCACTTGCTGTCAGCAATTTCAGTTTCTGTAGTAAGATATGATAGTCAATGACCAAGTGTGTCAATGAACAACCATTCATCATGTTGCTTGTCGATGATAATGATTGATTGCCTTACTAATGAAACATTTCCCGCGCGCATCTCAAAGCCTGTGATGTTGGCATAGAGTGCCAGCCTCGCAAAACGAGATGGGGCCAGCTGAATGCCGCGAAAGCGTCAGATTTGAAGTGCTCAAAGTCGTTCGTCTCTATGGGAGGTTTGATGATTCGGATCTGTTCCGATGATGTTTGATGATCCTATGGGTGTCCACACTTTGAAGTCAATATTGGACCATCATCTCATGTTTCAAACGATAGAAAATACAAAAACTTCAAACAAGAACACGAACCAAAAGCCTGTATCCAAACATATCGCGCATCTTCCAGAAATAAATTGCAACAGAACATGATTCTCCGCGATATGCAGTGCAATTAATATCACAATTTGAGGTGGAACTGCTCCAACTGTACCAACTGGATGGGGTGATACCTCGATGAATAATTAATGTCAATCCCGGACAACTAGGCTGTTTCATTGTAGGGGTACCATTTCAGTAGCCAATTGTCTATAGTTTAGGGGACCGGCCCAAATTCATCAACCATGGTTTATCAAGGACACTGGTCATATCTGGCCATGGGTCTGCATCCCGTCTTCTCAGGTCCTGTGAAGCATTCCATTTTTCCACACTGCTGCTCCAAAAACTCGATGATTTGGGTGTGTCTTAAAGTGAGGTATACCCATTTGATTGGGCGAAATAATCATTAGACAGTGGATTTGGAGCTACCTTGTTGGACAAACCTATTTTGCAGACAATGTCCCGATCTCCATCCCTATCACCAAGGAACTGCTCGATCCAATTTTGAAAGGACGGATTCCTTTTGAGCTGTGCCACTGGAGTGTCCACACCTCGATTCTTCGGTTTCTGAACGGTTTCCGGATGTGGGGCCACACACGCTTACTCTCCCAGCCCAATCATCATTTTATACCCTCTGGTAAACTCGGCATAGCTATGGAAAATGACCATTTTCGTAGGTAAATCAACGGTGAATCAACAAACTAAATGGGCCATGTTTGAAACCCAGACGCAGGAGGCGGCAGCAAACTCGTTGTTCCGGTGTTCGACGGTAAATCCATCGCCGTCCTCGGCTGTGAAGATAAGATAGTGTGGATGGAGAGGTTTCATGATATATTTGCGAATATTATCCAAGAATATGTTCAAAAAATATTGGCGGCAGATACATCATATATCATATATCATATACCATATATCATATATCACATATCACATATCATATATCATATATCATATATCATATAACATATATCATATATCACATATCACATATCATATATCATATATCATAGAGAGAGAGAGAGAAATTGTATAGATATTTCATGTTATTTCTGATTCTGATGTAGTATTGATAATTATTATCATAGAACATTTCAAAATCTGGATGTTCTGTGTCTTTCAACACCAACAGCAATGCTAGGATGACAGGAATAGGCCCTGAGTTCAAATGATTAATTTCCCAGTTCGTCATCCAAAAGATACCATGGCTGAACCTTGCTGGCAATGTCTTATATCATCCAAGGATTAGCCTGGAATGGAAAATCCCAATTCGTAGCGGTTCTTGAGTTTTAGATTGCCGGAGGGTTCCTGCAGCCATTGAGAACAGATACCTCCAGTCACCACCAGTCACCGTCAAGCTTCGGCCAACTGTTGAGTACAGGAGCTCGGGCAGCCTGCACAAGAGTGGGGACTGCTGTCCAGAAAGTTAGCGCCTGGATGTGGATGTAAGCAACCTATCAGCATGCGATATTGGTATCAATCCACCTGGAGGCAAAGGAGTGGAAATTCCGTGATCTGTAGATTTCAATCAAGCACAGTTCAAAGGACAATACTGGTGTTCAGAAACATTCCTGCGAAAAGGAAATTAAGTGACACGTCAAGAGCCCCATAATTCTAGAGGTCCTTTGTTTTGATCCAGCCCAGAATGTCTGAGTCTCCCAAAATGAATCAAAACACTCGGAAGTTCCGAGAGCTTTCCAAAGACAGTCCTCCCATTTGAAGTAACTCAAAGTCTGCCCAACTCACTTGTTTCAACAGCATTCATTAGATACCTGAGTGAAACTCGGAGTTCGGAAGTGCCGAACTCCCCTGCAAGCCAATTTTTCCCTATTGTATCCCCATTGTGTCCCCATTTAAAAAAAAATTGGTCTGCTGGCTAAATGATCCGAGGCTGATGTCCCCACCTGTGGTGATGAGTCTAGGGGAGATCTCACTCCAACAGGTGCCTTGGTGGCAAGTGTTCCCAGCTCTTTGAGGCGGTTTCCAATGATGTGAATGGGCTAACCAGGCAGCTCTCAAGAACATGCCTTCAAGATCTGGACTTGGAAGATTTGTAAACCACTGCCCGGAGTAAGACTCTACATGGATCCAGGTGCTAAACCACGGGTTCTGCATCTCAGTTGATCCTACCCGTCCCCGATTTCGCCCAAGGGGCACGTCATGGGGCAAAGCATCCTGGCCATGATCCCTCGTCCTGGGACGCGAAACGGAAAGGTGAAATCGGGGTTTTGCTCTGTGGTTTTGTACCCAAAAAAAAGGTACCAACTTCTGATTCATGGCTAGATTTTAGGTTTTTTAAAAGTTTTTGGCGGATATACCATCATTAACTGGAGCCATGTATCGATGAATTTGATGTTGATCAGATCCAATAATCCAGTTGGGTTCTTATCATCCTCTTGTGATACGCGCAACACCATCTCAAATGCCCAATGAAAAGTCGTTCACAAATGAAGCATGGATTCCTCATTTGGATTCACTTCCCGGGGTTCTCAATTTTGAACCCTTCCCAATTAATTAATATTGAATCAAAATTATCTACTCAAATGCAATCTGATCTCTAAACATATATTAACTACCAGCCTTTCTGGCGGATTGTTGGCATCTCAAGTTACTAATACCCATCAATCTTCACCCGGCGCGTGTGGGCGCGGGATTGCTGGCGTTTCAAGTAAGTAAATCTATACGTGCGAAAGGACAAGGGATGAAACCCTTAGATCATTATATTTAATATCAACGCGCCTCCTGGGTCATCTAAGACTCGAAACCGGCCCACAAAAATTGTCCAATTGCTCACGGCGCCACAGCGAGACGCCAACTTTGAGAATAAAAACGTCCTCCAAATAAAGGTGTGCACCCTCACAGCACTTTTGCTCCAAAAACGCACCGAGTAACTTCTGGTGAGCTTACAAGTTCTTCAAGGTCTTTGCTGTATGTTTCATTGTGTTTTTCCCGCGCATTCCCAGCGCCATTGGCAGCGTCTAAGGCACTTCCACAAACTGACGTTCCGCTTGTTCTTTTTTTTGGAAGGTAAACTGTCAGGAATAGCCTTTTTAGCCCCTTTCCAGAAACCATCAATATTTCCTGTGTGGATCTTTGTCCAGCCTCGCGTAGGAAGTCTTTTGTTAAGACTAAATATGCCTTTGGTATGGTTGCAAGCACGATGCAACAAGGACTTCTTCCGGGCCAGTTTTGGGTAACAACGAGTTCCATCACTGATCAGCAGTGTTTTCAAACCCTTGTGCTTCTTGCTCTTGATGCCTGACAATCCATCTGCTTGGAGGATTCTCTTTTGACTTTCAGGAGGTGGTTTGCCATAAGCTTTGGCTGCACGAAGTGGCAGTTCGAACATGTTGACGACCCTGCGCTGTTGACCCGCACGAGGACGTTGAAGCACTGCAAAGATTTGGTAGTAGATGTTGTTGCTGGATTCTGTACCCTTTCACTTGCGAATGCTAGTTGCATCTGCTTCTAGATCTCCTGGACACGTGTAGCGTGTCTGGAATGCACAACCCGTTTATTGTTTATGAGGTGAAAACACACCATTTTAAATGGAAGCGGTCCTGTCAGCTCCCGATTCTTTTGCTGATGTTCAATGCAGCGAACTTCTGCAGTCTGCAACGCACGAAAAAGGCGACGCAAAGGAGAATTGCTGCCACCACTGACTTCCAAGGCGTTGGCAGCCTCTTCAACGGAGGGAGGAATGAGAGAACCAAAGTAACGTTTCATTGCTTCCCACAACTGAGGCAAAGGAAAGCGTAAAACTGGGAGAGCAGCCAGAAGCACGTAGATTCTCCACTGCTTCTTTCACCTGTTTCTTTCACTTGTTTGACTGAAAATGTCATAAATGTCACTGTACGATTTTCTTTGCTTTTGGCTTGCGAAATTTGTCCTTCTTTTTGTGTCTTTTGCGAGCACCCTTCACCCGTTTTTCTTTCTTGACAGATCCAGAAGCAAAACGCCCAGTGCCTCTCCTTCCACCCCACCCCACCCCAACGTAGCAGCTACAGCGTCTGAGATGTTACTGGAAGACGTAGCAAGCGTGGCACCGCATCCGTATAGCACGCAATGACATGGACGTTATTGCCCCACCCCACCCCACCCCAACGTAACAGCCACCCCGACGAAAGGTATATGTTTTGTGGGACGGTAATGAGCCCGCTGGCTAAGACATCTACAGGAGGTAGCCCGGGAACAGAGGTACCCCGGGAAACGTCCTTCATCTGGCACCCAAGAGGTCTCGAGGCTCACTGAGTGACAGAAGGGTTTCACCGTCCTCATCCGCAACGGCTCAATGATCTTTAGGTGTTATAAATGGATAGTTGCAGGGGTATATCATTCAGTACATATGTATTTACATATATATATATAGAGAGAGAGATATAGATATTTAGAATTATTGAGATATATATATATGTAGATATATAGATATATGTAGATATATAGATATATGTAGATATATAGATATATGTTGATATATAGATATATGTAGATATATAGATATATGTAGATATATAGATATATGTAGATATATAGATATATGTAGATATATAGATATATGTAGATATATAGATATATGTAGATATATAGATATATGTAGATATATAGATATATGTAGATATATAGATATATAGACATATAGATATATAGATATATAGATATATAGACGTATACATTTAGGTGTATAAATATATATATATCGATATAGAGAGAGAGAGAGATGTATATAAATATATAGATATAGGTCTAGGTATAGATGTGGCTGTATGCGTATGGGGTTGTATGATGGTGTATGTAGATATCGACATTTACTAAGACATTTCAGGCAAACTCTCGACATGTTATCGACGTTGTAGATCAGGGTGCCTTCCGGATTTCTTGTTAGGTGATCGTCGTCATCATCATCATCATCACCATCATCATCATCATCACCATCATCACCATCATCATCATCATCACCATCATCATCATCATCATCACCATCATCATCATCATCACCACCATCATCATCATCATCACCATCATCACCATCATCATCATCACCATCATCATCATCACCATCATCATCATCATCACCATCATCATCACCATCCTCATCATCATCATCATCACCACCACCATCATCATCATCATCATCACCATCATCACCGTCATCATCATCATCCTCACCATCATCATCATCATCATCATCATCATCATCCCTATTGACCAAGGGATATGCCCTTCGCTGCCCCAGGCTCATAATCAATCTATCGATTTGCTCCTCTGGCATACGCCATTTCTGGTCTCCCCATCTTGGTGACCTCCCCACATCGGTGCTTGTCAGTTGCTACCCTCTGGTAATGTCTTTCAGTTTGCTATGGAAGCCATGGCTCATTTGTTTTGATGATTTACCTGCCAAAAATTGGGATTTTCCGTAAATATGTTGAAGTACCAGAGAGGAACACAACGTGCCTCTCTGCATACGAGTTGCGAGCAGTTCTTGAACGGCGGCCCGGCAATCTGCGGCATCAAAACACGTTCATGTTGGCGTCTTGAAACAGTGAAAACCACCTCTGGTTACGCCTGTGTCAAAATATGTTTCTGTGCTTCAATTGGTTGAAGTTGATTCATTCATGTTGATTCATTCCAAATGACATATTGGAAAGTGACTTCAACATGTCCTTCTGCCACGAAGCTCTTCCGAGAAAGGAGGCAGATCAAAAAAATGTAATCGCAGTGCCTTCACCCAGAAATGGATATAAAGGGAATAGATATCTCTAAATGGGATAGGCTCACCAGCTTCAATCTATATGTATATATACATATACTGTATATAGATAAATGTGTGTATCTGTATATGCAGTATTTTAATGTATTATACATACATGCATCATATATTGATATACGTGGATTGTGAACCAGCCATCATCTGTGCCTTTTGCATATAGAACCAGGCAGGATCCTCCGCGTCTGTGTCCTGGCCGGAATCCCCCAGCACTGGTTCGCTGATTTTCCCAGCTACAAACCCCTATTGGTAGAGCATTTTCTATTGCCATGTTTGATAACCGAATTGTACTGGGGATCATATCGGGACATCAGGATTTTCTTTGAACAAACGCCTGATGATATGTTTGTTTGTCCAAAAATGAGGTAGACCCCAAGTTTGCGTCAAATAACAGGAAAGATTCGCCCAATTGATGATAGTCTGGAGTTGGGGTACCCCATTTTCAGACAAACCCAGATGGACAACGGGGCAGTTCCACTTGAAATTCGTGGCTTCAAGCCATGGCAGATGCCGGTCACCTTTCGTGGGATCATATCATCAGCGAGGTGCATAAGACTTGGCCCCCCTTTTGGATCATGGGTTCTTTCTGCAGGTGAAACCGGTGAAGCCCTATCAAGATGACGTGAAATCAAATTTCAACGCCTAAAAAGGCTGAACTGATTGATTAATAGACTGGATTTGTTGATACTAGTCAATCCAGTCTAGGAATCATGTTTTTTTATTTGTTGATTCTCGGAATTCTTCTGTCCCCCAAAAAGAATGGAAACCCTCAAGCCACGGGAAAGAGTGGATGCTTCGCGGACCGGACGCACCTGGCAGCCAGGCTTGAAAGCTGCGAGAACCTCTTGGAAGTCGTATTTCCCCCAGGCCATCATGGTGCGGACGTCTTCTTTCCAAATACCTAGCCTTGGGCAGGAGCCACGGATTCTTGGGCACCCCAAAAAATACCAGATCTTCAAGCTGGCAATGGGAAATCACCCATTGATATGCGGTGATAGATGACTTATGATGACTTTCCCATCAAGAACGAGGAGTTTCCGTCATCCTGTTTGATTGTCGGAGGAAACTGTTCAATTTTTGGGGATGGAAGACCCCCAACCGTGAAACCAGGGATCTCCATGTTTCCATATACACCGGAGTATGTCCAGCCACCCGAACCCCGTTGTTGCAATGGGAAAAAAGCAAGATTTCAACGCAAAGGTGGTGTTTGGCTCAAAAATCGTCCACTGTCGACTGGGACCATCCAATTTTGGTGATACAATCATGTTGAACCAATCCCAAAAAGATGTCTGAACCGGGAACAAGAACCTGAAGTCGCATCCTTCCAGTTAGCATGGGTACAACATGCAAGATTTTCCATATTTGGCAGGGAGGTGCGATTCATTTTCATTCATTTTCTGCATCCTAGGGACGAAGATCCTTCGGGGTTGCGTTGCACCACATCATTCACAACGATCGCAGCTGCATTTTCTTCCTTGGATGTGAAAGGAGATACGCAGCCACCCGCAATGGTGGGTTCTCGAAATTGGGCACTCCGAATGGCCCAAACAATGGTTGTCTTTGTGGGACTCCAAGTTTGAGGAAAAAAAACGACATGAGCCCATAGCAGTAGTGAGGACCAACAAAAATGAGCAGATTGACCAAGAATAAGGTAAAAGTTCGGCAAGCAAACTGACCAAATTGTTGGTTCTAAATCCACGGTAGAGGACAAAGTATCCATTGCATAGTCAAGGGGAATGATTATGACCACCTTAGCAAGTAACCCGAGTAAGGAAGCTATGTCCATTTGCGTTCAAGTAAGGGAATGCTTCAACATTTACAGTAAGACCCTGCAAGACGGAAATGATGGATGTTTTTGATCATGTTTTGTTTTCAACCACCATCTCTAAAATGGTCCTTGGTTCACAGCCCATCCCACTAAATACATATGTATACTGCATACGCATGTATATTATATATATACACACACATGCGTACTGGTTGGCTCCCAGAGGTATTCCTGCTACCTCTTTCAACCAAACAAGTGGTATTATACACAAAAGGATAATTACCCCACCATCAACAATCAATGATATCGTCACATTTCACGGTAAAATCCATGCAAACAGTAGTTACTCAGTTGTTGCTAAATCCCAATCAGATGGAAAAAACAGTTGGGTATACATATGATATACTAATAATAGTATTACATATATAATCATATATATATACATATATATATTATATATATGACCACCCAACGAACAGTTAGGTATGTTTAATGGCTCACTTGCGGCCCAACAGATCGCTCCACCGGGTCTCCGCGGCCAGGCGCACCGCTTGGTCCGCTGGTTGGTAGGATCTCCTCCGGAAACGATGGAATAAGATGAGGTGATCATCAGTGGATATGTCCATGTAGAAATGGGATAAACAATGGGATAAACCATGATAAACCCAAGATATGTCCATAAAAGACCAGTGTTATAAACCATTATAGCGGGATATGATGATTTATACTGGGATAAGATAAACCATTATAAACCCAATAGGCCCAATAGATGTCCAAAAACCGTGAGCAAAGCAGTAAAAGTATATGTGAAAAAGGTGGATCTTGCGGGGGCACCACTGATATACACATACGTGTACCATGTGATTCAATTTGCAGTCCATGCACAGAAATTTCAAAGCAATAGATTTGTTTCCATCAAGTGGAAGCGGGTCTCAAATCTTGGAAAAGCCATAAATTATATCCACCAGTGATGGATTTCTAAACCATCAAAATCCATGGGCTTGATACAAACCCCAACTTGTTGACGAAACCCTTTACGGGCCTTGGCAATCGCTACGGAAGCCATAAGGGTTTGACATGGGGGGGATATTCCCCGTTCGACTCTTCCAATAGAATTCCGCATGATCAAACAACCCCAAACTTCATCATCATCATCATCATCATCATCATCATCATTCCTGAAATCCTCATCATCATCATTTCAAGGATAAATCCATGTTTCATCCATGTCTTCATCAGCTGCCAAGGCACGAAGTGGCCATCACGACCATGCGCCTCAGTTTCCCACACATTGGGCTGCTGTACCGTACCGGGGTCCCGGCAGCGCCCAGGAAAAAAGAATAGAAAGGCGGGTCTTCCGGTCTATCAAATATATACACCATTTATATAATTATATAATATGTGTATGTATGTATATATATATACATATACAATACAGTATATACAGAGCTTCATGGCAAGAGCAAGTGTACCTGGCATCCAGACAAGGTTTCTTAGCATCAAGCAATGGGAAGTCTTTGTAGTGAGTATTTAGGGGACACTAGGCGGGCTGCCAATTTTGTTGGTGAATATATGTGAATATATAATATATCTGTTTAGTTGAGCTGGTTGGTCCCTGCAAAATAACAAGAAAGATTACAAAAAAAATACGATACGTTTGGAAAAGCTTGGATTTGCCTAAGATTCCGATACATCTGTGTGTGTCTGTGTGTACAAATAAATGATATAGATATATCTTATATCTTTATATATACAAACTTTTCCCAATACATTCCGCTTGGACCCGACCCATGGAGGGATGACCGGATAGCGTCGGAAAATCCTGGATCCCTTGGGCATCTTAGCTTATCCCATCTATTTAGAAAAAAATGCAAATGGATTAAATGGATCCTGAGATTTCTTGAATGAATCTTGTTTTGAACCAGTTCTCCGGAAACGTGTTGCTTAAAATCCATCGCAGATCATAGTTCGGCAGCGGGTAGTCGCATCCTAATGTGAGTAAAGTCAAGAAGGCATATTTCCCTAATCTTACCTTTTTGGTGTGTCTTGTTTGTCTTAAAGTAAACCATGGATTAACCATTTTGAGAGGTAAATCCTCTATAAATGGTCGATTTTCCACAGCTATGGCCCCCGCGCCTTGAGTCTTCCAACCACACGAAGTCTCGCTCCCCACCACAGAGGGTGTGGCTAACGGCCTATGGCAGCAACGGACTGTGGGATGCAGCTGGTGAAAGATGTCATCCCATTCTGCAGATGAAAACAGCTGAAAGCACCAGCTGATCTCAGCTGATCATTGGAAACGGATTCCATGTAGCCCAAGAATCAGTGATTCAAACGGTCCATTTACAATTTGTGTCTCTTCTTCTGTGTCTCTCCGGGAGATCAATTCCAGGCCTCAATATCCTCCAACCTCAGCGTGGAACAGCCAGGGGCGAGCGATGCTTGGGGTTACAGACCCACTCACAACCATCTAATTACCGTCAATGAAGTTTTCAGATCATCCGAGCAGAATATATGTCGTCCATGTCTAGGATGTAACTATATAAATTCTACATGCGTGTGCAGCCTCCGGGTCGCCAACACTTGACCAAAAACAAGGGTGCGCCTTGACCTGTGGCTATGGTTTCAATCGAAAATAATGTAGAACTAACCAAGAGATGTTGCTCTTTCAATTCATGAAGCATCTGACTACAAGGACATGTATGACACTTATAAATTAGCTATACAGCAGCATAAAGATTAAATTTGTATACTGTGGGTAAAACAATAATAAACCATCCCCAAATCACCTTTTTTATGTGGTATAAACTTGCTAATCTATGAACCATCCAAATCCTACATCCGATTGGAGCCGGATCCTGGCCCAGTCACATGGGCGCCATCAAGAGTTGATACACCAAGATCAAGGCGATGGGGACCGCCAGCAACATGACTCGGCCATGGATATTCCAAGATTGGCCATGTTTATGGATGTTCATGGATGTTCATGGATGTTTATCATGGTTTATCATGGTTTATCATGGTTTATCATGGTTTATCATGGTTTATCATGGTTTATCATGGTTTATCCAATTTTTTCAGGAAATGATCCAGCTTTGAGGGATGGAAGTCTGATCCCTTTCCCCAAAACCGTCTCTCTCTTCGAAGCTGAAAATGTTCGGGGGATCCAGGTTGGACATGAAGAAACAAAACATAGACGCTTCAACCAGCATTGTCCACACAAGAACGTTGATGATGTCTTCACCAAAAAAATCCGGGAATCCAAACAGGTCTTGGCAACATCCTGGATACTGGGCACGATTGGTTTGTTGCACCCCCAGGTGTTAGTTCGAACCCCAGGAAAAGTTCGAGTCATAAGTGGAAACCGCGTGTAATGCATGATACATGTGGGCAGATAGTTAAATAGGTAGACAGACAGGCAGACAAATAGATAGATAGATGCAAGTGTACATATTTGTTATATACGTGTGACGTGTGTGTGTATATATATATACACATGATGTGTATGTATATATATAATAGTGTAATCATGTGTATATATGTGATATATCCATGGTAGACACTGTGAAGCCTTTCTCCGTGAAGCCTAAGTCGTCCGAGTTGCGAAAGGCCTTGACGTCCACGCCTTTCCTTCGTGGCATTGATTTCAATTGGATGGGCTGCAAGGTGTTCATCAGGAACCTCCACGGGGCTCATGAAACCTAGAGTTACAGTGGCCTGAAAAAGGAGGATTCCCGGATTCCCCACCGGGGTTGTGTCAATACTAAAATGGTCCTGGGTTTTATCTAGTTTTTGGATGATTTGGGGGTAAACCCAGTTTATTGAGAGTTTGGAAAAGAAAAATGTGAAGGTTCTTGAAACTTTTAAATAGAGGGAAGTCTTTGAGTCTGTATATCTATTGGATCATTCATCAGGGTCAGGTCCCCGGCCAATAATGGTATCTATTGCTTGTTAAATCTGTCGCTTTGGAAGCCTTAATTAAGTTTTGACCTCTCCATCCTCATTCAATGCATACGCCAATTGTTGGCCATATCTTGGTTCTTCGCAATGCCTTTTCCATTTTGGTTGATGACTCAACCCAAGTTGCATTTGTCAAACAAATTTAGGACATCTGTTGCCTGTTGCTGTCCCGTCCTCAGTTTGTAAGATGTTCCACGTGGTGCCTCAAGCCACATTCATTTCCTCCTGTGTCGGGTTTCCTGATTTTGTCCCTAATTCTATACTGGTCAGACGGTCATGTTCCTGAAGACCTGTGTTGCTTTTATCCCTGATTCTGTTACTCCCAAGAGATGATACGAGTATAGTGTAGAGGTCAAAAACTAAAATCCATTGACCCGCACATGTTTGAGTGTATGTTGTTGCATTCATAAAAGTCCTCCATTTTGGGGGTACTCAAATGTCACAGATAGCCGTGCCTCTACCTATGTGTATATATATATACATATGGGTATAAACTATTCGGGTTTTCAACCACAATCCAACCAGCATTTTAAGCGCTGTTCAATCCCCACAATGTTGAACCATCTGTGCTCATACGCACTTGTTTGTTGGTCAAATCAGCATGTTTGCCGGTTGAATCCCCATTTTTCTCTGCTCAAACTCCAATTGTTCTACCATCTTTGAGGGTTGCTGCCAAAACATTTTCCACCAAACGGAAACTTGTTGTTTTGCCAAACTCCCATGTAGCCACTTGAACGGGTCTCACGCACCTGGCAGGCGTCGGCGCAAGAGCCTGGAAAAGCAAGTCATCCACCTAGGGCGGGTTCCAAGGTTGCTGAAGGCTGCTGAACCACCGGAAATATGGGGGGGTTCACCATGGTTGCTGACCAATACTAAAATGGTCATCCATGACAACTGGATGATTTCACCAGGGCTCTGGAGGATTTAACCACCCAAAAGGGGCCGCTGAAGCACCATCTAAAAAAACAGAAGGGTACAAGCAGCAAAATGAAGGTATAATTTTCGAAAATTCTGGATGAAACTAGCCTGTACTAACCTAGACTTAAGTGGGATGATCCACCAATGTTCTTTGGGGAGAAAAACTTTGGGGGGGGGCAGTTTGGTGACTAACATTTGATTGTATATTTATCATCAGGACATCTCTGTTGTGGCTAATCTTGGGATTAACCTACCTCGCTAAGGTTTTCCCATCTGATAATGTTGCCTGGCAATGGTTTTTTGTCAATTTTGAAGAGGAACATATGATCTGTAACTCGGGGATCTTCCAGCACACTATGTTGGATTTCCAGAGGGTAACAACCTAGCAAGTAAGGAATAGCTGACAAAGCATGAAAACCTAAGCAATGAAGTGTGAGTGTATGACTCTATATGACCAATTGGATTTGGATGTAAGTCATACCAGCCAAAAATGCTGTTTCGACCATTCCCCATCATGGCTATAGGCCATTCGCCATCCGTGACCTGCCCTGTGTCTTGTTGGGCACCGATCAACAGGAAGCTGAAAGCCGTCTGGTTGAGCGGTTGACCATGGCTTATCAAAACACGTCGAATCATTGGCCTTGATCTGATGGGTCACCGGTTTATTGGTTTGTGCAAAACAACATCAAATCACTGATTCAGGATATGATATACTCATTGTATTATATATACAGTATACATATATATATTATATATATACATATCTAATCAAAGGAAGTTTAGGGGGAGAAACTTCCGTGTTACGGACTTTTAGAATGTCAGGGAAAGAGTTAGTCAAAGAAAGAGTTAGCAAAGAAAGAGTTAGTCAAAGAAACAGTTAGTCAAAGAAAGAGTTAGCAAAGAAAGAGTTAGTCAAAGAAAGAGTCAGTCAAAGAAACAGTTAGTCAGGGAAAGAGTTAGTCAAAGAAAGAGTTAGTGAGGGAAAGAGTTAGTCAAAGAAAGAGTTAGCAAAGAAAAAGAGTTAGTCAAAGAAAGAGTTAGGAAAGAGTTAGTCAAAGAAAGAGTTAGTGAGGGAAAGAGTTAGTCAAAGAAAGAGTTAGCAAAGAAACAGTTAGTCAGGGAAAGAGTTAGTCAAAGAAAGAGTTAGTGAGGGAAAGAGTTAGTCAAGAAAGAGTTAGCAAAGAAAGAGTTCGTCAGGGAAAGAGTTAGTCAAAGAAAGAGTTCAGTCAAAGAAACAGTTAGTCAGGGAAAGAGTTAGTCAAAGAAAGAGTTAGTAGAGGGAAAGAGTTAGCAAAGAAAGTTAGTGAGAAAAGAGTTAGTCAAAGAAAGAGTTAGTGAGGGAAAGAGTTAGTCAAAGAAAGAGTTAGTGAGGGAAAGAGTTAGTCAAAGAAAGAGTTAGTCAGGATATATGAGGTAGTCAAAGAAAGAGGGAAAGAGTTAGTCAAAGAAAGAGCAAAGAAAGAGTTCGTTAGGGAACGAGTTAGTCAAAGAAATTGTTCCCGCAATGTAAATGGGATTGCAAGTGGTGCTGGTGGATGAGTTGCCGATGGAGTTTTGAAGGAAGTCTCGCACGAAATGCGTTTTTGAGAGATAGCAGATGCACGAAACCCTGTGTTTTTCCATACAAAGTCCGTCCCCGAACGTCGATGATCTACCTCTGCGGTGCGACGGGTGCGAGACGGTCTCGTGTGTGGTCGGATCATGGTCGGATATCGGATCTCGGATCGGTTCCGCATTGTAAATGGGGTTTCAACTGTGTTTCGTGCATGTGCGGTCGACAGAATTCCATTGTGATTTGCAACTGTAGGATCGTTCCCGCAATGCAAATGGGATTGCAAGTGGTGCTGGTGGATGAGTTGCCGATGGAGTTTTGAAGGAAGTCTCGCACGAAATGCGTTTTTGAGAGATAGCAGATGCACGAAACCCTGTGTTTTTCCATACAAAGTCCGTCCCCGAACGCCGATGATCTACCTCTGCGGTGCGACGGGTGCGAGACGGTCTCGTGTGTGGTCGGATCATGGTCGGATCATTCTCGGATCGGTTCCGCATTGTAAATGGGGTTTCAAGTGTTTTTCGTGCATGTGCGGTCGACAGAATTCCATTGTGATTTGCAACTGTAGGATCGTTCCCGCAATGTAAATGGGATTGCAAGTGGTGCTGGTGGATGAGTTGCCGATGGAGTTTTGAAGGAAGTCTCGCACGAAATGCGTTTTTGAGAGATAGCAGATGCACGAAACCCTGTGTTTTTCCATACAAAGTCCGTCCCCGAACGCCGATGATCTACCTCTGCGGTGCGACGGGTGCGAGACGGTCTCGTGTGTGGTCGGATCATGCTCGGATCATCGGATCATCTCGGATCGGTTCCGCATTGTAAATGGGGTTTCAACCTGTTTTTCGTGCATGTGCGGTCGACAGAATTCCATTGTGATTTGCAACTGTAGGATCGTTCCCGCAATGTAAATGGGATTGCAAGTGGTGCTGGTGGATGAGTTGCCGATGGAATTCCATTGTGATTTGCAACTCTAGGATCGTTCCCTCAATGTAAATGGGATTGCAAGTGTTGCTGGTGGATGAGTTGCCGATGGAATTCCATTGTGCTTTGCAACTGTAGGATCGTTCCCGCAGTGTAAATGGCTGCGTCAAGGTTGCTTCGTGCTGTGGCTGCATTGGTAATACTATTGTCTTTTGCAGCTGGACTTCGTAAATCGTATTGGAGTGGCTGCATGAAGGCTGCGACAGTGATTTGTCAGCAGATTTTCTCCATTTTGGCGCTAGTGATTTTCCTTCTAAAAATCCTTTTAAAAAGTGCTTCAAAATCGTCTTTTTTTCGCTCTGGCGTCGAGATCCGGTTTTGGAGCTACAATTTCCGACGCGGTTGCGCGTAGTTCTATTGTGTTTTGCAACTCAGTCTCTGCAGATCGCATTGTAATGGCTGCGTCAAGGTTGCTTCGTGCTGTGGCTGCATTCGTAATACTATTGTCTCTTGCAGCTGGACTTCGTAAATCGTATTGGAGTGGCTGCATGAAGGCTGCCACAATGATTTGTCAGCAGATTTTCTCCATTTTGGCGCTAGTGATTGTCTTTCTAAAAATCCTTTTAAAAAGTGCTTCAAAATCGTCTTTTTTTCGCTCTGGCGTCGAGATCCGGTTTTGGAGCTACAATTTCCGACGCGGTTGCGCGTAGTTCTATTGTGTTTTGCAACTCAGTCTCTGCAGATCGCATTGTAATGGCTGCGTCAAGGTTGCTTCGTGCTGTGGCTGCATTCGTAATACTATTGTCTTTTGCAGCTGGACTTCGTAAATCGTATTGGAGTGGCTGCATGAAGGCTGCCACAGTGATTTGTCAGCAGATTTTCTCCATTTGTCAGCAGATTTTCTCCAAGTGTGAAGTGTGAGGTTTGGAGTGTGAAGGAAGCAGTGAGAAGTGTGAAGTGTGAAGTGTGAAGTGTGGAGTGTGAAGTGTGGAGTGTGAAGTTTCAGTTTGGAGTGCGAAGAGCGCAGTGTGAAGTGTGAAGTGTGAAGTGTGAAGTGTGAGGTTTGGAGTGTGAAGGAAGCAGTGAGAAGTGAGAAGTGTGAAGTGTGAAGTGTGGAGTGTGAAGTTTCAGTTTGGAGCGCGAAGAGCGCAGTGTGAAGTGTGAAGTGTGAAGTGTGAGGTTTGGAGTGTGAAGGAAGCAGTGAGAAGTGAGAAGTGTGAAGTGTGAAGTGTGGAGTGTGAAGTTTGAAGTTTGGAGTGCGGAGAGTGCAGTGTGAAGTGTGGAGTGTGGAGTGTGAAGACTTTGCTTCGTCTCTCGCTGAAAAAATCAAACGGTTGTCGAGGGAAGGACACGGTCGGGACAGGGTGTCTTTGAACTATAGGTCATTTATGTTTGGGAAACTTCCGCCGCCGGCTTGCCCGGGTCTATGTTATATTATTATATATATATACACAGGAATGTCCATAATCTCAGCCGAGCTATGATGCTGCCTTAACAGTTGATGGATTCTGCATAAAGTCCCGAGCTAAGGCACGTTGAGAACAATCTCCAGAGCAATGCCTCGACGTGGACCATGGGACCATGCGTGCCATACGGTTTTACAGTACGATAGAACCCCCGAAAAAGATAGAAGAGCAAAATCCTACTGAAATAGACATATGGAGATATAAATAAAATTAAATAAATCTGTTCTATCTCTCTTGGGGGGGTACTATATTTGAAAAAATGTATCACTCTCCGATTTTTCGGATCCCTTGGAGCCACGAAGCAGTTGAGAACCAGATCCGATAGATTGATGGTGTGCACCACATACAGCGTGCCATACCACAGCAGGACGCAGGCAATGGTGAGCCGCACCACGGTGATGATGCAGCCCCACCTGGTGGTGGGTAAACCCCATGGATCGTTTCCTTTAAAAAGGATGCATTTGTGTTTAGCTGAGTATCCATTTAGTATCGTTTAGTATCATCTAGTATCATTTAGTATCATTTAGGCATGTATCATTGATACAATCAATTCATTTCTTTATTTGACCTGTGTATGAATACAAGAGAAACTGTATCAACTTGTATCAACTCTACACACATATTAGACATATGTGAAGCATGCTGAACCCACCAGCCATATCCCGGTGCTCAGAATCCCCATGTTGTTATCTGTTGGATATGTCAATTTGGCTTAAGACTGCAAAAATCACCACCTCAGTGACTCAGCGACCAGGCACAACTTTCGTGAAAATGAGATGTGGGTCAAGCGATATTTGGGATCTTCCTCATCCTCAGTGTCGAGAACCAGGCCTCAGTGGCGTTTTCGCTGGCTGCACCACTGGAGCCCATTGCTACTCCATCGCAGTGTGGGACGTTTTCTCAGGTGGGATGTATGGCAGCCATATGGTTTGGAAGGTGCCAACTGATAGAGGGATCCAAAAAAGTCATGGGAACTTCCGGTCTGTTTCTTTTGATCCCATCATATAATTTCCCACCCATTTCCATTCATATTTCATATCGGATAGTCATTACCCTCCAATCATGAAACGTGGCTGGAAAACCCCCCTATTTAGAGATGCTTTTTTCTTTTAGAAAACCTCCATTTTTGGCCCGAGATTCAGGTCTGTCCAACCGGGATGGTAATCAAAACTCTGCCTAGAGAGAGTTGCGCAGCCAAGTCACCGGGATATCATGGGATATATTGAATGAATGTAAAACCATATAAAATATGAATGGACGAAGTGGGAAAATCGTATCGTGGAGATTGGGATACAAACAACATGTGCAGTGACCCGTGTGAAACATGGTGAAAGTGAAAACTACTTCACAGTCCAGTGGGGGGAAGAAGGAAGCTGTTTCTGCAAGCTCAAAACCATCGTGGCAGGAGATCGGCTGATCTTGCTGTCTTGGTTCAAAGTTGGTTGTCAAACCATGTCGATGGCTATACACATGCCCAAATGGTTACATCCCCAACATTGGTTGTGACTGAATCCCCGAAATGGTTGGCTATGTTAAATACCCAACATGAGTTGTATGTCCATGATGGTTGGTTCTGTCACTACATTATGATTGGTTCTGTGGTTGCGTGCAAATGTGTTGCCCAATGCTAAAATGGCCTAAGATTGTCAATCCCCAAAATCGTATCCACACAAAACCTGGCCCAAATGTGATTCCTTTCGCACCCCAATGTGCGGGCAGCTGAACCCAATGTTTGATGGTTCTATCAGTCCTATCATACTATCCCCATATTTGGGTCTGAACATATTTTTCCCTCATAAAATTGCCATTTTGCAGGGATATAGCCCATTTCCAGATGCACCCGATTTTTACCATGGTGGCTTACAGAAAATCCCATGATTCCACCATGAAAAAAAATCCCCTGATATCCCATGATATCCCCATAAATACATATAAATACTCATAGCATGTGTTGGTTTTAAACACTCAGATATCATATTGTTGAAATATCCCAGTGAAAAATCCCCATTTATAGATGATTCCCAACCTAACTTGCATCATATATCCCACTGCTATAGTGAAATGTATTTATATAAGTTCTCACATTCTATCAACTTGGATATGTATCCCAGTAAACATCCCCATGAAAGTCCCCATGAAATCCCATGTCTATGGCCTAAATTGACGAAGAAATTCATGTCGCAGCCCCCTGAGCCCCGCCTAGATCTAAGGTTGTGGTCACATCATCCGAGACCATCAGAAACCACAACGTCACCGCCACCATACCCAGCACGGGGCCTGAAGACGTGCCGTGCCCCAAGAAATACCAGCAACACCAGCATCATGGTCTAAAAAAAAGGAACCGCGGTAAAAATGGGGGTTGAAGAAAAGTTTGCATTGAAGCGCGAAAGATCAGGTATTTCTACTCTAAATGGTCAAATCGTGTTTACTGAGTTTGTTCCACCAGCAAAAGCGCCGTCTCCACCCTCCACAGCAGCCTTTGAACAACACGAGGTTGTCGTTGGAACCCAAGTAGGTGGCCACGGTTTGGTATAAGGAGGCCTGGGATTCGAACCAGCAGGATCTGTAGCATTGCTGGGTTTGCCACATTATAACCGGCAAACTATGGCATCACTGGGCACAACCATCTTTACATGCATGAGATGTATGTATGTTTTTTTTTGCTGCACTCAGATTATATAGTCAAGCTCATCGCCGTACGATCATTGTAAGATCCGGAGCCATCCGGGCCGCGTAAGAGCAATGCTACAAATCTGCAGCTTGAGTTCCATGATCTTCCCATTGAAATCTCTCAGAAGAATCCATTGAATTCACCTGGATTTCCCAGCCTGGCCGGTTGCAACATGAAGGGCCCGGTCGTTCCCACAGACCTGGAAAGCTGATGGGATGGCGATTGGCGAAATCCGCCAATGGTTGCTGAATTCGGGTTCCCACAACGGATTATCGTAATCCCAATTACATTGAATGTGTACGTGTATATATATATAACTATATCTATCTATCTATCTATCTATCTATCTATCTATCTATTTATCTATCTATCTATCTATCTACCTATCTATCTATCTATCTATCTATACATATATATATATGGTCCCGTGTCCCGTGTTCCCACCCCCCCCCATGGGATGGGGGGGGGTATGATGCCCCTGTGGTGGTGTATATACATACATACATACCTACATACCTACCTACCTACCTACATACCTACGTACATACATACATACATACCATTACATTACCTTACCTTACATTACCTTACCTTACCTTACATTACCTTACCTTACCTTACATTACCTTACCTTTTATACATACATACATATTCCATACATACATACATACATACATACATACATACATACATACATACATACATACATACATACATACATACATACATACATACATACATACATACATACATACATACATACATACATACACATACATACATACATACATACATAATACATACATAACACATACATACATACATACATACATACATACATACATACCAACATACATACCAACATACATACCAACATACATACCAACATACATACCAACATACACACCAACATACCAACATACCACCACCGCAGGCCACGGGGGGGGCGGGGACCAGAAGAACCATACCACCACCATAGGCCACAAGGGGGGGGGACCAGAAGAACCAGACGATACTGTCCACCCATACCCATTGGTGGGGGGGGGAGGGGGGGTGGCCAACGCTGCACCATATATATATATATACACGTGCTCCGACGGCCCTTAGGCCTCCCCGCTAGCCAAGGTACGGTTATGGTAATTTAACCCCCTTCACCCTGTGGCCTGTGGTGGGGATGTTGGGGGTTGTGATACTATGTAGTGTATAATGAGCATATAATGTGATACGTAGTATACAGTCAGTGTATGAGAGTATGCAAGGAGTATGTCATATCAGTATATGTGTATAATATGTACAGTATACGCTTATATATGTATATCGCCTATATATGAGTGGGGATAGATAAGGTATAAGGAGTGTGTAAATTTATATAGTGTATTGCTGCGTTGGGGACAAACATAGTATTAGTGTATAAGAAAGATTAAGTAAGTATAAAAGTAGTATGGAGATAGTTTGTATGTTAAAGGGAGTGTCATATAGTTGCAAGTAGTACATAATATAGGTAGTATGTAGGTGTATGTGTGTAGTACTTACTGTAGGTGGAAGAACGGTAGAAGAACGGAAGTAGATTGGTTTAGAATATACCTATATATATATTATAGGCAGCTAGGGTCTCGTTGGGAGGTTGTGGGTCTGAAATGCTGCTGCGGCTCCCAAATGCTGCAAACAGCGTACAAGTGGAGGTTTGGGTGGGAAGCGTCAGGGACCATGCCATGGAGGGGTCGGAACATGGAACACAGAAGCATAAATATACATATAAATAAATACAAATATATATATATATACATGCATGCATATGGGGTAGTATAACACCCTATATAATCATCAACCAACTTGGGCTTTCTAAACCTCTCAAATAGTGATAGTCGGCCGTTTTTAGCCAATCCAAGGTGCTCGAGCAGTCAAGGATGCTTGGGTTATGGAGTCATAGAACTCGTGGAAATGTCCTGTGGCTAATCGCCATCGGCTGGCCTCAGGCGAAAACGTTGAAAGGGCGCATAGCGGCATAGCGGCTCTAGGCACAGGCACTGTGGAGATTTGGTCACCTGAGTCACCTGGGTTCACTCAGTTCACATCAGTTCACTACCCATGACTGGTACCTTGGTACTGAAAATTCCCCAATCGCTGCCCCTTCTCCGGATGAGTCGCCGATCAAAACAAGGGAATTTTTTTTCAAGGATCTCTCCTTAAATTCATTTGGATTCAATCTATTTCTATTAACCTCCCGAGTTTCTAAGCCCTTCTGAATGTTGAATTCCAATGAGTTCTGTTGCCTCCTCCAACTTGCCAAGGGGCGTCGGCGACCGACTCCTTGTCCACCCTAGGGGCGCTGAAGTTCAGCATCACCACGCCTACGAAGACCTCAGCTGGGGCTCAAATGTGGCTGGCTAGAAAATCCACCAGCACCATTTCCCATTGCCAGGTTCGATGACCGGTAAACGGAATCACAATCCCAAATTAAAAATGCTTGAAGAAATGGGGGTGATCACGGTTATCACACAAGGAAAAGGTTCCAGAATATGAAGCTATAGAATAGGGATTTACATGGGGGGTTACCATGGATATACAAACCGGATCTAGGTCCTAACTACCGTCCCAATCTTCTCCGATCAGAAACCTATGACCACAGGGCAGTCACTTCCCCCATGCGCCACTGTGGTGGATGCGAGAGGAATTCGAGACCGATTTGGATTTGCTGCGCCCGAAAGGTAAATGCTGTTTGAAAGAAAGAAGGCCCCAAAGCCTTTAATTTGAAATACTTAATGTGGAACCTGTGCCCCGGTCCACGGGCTAATCCGTAAACCGCTAATCCGTAAACCGGGTAATCATTAAGGATTAACTTGGATCAGGCTAGCTACAGAAACGCTATGTGTATTCCCAACAAGAATAACACATCTGACCAACAAAAACTCGGGATGCTATCTACATACGCCAGATCCATCCAGGCAAGGCACAACTTGAATGGCAAAGGTAGCAAGGACCAGGATGAAGGTGTGAATGGCGCCAAATGTTCCAATAGCATCAGTCCCTACCTCTGCAGCTCCGGGGCAATCAGCTAGAAATGATTGGTGCTGTACAAAAGGGTTCTGACCTCGCTGTGGTTTCTGAGACTTACCAACTTGCACGGTTCCCCCCATACTAGTCCAAATCGCAACTGAAGAGAATCATCAAACATTGGGACATTTCTCCACACAACTTGGACCACACGGGCGCATGCCAAATATGCGCCATGTTGCGAACAGGGCCAGATCCCATGTGCTACCTGCAGCACTTGCAGGGGACCAAGGGCCATCCATAAAGGTCTGGCAAAGCACTGCGAATAATGATTGCAATCTACATCACTACCGGGTCACTAGCATAAGAAATAGATTGTAAAGATAGCAAGAATGACCAACGACTACCATACTGCCATCGTCGTCATCATCTTCGTCATCCGAATTTCAGCGCTGTCACCGTTAATTTCCTTCAAAGTCTGCTATCAGCCATCTGTCATCCATCAACGTTGTTTCATCATCAAACTGCATCTGCTATCCTGCCCCACCATCATCGTCCATCCATCTTGACAAATTAAGAGAACTGGACACTTGACACTTGCATGTGCGGATGAAAACACAATTGCACTTGTTTTTCAAAGGCCCCCAGTTTTAATCCTGTTCCATGAAGTTCCTCGTCATTGTCCAAAATTCACCCCTACCCGCCCTCACCCCCAGCAAAAGAACATGGATGGTTGAAATGCTAAACATTACCAGCGTTTGGTGGGTCCAAGCTGGTGCCCGAATGACTTATAACGCCATATGGTTGGTTATATCCTACTAAGTGCCATTGCATTGATAACTACATCTCAATTATGGTTGCTCATTATCCCATGTTTTTGATGTAATTGGGATTACCCAAATAGTGTCCCTTAGTACCCAATTTATCCCATTGACCAAATAATTATGTGACTATGTGATTGTTAGGGATTACACTGTGTCTCATCCCATGTTGGTTTCCAATTATCCCAAGTAAAGTATGGTTAGGCAAGGTGATACAAGGTGGTGCCCCCCAGTTATAAGTTGGTAGATCTATCATTCTATCTACCATAGATCATACTCTAGTTGTTATCCTATATGGAGGTTTCCTAGAATGGGGGTACCCTAAATCATCCATTTTAGCAGGATTTTCCAGGATAACCCATCCATTTTGGGGGATTCCCCATTTATGGAACCCCCCCATATCAGAATGTAAGGGTCCGAGGGTCCGAGGGTCCCATTTTCTCATTTTCCCAGTCTCCAACGTCCGGAGTCGGCCTTGGAAAGCATATTCCTCGCGGGCCTTCGAATCCACCTCATCGTACCTCACCTGGCACCGTGGACGGGGGACCCAGATCTGGGATCTGGGGAGAAAAGGAGTTCGAGCGGCAAGAAGGGAATTTAGATCGGCAAAAATGTGGCTTTCGTCAGCCAAAAGGAGGGATCTCTACAAACGGGGGTGGATACAAATTGGACAAATAAAGATAAAAGCCAAAATCGATGTGTAGCCAAGAAGAATGCTGAAAACCAAGCAAAGCTTTAAGGAGGGCGTGTCCCCAATCCCCAACACTCCGCCAGCTCCATCTGCCATTCATGGCAGTTGCAAAACTATACAATACATGGATACAACTTCGTGCGATCGACATCTATTAGAATGGACTGCTGGCTGAACCAACCACAGCAAAGAATGTAAGAGTCAGTACTGCAGATCTCGGAAAACACCATTGATGTGGCCAAACAAGCCTGTACATCTATGTTTCCGGAAAGCTTCACATACAACAATATACGATATCGGCAATCCCCTCTGTGTTGTTCCTGGAGTAGCTTACAGTCACTATATACAGTATATTCTTGAGAATTCGTATGCCCTCTGCCATCGGTTCAATATGTATCTTCAGTCCAAAGTTTACTTGTAGGGGGATCCCATTTGTGTAGCATATTACCAGTATCACTTCGGGGGTAACCCCTAATTAGTCAACACAGTTTATTACTCTGGGGTTGGCAGTGTAGTTCACAGGTATGTCAATGTAATCTCAATACTGGCCACATCAACTGTTTCCAGGGGCCCAAGAATATGTTGTCAATCTACTCTGGTGATTCAGCATAGCTACGGAAAATTGCCTTTGATCAATGATTTACCAAAAAAAAGACACTGTAGTTGTTTTTCCATAGCAAACTGTTAAATTACCACAGGGTAAGAATCTACAATTATCCCAAAATCACTTCTACTTAGCCTCCGGTGTCATCAAACGTGGCTAGCTGGAAATCCCCGTGGCCTACATGGAGGTTTACAGCTGGAAAAATATTTTTCAAAAAAAGTGGACTTTGCAGCAGACCATTACATCCTATTGGTCATATAAGCCATATCTATGTACATATATGTATGTATGTATATATATATATACGTTCCCATTAGTGAGAAATGTTATATCCAACAAATTCCCATTATATCCCATTCCATGTTTGTTGACGCCGGAGGGGTAGCCCATCGCGAATTTCAGGCACGCCACAACGCGGCCACTTGTCCTCGTTCTTTCCGTCAAGGCAGGAGATGGTGATGGGGCCTGACATGTCCCGCGTGGCAAATCCAATAGTTGCCATTCTGGCTAAGTCAAAAGGATGTGAAACTCATTTTAAAAGCAATTTGATCCGTTTTTGAGTTTTGAAGCAGTTTCAACCCAGTTTCAACGCATCTGGAGGCCCAAAACAGTTTCGTCAGTTGCCACCAAAACCTCGCACGCTATAGTGGCATGTTACGTCGTCCTGTGGAATTGCCAGTTTCACGGAATGTTGATACGTTCCTTTCTGATTGGTATACCATGTGTATTCCATTTGTTTCATGTTGATATACCAAGATGCCATATGTTTCTGTGCCTATTTTTCGAATCTGAATTCAACGTGACTGAACTGTAATCCAATTGGTTCATACAAACACAACCCAAAGTTGTTGGCGTGAATCCGCGTTCTATCCCACCTCTATGCCTACTTTTGGAGCTGGAGACGTATGTACACAAATCTACATACACAGATATGATATGATATATATATATACATATACAGTATACATAAAATATCAACATATGAGGTAACTATCCCCTCAGTTGGCTGCATCTCCCCATCCTCCCCAGCTCCGCTCACTTCTGCCTCGTTCCGGACCTCCAGTTTGGCCGGGTTACTCACAGGAAAGGCCTGACGAACAGCAGGAGATCAGGTGAATTAGTATAGTATAATGTCTTCTATACATTATATATATATACCCTTACTGTAAACTAACATAGATGTGGAAGACCAATGGGGAAACACTCGGTTTTAGTAAGCTACAAATGGTAGATGTCTACTTCTATGTTAGTTTACAGTAGGGTATGTATAGATATAGTGTGTATATATATATATACATATATATATATATACATATATGCATAATCATGCTGAAGTAGATAGAATGTGACATGTTCAAAGATACACCCATTTTCATGAGGATTGTTGGAAATATCCATATTCTATCTATTCCCGGATGACTATGCAATACATGTTATAGATTTTCTCTCGAAAAGACATGTTATACATGTATCATAGTATGTGCATGTTATATTATGATGGTCACTTGATAGATATGCTGATATGCGTATAACATACAGTTTAAACAATATATCTATAGTGATAAATGCTGTTCTACATATTCATATAGATAATATGACCGTATGTTTGCGTGTCCCCCAAAAGCCTTGGAGAATCAGTGATCCCCTTGTGTTAGAGCATGATCAAACTCAATATATATATATATATATATATATGTGTGTGTGTGTGTTTATTATATATATATATGGTCCCGTGTCTCGTGTTCACATCCCGCACCCATATGGTATGGGGGGGGGTTACCCCACTCTCCACCACCCACCCCCCACACCTCACCCCCACCACATCCACACGGGGGGTTAATAGACATATATATATATATATACATGTATACTACTTAGATATATGCATATATACATATATGTATATAACACATATATATATATATATACATATAGATACACACACATACATACTTGTATAATCTTGTATATATCAATCCATGTACATATAGGGACCATCACCATCTCGGGGGGAGGGGGGGACCACCAAACGATGGGCCATATACATATATGTCATATGTATATATATATACAAACAGCATGCCGGGGTCATCATATATTTCCCCGCATGTTTAGTTAACAACTATGTACTGCTGTTAAGGGATCCATGTTGGGGAGACCATCATTTTGACCCAACCTGAGCCATGAAAAAAGAAACTATCCCATCCCATAAAGTACTACAGTAGTTGGTTAATAGGTATTCCTATTGCAGTATAGGTTGGTTCACAATCCTTATTAAACCAAGTGGTATAACCCACTACAATGACCAAACAACCCAACCAACACGCAATCATTGAACAAATACATGCCCATCTTCGCGTATTTGTGGTGGTTCAAAAACACGGTGCTCGATGTTTCAATCCACCTTTAATAACCAACCAAAAGAAGTATGTTCAATGGCCCGACTGTTTTTTCGGGGTCCCAGAGATTGAGGCATGGGATATTCTCTGGGATGACCTCCGTTTGAAATTAAAACCTTCGTTGCAGCATCAATTTCCATCTGTGGAACGCATCGGAATCAGAAAGCTGCTGATGCTAAGCCAGAAAGTCTGGCAACCTTTCAACCCCCACCTTCTCAAGCAGCTCAGACTCAGCTTTCTCTGGGACGGAGCTGGGCAAGCACATCCTGGCAGGTTGGGATGTCATCCTCCAGCTGTGAAGCTGCTCATCCCCCCATTTTTCACAGGCACAGTTGTGTCATACTCTCCATTTTCGCAGGTGATGTTCCCAGTTGTTGGATATCCCCAAGAATCCCAGGTTGCCGATCCTGTCTTTTTGCAAGTCATGGAGTTCTTGCTGCAATCCTTGGAAGAACAGTTGGCGACAGGGAGGGAGTGAAGTCCCGATTGGCAGGGTAGGCTCATTGTTGATTTGTTCTACTGGATTCTAAAACCAGAATGAAACCTATATCAAATCCTATTTTTCTGTTATGTCCATTGATTTCCATGGGTTTTCCATGGGTTTTCCATCAATTTCCATTGGTTTTAAGGGACTACCCCACCTTGCACCCCAGCTCCCCAGCTCCATGCTCCAAGCATCGCTTCACCAGGCCTTGCAGCTTCGCATGGCTGGTCTCCAGCTGCTCCAGGCCTTGTTTTTCGGGCCCTTACTTGTGAATCCATGTGAATCTAATCAAGTGTGCTTTTCAGCATCACCTATATCTATATTATCTATATACATCATCTATATATATATGTGTCTTTGTTGTCCGTATATCGTACATTGATTTGCTAAAGCGCAATACTGATTGGGATAAATGGGATCAGTACTGGCATGGATAATAAGTGGGTCAGTTCTTGATTTTCATACCTAAGAACATCTAAAAACCATGACAAATCAGCCCATGTCATGGAAGCATCATTATTTCAACTGCCTGATTTTTCTTTGGAAAATTCACCCTTTCGGACCATGTCGGACCATCCCAAAGTGGTCGCTGTCGTCGGGCGCCCCCGCGCTCTTCCTGCAAGATACAGTCCCATCCACCGTTCATGTCATCCCCAAATAGATTGGAAAATGATGAAAAATGAATTCCTATTAATTTGATGGTGATGGTCTTTTCCATCTGGAGATGACTAGATCTAATATGAAGCACACACATTCTATGGCTTCCAATATGTGTAGATCATCCCCTACACCCACCATGGTTTCTGGGAGATATGAATGGGGGAAGGGATTAGTTTTAGCCCCTGGAAGCAGTGTCAGTCCTGAGAGGCAGCTGGCGCCACTTCCATGCCTGAAGTGGAAGGTTCTTGCGGGTGGGGAGGTGTATGTACGCAGTATATATATATATATATATATTATATATATATTATATATATATATTATATATTATATATATATATGTATTATATATATATTATATATATTATATATATATATATTATATATATGTATTATATATATATGTATTGATGATTGAGTACACATTCACATATATACATGTATGTGTGTATGAATATATATATATATATGTCACCTGGCGAATTTCAAATCCCAAATATGGATTCCTGTGAAATGACACTCAAAGCAAGTCTGGAAATCAGCCTCGCTCAATCTGCCAAGTGGAAAGTTATCGGTCCGAACATCTGGTGACAGATCGTGACGAAAAAGCATAGGCAAACATTGCAAACATCAACCAAAACGGATCACTACACTCGTGGTGTACCGCCTGAAATCTCCCAGCTCTGTCCGGTGATCCCACGAATGGTAATGGACCAGATGCAAGTGAGCTGTTCCCAAGTCATCAGAAGTCTAGGTCAGGGTTCCCATTTACCCGACACCCATTTTTTCAATGGGATTAAGCCTGGACTTCATGAAAGTAGCTGGTGGATGGATCGAATCACATATATGTTTGTGTATATTATTATATATATATATATATGTACACATATGAACTGGAACGGAAGGTTTTAGATGAGGTTCCAAGTCCTACGCCACATACTACTCATGCCAACTTCAAGGGGAAGAACCTCCCAGACTTGAGGAAACCAGCAATCTCCCCTGCAATGGTGGTGAAATCCCTCACGATCGTCCACTTTCCTTGAATTGTCCCAGAGTTTGTTGGTGATATCCCCACTCTTTTTTGGCCCCTTTCATGTCCTAATGACTCTTAGGCTGTATTCATGCACTGCAAACTCTGAAGCGTGACAGTTCCCCCAAAATTGATACAAACGTCATTTTTCCATACTGTTAGACAATAATGTTATAGGATCTTACTTTTCTATCTGTTCTATCTCTTTGAAGGTGGCACAGTACATCTCCAACCCAACTGCAGCAAGTCTAGGCACTTGCCGGCGGCTCATCAGGTTCCGCCGCCAGCGCTCGGGACATGGCGAGACAGGCGACACTTCAGCACGCGAAGCTGCAGGCCATGGCAATGGCCAGAACTAAATGGTTTCACCAAGAGGAAATGGGGGGAAACCCTAACGAAATCCAGTTTTTTTTACCACAAAGCACCAAAAGGTGAAGCCTCACAAATTACAAACACTGATCAATGTTTGTGGACCTCCATGCTATCATTTTGGCTCAACGTAGCCGGATTTCTGGCACTCACCACGTCACCACGTCATCAAGTCGTCATTTCCAAACTTCCTGGGTCTTGGGGAAAAATATCATTCATCTGTTTGGGTCATGTCATGTTTCTTGTTTGTTGTTGATGTTGGCATGAACCACAACAACTAAGTGGGGTCTTGCGACTTCCCTATTGACAACTGGGTGTGGCGGTGTGGCTCAAGAATTGTGAATTGTAACGCGATGTGGTCGTTTTTGGTCTCTAAGAATCAAATTTTGAGGTTAATGATTTTCGAGCCTTGCACAAGCAGAGAAGGTGAAAATTCAAAAACCTGTTGTGACCCAGGGATAATTGTGTTGGTGACCAATAAAGGCAGGGTCCTGCAATCGACGAGCTACAGCCTAGCGCTTCCCAACTTGTTGTTTCCAAAAAGTGTAGACTCCTAAAAAAAGATAATTTATATTATAAATTTATATAATATATATATATATATACATATACATATGTTATATAATTTCATACCAGGTCAGTGTTTGTGACTTTTGTGGGTCCCCCATTTTTTGACCCACCGATCTGTTGAAGATTGATATCACCTGTGGTATGGGAAGTTCTGTCTCCTGCGCGGCCTTTGGCAGCCATTTATGGTGAGATCTGCCATTGAGGTCTCGGCCCCACAATTTTTACCCCGCAATTACTAGCCGCTTTCCAAACCCATCCAACTGTAGATATGTCCACCACTATATCCTAGTGGGCCTAGTTATCAACATTTATCAACCAAATTGCTCATCTGGGGTGGCCCTTCTTGCAGTCATCATGGATATAACCCTAATTGCGATTGGCAATTGGCCCTTTGGCTCCCTCCCCCAGAACCTGGAGGTAGGACTAGGCTCAGCATCCTGACCGCAGTGTGCCGTCAGTGATTCGGGCACATCAAAAGCAGGTAGCAAAACGTGCACAGCAGCTGGAGCCATGCATTCCTCACATCCGCTGAAACCAAATGCCATCAATCAATCAGTTCGCAGAAAAAGCAACAGGAAAACACGCAGCCTCGTGTAATTACTAGTCACCAATTCCACCTATCTTCGGGGCACATCTCAACGTGGCATGCGAGAAACGATTCTACCACACAAGAAGCAACCCGTTTTTCAAATGTTGATTGGCAAAGTCTAGTCCAAGTCAGTGATAATCAGTCGTAGTCAGTGATAATGTGCTGAAACTAATGAATATGTATGCGTTTAAATGTGGATGCTCACAAAATCCTCAACCCATACATGAGCACGCGCAAGTAGGTATCAGTTGTTTTCTTCTCTTCTCGATAAATGACTGCAACAAAGCAGCCTGAGTCTGACATCTTGCCAGCTTGGCAAGCTTACTGCAAACGGCTAGATCATCTAGGTATAATAATTGAAAAACGGATGCTGAAGCAACACTTCAGGACTGGGACGTTCAATGCGGTCCCATTTTAGCATTTTAGCAGCTAAATCTGAGGCAAGTGTATTGAATTTCAAACTTGCGACCCGAAAGTCACCGTAGCACTGCCAAGCTGAAAGTGGAGTCATGGATGCCAGGCGAGTTCTCAGGGTTTCATGTTGCTCAATAATGTCTTCATCCTCAATGATTTCTTCATCCTCATAGTTGAACAAATGGTCAATGTCCAGTAGAAGCTCCAAAAATACGACTCCAGCACTATAAATGTCTCGACGACGCCCAAACCTGGTTTGCCCGTAGGAATTCTGCCCATGCTGTGCAACCAACACCTCTGGTGCAACATAGTGAGGATTTCCTCTGTACAGCAGGGTCTCTGTGTGAAAACTGGATGGAACAAAACAAGCTCTCCTGATCTTGCCCCTGGTCAATCAGCTCATGCCGCCGGACTGCTGACTCAAAATCAATGATGGTCAACCTGCCTGTCGCATCAAATATGGCGTTAGGCTTGGGTCCTCCTTTGATATTGCAATGCACAATGTCTTTGTGCCAAAGTGCGTCCAGACCGTTCAGGAGCTGCCGCATATAGCTCACTATCCCCGGCTTCCGTCTGGGATACATGTTGACACCCAAATCTGGGAAAACAAACGTGAGATTTCCATCGGGGTCGTAGAAATGAGCTTCAATTTGCACCACATTGCGAAGACCTTGCAAGTCTTTGTAATACAGATTCAGTTCATACACTTGTTGATCCTCAAGAGATTGATGTGTTGGCATGGTGCTGCTCAGATATTTCTTGAAAATCATGAAGCGGCCTCTGTGAAGACATCGCTCGACCAAAACGTCTGACTCTCTATGCACTTCATCCTGCACATCGACTTCCTCAAAGTCTGAAGCCGGCAAGGGTGATTCTGGAACTGCTGTGGATGGACTCACTGACACTCGGCTCAAAATTCCTTCCAGCAATGGGAACAGTCTATCCCTCACGTTTTCGGCTTTTTCCTGTGCCGAGACATGAGGCTGCACCTTGATCTTCTGGTAAGGCTTGGTGCGTAACTGGTCCCGCAGCTTGCTGATTTGAGCCCGTCCATAAGCAACGTAACCAGCAGTGTCGCCTGCAGAATGCACATTGATGGTGCAGGCAGTCTTCGCAGTCTTGTCCGTCTTTGTGGTCACTGCTGTTGCTGCAGATGACATTCGGGAACGTGTCTGCCAAGCTGACCCTTGCATGGATGCCAGCAAAGCCTCGGATAGGTGAGGCTTATGGGGTTTCATGTTGCATACAGATCCGTGTCAGAATGATTGCGGATCCTTGAGGAGGAAACCGGCGCAAAGAAAAGTTGTAAGAACTCATGGTTCATGACATGGGTGTGTCTGAAAATCTGGTACCTCGTCCAATGGTTGTTCATGATTGTGGATTAGGGGGTCTATCCCCAATTTCCACACACATATCCCATGGTGTGCCACAAGGCATCCCGAAGATCACATCGAGGATGATTTCAGCAGTCGAACAGCCAATGTGGTTAAGCCACTGATAAACCTCCGATCACGGATGGCTTGTCCCACCTTTGCTTTCCGGTACAAATGAGGATGGTTTCTGGCACGTCCTCATGGACCCACAAAATATATCACCTTTTGGTATTAGACCATTTGTTTTGGGGCTTCCAATCGTTTTGATCCCAGATATGTTCTCTCCTGTGTCACTCATTTTTTCTGGATGCAGATGACATGAGTAGTTCAGTCAGCGTCCAAATGCCAAGAAGTCACGGCACTTTGAGTGCTTGTAACGAGCTTAGCTAGGCACTAAACGCAAACTACACCCTGTGGAAACCTTCTGGAAGTGAAGAGTCCTTTCCACTGAAAGTTGTTTCTTGGGCAAGCGACTCAAAGCAGCACCAAACTACAACTCAAGTGCATGCATGCAGTGATAGATTACAACATACCCATTTCGCAGCATATGATCATCAACTTTCAGTGCTGCCTCAGTTCATTAACATCCCATCATCCCCGGGCAACCCCAATTCACAACTGCCAGATCAAACAATGCTCATGCCAGCCAGAAGTTCGGGCTCTTCCAGGACCTCAGGGATGCTAACCACACATGTCACTGGGCGTATGGACAACTAGTCAGCCATCTTTTGAGGATATCAAAGGAAACAGGGTCAGATGAAAAGATCAGCACTGACAAGAATGGCTGTCTGTACTTTGATGTGCTCGAAAAGTGCTCGAAAAAGACCTATTTATACGAAAAACAATGGATGAATAGTCATCGACACGCAGAATGATGCTGTGCCGACCTTAAACAGCCAACGGCCATTACATTTGGTTCCATGAAGCTCTTCAACTCCCCACCTGCAAACACATGGCAACAAAGGCCCACGGCAGGAGCAAATTGTGGCACTGGTGAATTCCACCACTTTCTGAACAGGACCCAGCCATTGGGACTAATCATCCCATTGCAACATTTCAGGAATATAGCAACATGTCTGGCATGTTTAAAACCATGGCCAAATCAACAAACCTTAAGGACCAGAGCAGAAGTCAATAGGAACAAACCATATTTGTCTGGTGATTGCCATGTTTGGAGTCATTTTGGAACGATTTCCCCAACCCTAATCCTGACCCGTCTGCTGAATCCAAAACCTGTGTTCTAGTGATTTCCCATGTACGTATGATATGTATATATATATATAATTATCAAAGGAAGTTTAGGGGGAGAAACTTCCGTGTTACGGACTTTTAGAATGTCAGGGAAAGAGTTAGTCAAAGAAAGAGTTAGTCAAAGAAACAGTTGGTCAGGGAAAGAGTTAGTCAAAGAAAGAGTTAGCAAAGAAAGAGTTCGTCGGGGAAAGAGTTAGTCAAAGAAAGAGTTAGTCAAAGAAACAGTTAGTGAGGGAAAGAGTTAGTCAAAGAAAGAGTTAGCAAAGAAACAGTTAGTCAGGGAAAGAGTTAGTCAAAGAAAGATTTAGTGAGGGAAAGAGTTAGTCAAAGAAAGATTTAGTGAGGGAAAGAGTTAGTCACAGAAAGAGTTAGCAAAGAAAGAGTTCGTCAGGGAAAGAGTTAGTCAAAGAAAGAGTTAGTCAAAGAAACAGTTAGTCAGGGAAAGAGTTAGTCAAAGAAAGAGTTAGTGTCAGGGAAAGAGTTAGTCAAAGAAAGAGTTAGTGAGGGAAAGAGTTAGTCAAAGAAAGAGTTAGTGAGGGAAAGAGTTAGTCAAAGAAAGAGTTAGTCAGGATATATGAGGTAGTCAAAGAAAGAGTTAGTCAGGATATATGAGGTAGTCAAAGAAAGAGTTAGTCAGGATATATGAGGTAGTCAAAGAAAGAGTTCGCAAAGAAAGAGTTAGTCAAAGAAAGAGCAAAGAAAGAGTTAGCAAAGAAAGAGTTCGTTAGGGAACGAGTTAGTCAAAGAAATTGTTCCCGCAATGTAAATGGGATTGCACGTGGTGCTGGTGGATGAGTTGCCGATGGAGTTTTGGAGGAAGTCTCGCACGAAATGCGTTTTTGAGAGATAGCAGATGCACGAAAGCCTATGTTTTTCCATACAAAGTCCGTCCCCGAACCTCGATGACCTACCTCTGCGGTGCGACGGGTGCGAGACGGTCTCGTGTGTGGTCGGATCATGGTCGGATATGCTCGGATCATGGTCGGATCATGGTCGGATCGGTTCCGCATTGTAAATGGGGTTTCAACTGTTTTTCGTGCATGTGTGGTCGACAGAATTCCATTGTGATTTGCAACTGTAGAATCGTTCCCGCATTGTAAATGGGATTGCAAGTGGTGCTGGTGGATGAGTTGCTGATGGAATTCCATTGTGATTGGCAACTGTAGGATCGTTCCCTCAATGTAAATGGGATTGCAAGTGGTGCTGGTGGATGAGTTGCCGATGGAGTTTTGGAGGAAGTCTCGCACGAAATGCGTTTTTGAGAGATAGCAGATGCACGAAAGCCTATGTTTTTCCATACAAAGTTCGTCCCCGAACCTCGATGATCTACCTCTGCGGTGCGACGGGTGCGAGACGGTCTCGTGTGTGGTCGGATCATGGTCGGATATGCTCGGATCATGGTCGGATCATGGTCGGATCGGTTCCGCATTGTAAATGGGGTTTCAACTGTTTTTCGTGCGTGTGTGGTCGACAGAATTCCATTGTGATTTGCAACTGTAGGATCGTTCCCGCATTGTAAATGGGGTTGCAAGTGGTGCTGGTGGATGAGTTGCTGATGGAATTCCATTGTGATTTGCAACTCTAGGATCGTTCCCTCACTGTAAATGGGATTGCAAGTGGTGCTGGTGGAGGAGTTGCCGATGGAGTTTGGAGGAAGTCTCGCACGAAATGCGTTTTTGAGAGATAGCAGATGCACGAAAGCCTATGTTTTTCCATACAAAGTCCGTCCCCGAACGTCGATGATCTACCTCTGCGGTGTGACGGGTGCGAGACGGTCTCGTGTGTGGTCGGATCATTCTCGGATATTCTCGGATATTCTCGGATCGGTCTCGGATCGGTTCCGCATTGTAAATGGGGTTTCAACTGTTTTTCGTGCATGTGTGGTCGACAGAATTCCATTGTGATTTGCAACTGTAGGATCGTTCCCCCATTGTAAATGGGGTTGCAAGTGGTGCTGGTGGATGAGTTGCCGATGGAATTCCATTGTGATTTGCAACTCTAGGATCGTTCCCTCACTGTAAATGGGATTGCAAGTGGTGCTGGTGGAGGAGTTGCCGATGGAGTTGTGAAGGAAATCTCGCACGAAATGCGTTTTTGAGAGATAGCAGATGCACGAAACCCTATGTTTTTCCATACAAAGTGCGTCCCCGAACCTCGATGATCTACCTCTGCGGTGCGACGGGTGCGAGACGGTCTCGTGTGTGGTCGGATCATGTTCGGATCATGGGCGGATCATGGTCGGATCGGTTCCGCATTGTAAATGGGGTGTCAACTGTTTTTCGTGCATGTGTGGTCGACAGAATTCCATTGTGATTTGCAACTGTAGGATCGTTCCCGCATTGTAAATGGGGTTGCAAGTGGTGCTGGTGGATGAGTTGCCGATGGAGTTGTGAAGGAAGTCTCGCACGAAATGCGTTTTTGAGAGATAGCAGATGCAGGAAACCCTATGTTTTTCCATACAAAGTCTGTCCCCGAACCTCGATGATCTACCTCTGCGGTGCGACGGGTGCGAGACGGTCTCGTGTGTGGTCGGATCATCCTCGGATTGGTCTCGGATCGGTCTCGGATCGGTTCCGCATTGTAAATGGGGTTTCAAGTGTTTTTCGTGCATGCGCGGTCGACAGAATTCCATTGTGATTTGCAACTGTAGGATCGTTCCTGCAATGTAAATGGGATTGCAAGTGGTGCTGGTGGATGAGTTGCCGATGGAATTCCATTGTGATTTGCAACTCTAGGATCGTTCCCTCGCTGTAAATGGGATTGCAAGTGGTGCTGGTGGAGGAGTTGCCGATGAAGTTTTGAAGGAAGTCTCGCACGAAATGCGTTTTTGAGAGATAGCAGATGCACGAAAGCCTATGTTTTTCCATACAAAGTCCGTCCCCGAACCTCGATGATCTACCTCTGCGGTGCGACGGGTGCGAGACGGTCTCGTGTGTGGTCGGATCATGCTCGGATCATGGTCGGATCGGTTCCGCATTGTAAATGGGGTTTCACCTGTGTTTCGTGCATGTGCGGTCGACAGAATTCCATTGTGATTTGTAACTGTAGGATCGTTCCCGCAATGTAAATGGGATTGCAAGTGGTGCTGGTGGATGAGTTGCCGATGGAATTCCATTGTGATTTGCAACTCTAGGATCGTTCCCTCAATGTAAATGGGATTGCAAGTGTTGCTGGTGGATGAGTTGCGATGGAATTCCATTGTGCTTTGCAACTGTAGGATCGTTCCCGCAGTGTAAATGGTTGCGTCAAGGTTGCTTTTTGCTGTGGCTGCATTGGTAATACTATTGTCTTTTGCAGCTGGACTTCGTAAATCGTATTGGAGTGGCTGCATGAAGGCTGCCACAGTGATTTGTCAGCAGATTTTCTTCATTTTGGCGCTAGTGATTTTCCTTCTAAAAATCCTTTTAGAAAGTGCTTCAAAATCGTCTTTTTTTCGCTCTGGCGTCGAGATCCGGTTTTGGAGCTACAATTTCCGACGCCGTTGTGCGTAGTTCTATTGTGTTTTGCAACTCAGTCTCTGCAGATCGCATTGTAATGGCTGCGTCAAGGTTGCTTCGTGCTGTGGCTGCATTGGTAATACTATTGTCTTTTGCAGCTGGATCTCGTAAATCGTATTGGAGTGGCTGCATGAAGGCTGCGACAGTGATTTGTCAGCAGATTTTCTCCATTTTGGCGCTAGTGATTTTCCTTCTAAAAATCCTTTTAAAAAGTGCTTCAAAATCGTCTTTTTTTCGCTCTGGCGTCGAGATCCGGTTTTGGAGCTACAATTTCCGACGCCGTTGTGCGTAGTTCTATTGTGCTTTGCAACTCAGTCTCTGCAGATCGCATTGTAATGGCTGCGTCAAGGTTGCTTCGTGCTGTGGCTGCATTGGTAATACTATTCTCTTTTGCAGCTCGACTTCGTAAATCGTATTGGAGTGGCTGCATGAAGGCTGCCACAGTGATTTGTTAGCAGATTTTCTCCATTTTGGCGCTAGTGATTTTCCTTCTAAAAATCCTTTTAAAAAGTGCTTCAAAATCGTCTTTTTTTCGCTCTGGCGTCGAGATCCGGTTTTGGAGCTACAATTTCCGACGCCGTTGTGCGTAGTTCTATTGTGGTTTGCAACTCAGTCTCTGCAGATCCTATTGCAATGGCTGCGTCAAAGTTGCTTCGTGCTGTGGCTGCATTTGTAATACTATTGTCTTTTGCAGCTGGATCTCGTAAATCGTCTTGGACTGGCTGCATGAAGGCTGCGAAATGGATTTGTTAGCAGATTTTCTCCATTTTGGCGCTAGTGTTTTTTGTTGCACGTAGGATTAGAGCATGTGAAGTGTGGGGCGTGAAGAGTGCAGTGTGAAGTGTGCAGTGTGAAGGAAGCAGTGGGAAGTGAGAAGTGTGAAGTGTGGAGTGTGAAGTGTGGAGTGTGGAGTGTGAAGTTTAAGTTTGGAGTGCGAAGCGCGCAGTGTGAAGTGTGAAGTGTGAAGTGTGAGGTTTGGAGTGTGAAGGAGGCAGTGGGAAGTGTGAAGTGTGGACTGTGAAGTGCGAAGTGTGAAGTCTGAAGTGTGGAGTGTGAAGTTTCATGTTTGGAGTGCGAAGAGTGCAGTGTGAAGTGTGGAGTGTGAAGACTTTGCTTCGTCTCTCGCTGAAAAAATCAAACGGTTGTCGAGGGAAGGACACGGTCGGGACAGGTTGTCTTTGAACTATAGGTCATTTATGTTTGGGAAACTTCCGCCGCCGGCTTGCCCGGGTCTATGTTAATTATAATTATAATTATAATTATAATTATATATATACAATATATACACCATTTAGATAAATAATATCTATCTTATAATTACTTATATGTGTCGTATGATCATTTTTTTCCAAACATATCGCTGAACAGTGCCCAGACACCAGCGACGGCGCTGGTGGCCGCTCCACCTCGGGCGTCTCGTTCCGCCACTGTGCTGCGATGAGCGCTGGCTCGGCCACCGCCCAGGCCTGGAGATCCCAGGGATCCATGGAAATCCATGGGAAATCCATGGGAAATCCATGGGAAATCCATGGGAAATCCAGGGAAATCTAGGGAAATCAACTATAGCAACTATACATGGGCCACTTTCCATAGATTTTCCTATCGATTTCCCACATCCGATGCTAGTGTACCAGAGGGTAACGTTTGGAAGTTCACCAAGAGCAATGCAAGGTGGTGGTCCAGTTTATGGTAGATATTGATATATCTACGTATAGATAGGGCACCACCTTGTGCGGGGTTCCAACAATAACTATGCGGTGTTCTAACCAAAAAAAGGTGAATTTCATCAACAGCAATGGGGGGGTTCTGACAGTGTTTATGTGGAAAAACACAAGAGGAAATTTAGTGACTATAACATGAAATTCAGCTTTACAACAATTGGTTTATGGGGATTTCATCAAAAACAATTGGGGACAGTAAATATTGAATTCCGGTCATAAAGTTAACAACTGATGTCATCCGGCGCCTGGCGCAACGCCTCCAGCGCCTCCGCCGCTGCGCCGAAGGCACCATCGCCTTCGGCCGCGCCGTCGCAAGCGTCGCGCCGGAGCAGGCGGCGGAGCCACTGGGCCAAGCCTTTGACCCAGAAATCCAGGTGATTCAACGAAGGAAAGAAGCAAAAATGCCCCGTGAATCAGAAAATATCTCAAAAAATCTTGGTGGGTTGGGATTTGATTTGGAAATTTGGGGATTTGACTGTATTGAGAAAAAACTTAAGATGTGGATTTTAAAGACCAAGTATTGAGAATTCATCATTCGTCGAGAAGATTGGGATGTAACCTTGGGAAACGAGGATTTAACCCGCGAAATGCATTCACAAGATCAGGACAGAAGCGACAATCGCACAACCCAATTAAAAATGTGAGACGCAACATGGCAAAGTCTACAAGTAGAGCAAGAAGGGGGATGTGGCCAAGAGAGTTGAAGGTGCAACTCTGATGGTGCACAATAATGAGGTCCATCCAAGTTTTGGAAGCCCTGCGAGCAAAGGTGCCTTTTATCTATGAGCCTGTTTTGACCCTTCAGGTTGACCCATCCGTTCCCACCACGTATGTTTATCTTATGTATGTATGTATGTATGTATGTATGTATGTATGTATGTATGTATGTATGTATGTATGTATGTATGTATGTATGTATGTATGTATGTATGTATGTATGTATGTATGTATGTATGTATGTATGTATGTATGTATGTATGTATGTATGTATGTATGTATGTATGTATGTATGTATGTATGTATGTATGTGTATGGGTATGTATGTATGTTGTATGTATGTATGTATGATGTATGTATGTATGTATGTATGTATGTATGTATGTATGTAGTATTATGGTATGTATGTATGTATGTATGTATGTATGTATGTATGTATGTATGTATGTATGTATGTATGTAATGTATGTATGTATGTAATGTATGTATGTATGTATGGCTATGGTAATGTATGGCTTGTATTGTATGTTAATGTATGGTAATGTATGGTAATGTATGGTAATGTATGGTAATGTATGGTAATGTATGGTAATGTATGGTAATGTATGGTAATGTATGGTAATGTATGGTAATGTATGTATGTATGGTAATGTAATGTAATGTAATGTCATGTCATGTCATGTCATGTAATGTAATGTATGTATATATATATATATATGTGTGTGTGTACATGTTTACATCCTGTTTGTTTGTGTTCATACTCATACCTTTCTATAGATATACTTGTTCTTGAAAACATCCGCATCTTTGGAAGCAACGTGACCATGATTGTTGGCTACATAAATCACATGTTTGATCGTTCGAACCTCATTGTTTTACCATTGTTCTACAATTATCACTGCGTGTGATGCTCGTTTTAGTCGCTTAAATATTGGTATACCAGGAATTTATATGAATTTATGAGGATTATCTCCAACTTTCCCATCTGCTCCCAACCCCACAATCCCCCAACCACACCAAGCGTCCCTGGGCGCCCTCCGACAGATTCACATGGAACACCCCGCGACGCGCGACATCGAAAGCGGAGCAGAAGAGCTCCAGTTCCCAGTCCTGGTCATAGCATCAGCAATCGACCAGGCATTTTTCATGGGGTTATCAACCATCAACAATTGGGAGATTTGCTGGTATAAATATATATATATATGATTATATTATTATATATATACATATATATATATATGTGGTATAAATATATCTATATATTTATTTATTTATATACACACAGTAACTAGCAATCTGATACCGTCTTTTTGGGTATGTCCAAGAATGTTGGATGGCCATTTCAGTGGAAAAATGATGATCAACCAACATGCCAGCTTTGGCGAACCTTGGATGTAGCCAATTTTGAGTGGGATGGGGAGATATGATGGGATGTCATTTCTCCACTGATAGGCAAAGACTACCCAATTGCCAAACCAAGGCTTACACAGACTCCAGACAACATGAACAGAATGTTGTTGGATTCATCTGCCAAGTTGTGTTTGGGGCTAGCTTTCACATGGACATCTGTCTAAAGCAATGCACACGGATATAAATTCTTCATGACACGGCTCTAATGATATTCTCTGTTTCTTCGGGATGCACGTCTTTGACAAAGGATTACAAAAAGAGCATACCATCTGGCCAAACTGTATAAAAAGCAAGCCCTCAACGAACTATCCGATCCAAATAACAAAAAGTAGGAACCACTCAAAAGGTGGGAGAGCCACTGCAAAATCAACCTCTAAAAAATTAGATCTTCACCGTTCAAAGAACATGGAACATGACAAATGATACACATACATAGAGGTAGAGATTGATATGTATGTATGCATGCATGCATGCATGCATGCATGGATGTATGTATGGATGGATGGATGGATTGGAATGGAATGGAATGGAATGTTATGTTATGTAATGTAGTGTAGTGTAGTGTGATGTGATGTGATGTGATGTAATGTATGTATGTCTGTATATACACATATACATAGAGTCAATGCTATATACATAGAGAGAGATAGATACACGAATAATATACATATATCATTTACATATACGTCATTTCTCAATGCTATATCAATGCTATATCACTGCTATGTAGCATACATATACATACATGTATATATATATATATATCAATACACATGAACGTGGGTGGTCCTTAGAAATTGGGGATCCCAAGTCACCATGGGTTTCAGTACTACAATGGTCGTCCATGACTTGGATGATAACTGGGGGTCCCCCCATGACTGGATGGAAACCCCCATATATCCGTTCACCATCATTTTCCTTTCTCAATGCGAATTTTATGGGTGTACCCCCATTTTCAGACAGACCCAAATGCAAATATTATTGTATATATGAATCATATTGTTTTTTATTTATATATGTATTTATTTGTTTATCTATTGATTTATGTGTTTATATAATATATATATATATTCATATTAATCGAATTATCAATCATTTATATATATATATATATCCCAACTGTTCACCTTCGGCCTGCGCTTCTTGCCCCAGCAGGCTCTGGTGGCACAGCCGCCGCAGCTGTTCCACGGCCTCAGCGCAGTCCGCGCAGCGCGGCAGCGCCAGGGCGGAACACACGCAGCCGCCCAGGCGGTAGAGGTCCGTGGCCTCGGTCTCCAGGTCCTGGCGCGGTCAGCTTTGGAAGGGATTTTTGTGGAGAAAAATATGGGAAAATTCCGAAACGATGGGAAAATGGCCATTTTGTAATGGATAGAAATGGAGCTTTAGAGCTGGGAAAATGATATCCATGAGATCCCAGAACTAGATTAATTGAGGTTTAGAGCTGGGAACATCATTGAACTAAATGGATTTTCCAGCAAGCCATGTTTGATTTCCGGAGGGATCAATGTGCAATTTCCAACTTGTAACATGTGTTAACCAACCAAAAGACAAAGATGGAAAATAAGAAATGTAGTTTGTCAGGAAGATAATTACAATAGATGTGTTAAAATTAAAATGACCAAAAGCTCAGGGTCCTTGCTGCGACTATAAAGTAAAAATCCGCCCTGCGCTGAGCCGGTAGCAGAACAAAGCTCAAGTTCTGCAGTGGGGAAAGCTTTACAGTGCTAATCTCAGTCCAGGTGTCTTTTCATTTCTTGTGTCCACCCAGCACTCCAGCCACTCCCCCCTCACCGCCCTCCAACCTCGCCGGTGTACAGTGCGATATACTGTTCTGGCGCGGAGAAGACCTAAGTCTCAGCCAGACATGGCAACTGCCAACTTACTCGGCATTCGAAGCTGCATTTGAATAAATGCAGAATATTCGGGGTGGTTGGACCCAGCAGGTTCCATTTGTTTGCAAAAAAGGTTGGAAAGAACTTCATTGCAGTCTGTCTTCAAATGGACCTGAAAATTGTCAATTGAATGGTGGGAAATATCATTGTGAACAATGATTCAGATTTGGTTGCTGAAACAGACTCACAGATCAACATGTAAAAAATACATGAAAGTGCCCAATATCCTAATTGACCCCAATTGAGCAGTGTTAAAAACCCTCTATCGTCCCTTGATACTGGTGAGTTAATATGATGTCCCAGTTCATGGATTGTGATCATCCCTAATATATATATATATGGTATAACCCCATATGGAGGTTTCCTAAAACAGGGGTACCCCCAAATCATCCAAGTCATGACCATCTTAGTATTGAAACAACCATGGTGACGACTGGGAATCCCCATTAAAAGAAAAAAACATATGTATCATCAACCAAACAGTGTTGTTCATCAATTATATCCCCACATCGTTGATGGTTAAAGCCCAATAAGAGCTCTATGAATGGTGGAACGATACCCTCATTAAACCCATCAAAACCTATCAAAACCCATTAAAACCTATTAAACCCCATTAAAACCCATTAAACCCCATTAAACCCCAAGAAAACCCATTAAACCCCCTTAAAACCTATTAAACCCCATGAAAACCCATTAAACCCCATTAAACCCCATTAAAACCCATTAAACCCCATGAAAACCCATGAAAACCCATCAAAACCCATCAAAACCCATTAAACCCCAATTAAACCCCATTAAACCCCATTAAACACCATCAAAACCCATTAAAACCCATTAAAACCCATTCAACCCCATTAAGCCCCATCAAAACCCATCAAAACCCATTAAAACCTATTAAACCCAATCAAACCCCATTAAAACCCATTAAAACCCATTAAAACCCATTAAACCACATTAAAACCCATTAAATCCCATTAAAACCCATTAAAACCCATTAAAACCCATTAAACCCCATTAAAACCCATTAAAAACCACTAAAACCCATTAAACCCATTAAACCCCATTAAAACCCATGAAAATCCATTAAAACCCATTAAACCCCATTAAAACCCATTAAAACCCATTAAACCCCACTAAAACGCATGAAAACCCATTGTAGCCCATTAAACCCCATTAAAACCCATTAAACCCCTATTGTATAATGGTTATCCCCATATAATCATCACTCAACAAAGTCTTTCAACTCGGCTCACCGATGGCGGTCGCAGGCTGGTCAGCTCCCTGGGAACGATGGCACGACGCTGCAAGCTGCGGAACCTCAAAGTCGCATCGCTGTGCGAAGCTCTGTATCTGTGCATGTTTATGCTGATAGAAATGATATTGTATACAACTGTAGATGGTGTGTATGTAGACATACATATATAGATATATAAATAGATATAGATGTACGATGGGTGCAGTGTGTATGAAACGTGTGCTTAAACGTTTGGAAAAAAGATGCAAAAAGTATATGTATAAATCACGGAAAATGCACATGGAGGAGAAGTTCATCATCCCCGTCACTTTCCCCGTGCTCACCCCCATGAGCAAGGACATCAGTACACTAGGCACCGGATCTTCGACAGTAGCATCCATCCCAACTAGGCACGTCGCACAACATGGCTCATGGCTCATGTTTAGCAAATCTGTTAACAACTAATGTTGGTAAAGCAGTAATAAACCATCCCCATTTTTACCACAAATGGGTGCTCTAAACCATCAAAACATGGGTGGTTTATGATCCAAAAACCCAACTTTCCCATGGCAAAGCCCCAACAGCCCAGCGGCTCGAGCAAGCGCTGCTCCCAGTGCGCCCTGGATTCCCCAGCACTTCGGGAGGCGCGCGACCAGCCACAGATCATGCCACTGACTGAGGCCTTGAAGAACTGGTGGTTACCCAACATGGCTTGCTGGAAGAAATTTCTTTATAGATTATAGTCCATAATAGAGGATTTTCCCACCAATAGACTATATTCATAAGGGATTTTCCATTGCCACGTTTGATTGCCAAAGGGTACAGTACCATTTCTGGCAACATTTCAATCCTTTTGTGGGAACTGGTGGATTCTTAGAACTTAGTCGAGAACAATTACCAGAAAATCCTAAAGATGATTGGACGGTAAAGATGCTCTACTTTCCCTCTGTGGATTTTCTGATCGAATCAAACCAGTATGTATGGCCAGACTTCGTATAACTGCGGGATGTCACCAATGAACATAGGGAGGTTAGACTCGGTTAGACCGTTGGACCTCCGTACCATGGGCCATGGGACCGATTGTCCTACTAATCCGTTGAGACCTGAATGATCCCAGAGCCCCCGCAGGTTTGATGGTTTCGAATGTGAATTTTGTAATATATTTCATTGGACAAACCCATGTCATCTTTGTTTCTAAACCCTCTGGATTTGGAATCCACCCAAGAATTGCCTCCTCATCCTCGGTCTGCCGGAACGTAACCGTGGGGCCTTCCCTCAGAGCGGGTAGCTGAAACGGGCTGGCGCCCCTCAGAGTCTGGAATTCCCAGTCCACATGCTGATGTTTACCAGACCTCTGACTTGCCACGTAGATCCCACCTTAGGACCTTCACTTTTCCATACTTTTCCCAATCCTACCTGCTTCGGTATGATGTGTGTCATGAGGATATTCGACCATGGCACATGTCAGGGATGATGATCCAATGGAATATTTGTACAATAACTCCCCACAAGTAGGTGGCATCGTTTCCACAAAACAGGAAGGCGGTGTGTTAATCGACATGCTGCTATTGCAGCCTAGTTTGGGCACAAATGGATGACCCAGACCCACAAAATCTGCCTAGGATCGATACAGCACCAGCATACTAAGGGGGTGGTCCAAAAATAGTGAAAATTCCAATTGCAAACGGTACCCCCATTTTGGTGAAAATCCGCAAAAGGCCCCTACATAGACAGATGTCACCATCCGATTGGCGTGGTAAAACGCTGGCTAAACCTGTGGTTGGAACTAGAATATCTGGTACTTTAAATATATAATAATATGTATATATATATATATATCCATCCATCCATCCATCCATCCATCCATCCATCCTCCGCTAGTGCTATCCCAAGAACGGATCATGGAAGAGCAAGTCTTTGGGCTGCAGATCGCCATGGATCCATCCTCGTTGGTGCACCTGCTTCAGATCGTCACGGATCTGGTCATACCCGGTTGGAATTGGGACCTTGAAAAGGAACAAACAGATTTTCAGAATATGAGGGTTTCCATAAATGGTGGTAACCCTAAATCATCCATGTTCATCAATGTTCATCGAATTGTCCATTAAAAACCAACTATTTTGGGGATGCCCCATTTTATGGAAACCCCATATTAGTAAAAGCATGGCATGTGGGGCATGGCCATCAATGGGAATTCTTACAGTAAGATACATCAATCCCAAAGAAACGGGGGATTCCCCTCACCTTTTATGGACTCACAGGACGCCAGAAACCGAACGCGCCTGATCCAAGACGTTCAAATAGAAGCAGGCCATGCGGTACACATCCACAGGAGTGCCTTCACCGGACGCACGCCATGCGTCCAGCGGCGGCTTCCATGTTTCAGGTTTTGGCGGATGTGTATTGATATGGGCCCTTGCTAGTTCTAGATTTTGGCCTTCCAAATCCCCCTATCACAAACACGTCTCCATTGACAAACCACAAAAATGGTCGCGCCTGAAAGGGTGGAATCCCCTGGTTGAATCAAAAAAACGGATCTATCCATCCTAACAAAGGCAATAGGTCAACAAAACAACACATGTTTTCAACCATCGTCCAGGTCATACTCCCCAGTCCAAACAGCCCATCCTAGCAGCATTCGCAACCCTTGGCTTGCCCGTGAGCGGCTACAGTAGTTGTATCAGCTGGGGGTGTTGTTAATTGTACTAATTACCCTATTGAAAAGTCTATCCAATACATTCACAAGCATAATCATCAAAGTTTTCCTTGTTACTTTTTTCAGCAACGGAGCCCACCCCTTGTTGTGAATGACCCTTCTCCCAGGGAAGGGCTACGCGGCCTGAGCGCTCTTGAAGGCTGGGAGCACTGTGGAAGTGCATCGCCAGGGCTCGAACGCCCAAATTTTCGAAGAAGAAGGGCTGACCGTAAAGCCTGGAACCAAACAAGGGATTTCAGGGGAACTCAAGGTACCAAATCCAGGTTCTAGATGGTTCTGGATGGTTTTGGTCCATTCTTGGAAAAACACCTGCAACTTTGGAATGAAACATGATGTTCCAAGAGTTTCCATAAAACCAATCCAGTAGAGTAAAGGAATAAGGCCCGGCAAGACAATGGTGTTCCTTCATTTAAGTTGGCATTAAATTTGTGGGTTCCACGTTGCAGTGGGTTTCAGAGCCGTTCCCTGGTGTGTTTCAACTGCTGCCTCGGGATGCCTGGCACTCCTTCCAGTTCCAATAAGGTCTGATACTCCTTTTCCACCCAACCTGGGAGCAACCAAAGAGACGAGTGCCTAGTGCCCCGGGACAAAAAACAAATAATGAGACTTGGATGCGTATAACCTTGAAGGTACCAGGTAGCACAATGGAATTTGCAGCATGTGCAACAAAGTACCTCGAAACAACTATGGAATGGGTGGAGCCAAATTCACAACTGGTCTGCGATGTTGGGATTCACAGAAAGACTACACAAACTACGAATTCGTCATACTTGTTCAGAATGCCGGAACCTACATTGTGCGTGTGATTTGTCCTAGAAAACTGGTCAAGTTCGCATAGAAATACCCCTTTGCCCGTTTGCACCAACCAATTCGGCCGTGTGGAGAATGATCTTTGCTCAGCAACCATCCAAGCTCGAATCGTAGGGAATCTTCAGCAGCACCCGCTGCTCCTATGGTTACACGAGAATAAAAGTGATTGCCATGGATTTTCCGCATGTGTTCATGATCTCAGTGTCCTAGTCATCGTCACTCATCCTCCTGTTTGTCATCATTAAGGAAAAATGTTTGATAATCCTCAAACAATCATGATGTTCATCATCCTCATCATCCTCATCATCCTCATCCTCATGATCGTCGTCGACATCACCGTCATCATCATAATAGTTAAAATAACGCTGATAAAACAGAAATGATGATAATTAACACTGACCGAAGGCAGTTTAGAAGTCAAACTTCCGATGTATGGACAGATGCAGCAACAGTTGTGGGAAGAGTCAGAGAAGAGCGGGTAAGTAGAAAGAAGATCAAAGTGCGAGAAAAGTCGCGAAAGATTGTATTTTTTCCGCCACTTTGCGGCCCCAGAAGAAGCGGCGGGTGCAGAGCTATGCGCCGGGATGAGAGATCAAAAGTTGCACGCGGTTGTGGCGCGAAGCGCGCGAAGCACGCTCCGAAGTCAAAATGTTGAGACACCTCAGTTCCGGAACACTCTTGGAAGTTGTGCTGCTCAAAAAGTGGCTGTGCCACGAAGCGCGTTCGAAGTCAAAATGGCAAAAACACGCCGTTCTCAGAGCACTTTTGGAAGTTGAGCCGTTGAAAAAGTGCCCGCAGCTGTGGCGCTAAGCACGCTTCGAAATCAGAATAGCAAAAACACCTCAGCTCCAGATCACTTCTTTTAGAAGTTGTGGTGCTCAAAAAGTGCAAGCGGCTGTGGCGCAGAGCACATTTCGAAGTCAAAATGTTGAAAACACCTCAGGACCGGACCACTTTTGGAAGTTGAGCTGTTGAAAACGCTGGAGCACTTTTAAACGTGAGGGTCTTGCAGCAGTTGCAAAAAGCGATGAAGGCGTGAAGCGTTTGAAGAGGATCTGCAAAGATGCATTTCGTGTGCCATCAGACATGTTCGGAGATCGAGGCGCTGATTTCGTGAGAGGGGTGACATTTCCGAGATGGAGAGCTTTAGATTTGCGAAGGTGATTTTTGCGCGAGAGGCGCAAGACTGTGTATAACCTGGCGTCACTTTTCGTGGCAGGAGATTTTTTTGACGCATGAGCAAACATGACAACATGCATCGGTACCAGGCCGCCAGCTTTGCAGTCAACTTTTTTTTGGAAGGAAGTCTCGCAGAATTGCTTCGTTTTTGACGTTGACAACTTCTAAAATTGAGGAAGTCTCTCACAATTTCGTCGTTTTGGAGCTGTGGTCTTTCTTTTTGAGGAGGTCTCGCAGAATTGCTTCGTCTTGTAGCTGCAGACTTCCACTTTGGAAGGAAGTCTCGCATAATATTTTCCTTTCAGGTGGATGGGCGGGTAGATGGATGGATGGATTGATGGATGGATAGGTGGATCAATAGATAGACAAAGAGATAGACAAAGAGATAGACAAAGAGATAGGGAAAGAGATAGACAAAAAAAAGACAAGGAGACAGACAAAGAGATACACAAAGAGATAGACAAAGGGATAAACAAAGAAATAGACATAGAGAAAGAGTAGGGATAGAGATAGAGATGGAGATAGAGAGATAGGTAGATATAGAGGGACAGATTGATAGATAGGTGGAGAGATAGAGAAAGAGAGAGATAGAGAGACAGGGAAAAAGAGAGATACAGAGATTGGGAGAGATTGACAAGGACATAGGTAAATGAATAGAGAACTAGATAGATAGTGGGAGAGATACAGAGAGATAGAGAGATAGATAGATGGGTGGATGGATGGATAGATAGATAGATAGATAGATAGGTAGGTAGACAGATAGACATATAGACAGATAGATAGAGAGACGGTTTGATCGGATATAGATAGATGGCTAGACAGATAGACAGATAGACAGATAGATAGATAGATAGATAGATAGAGAGGTAGATAGGTAGGTAGATAGATCGATAGATAGATAGATAGATAGATGGATGGATAGATAGGTAGCTAGAAAGCTAGATAGATAGATAGATAGAGAGAGAGAGAGAGATAGATAGATAGATAGGTAGACAGGTAGATAGGTAGATAGGTAGGTAGATAGGTAGATAGGTAGATAGGTAGATAGGTAGATATGTAGATATGTAGATATGTAGATAGATAGATAGATAGATAGATAGATAGATAGATATATAGTTTGCTTTAAGGTTTATTTGGGGTTGGATTAAGGTGTTCTTTATAGTCGGTTTAAGGTAGGTTGGTTTAGGGTTGATTTGGGGTTGGTTTAAGGTCTGATTAGAGCTGGTTTAGGGACTATGGAAATTTGGTTCAATTGTTTATTGAAACTTGTTCGGAAATTTATTTGAGGTTGTTTAGGGTTTAGTTAAAGTTGGTTGAACGGCTAATTCAAGTTGGTTTAGGGTCGATTTAGTGACGGTTCATTTTACGTTTTAAATTGGTTTACGGTTCGGTTTAGAATTGGTTTGGGGCTGGCTAGAGATCTATTTAGGGTTGATTTGTGGTTTATTGAGGGTTGGTTCAAAGTTTAGTGAAAGTTTATTTGATGGTTCTTTGCTGTTGGTTTCAGGTTGTATTTCAAATTTGTTGGTGCTTTACTAAGGGTCGGTTTATCTTTCCATTTAAGGTTGGTCAAGGGTTTTCTTTAGAGTTGGTTCAACAGTTATTTATGATTGCTTTAAAATTAATCTAAGCTTTGGTGCTGTTTTTTTTACTTTCTTTAAGGTTGGTCAAAGATTGGTTTAAAGTGCTATTTTCTGTTTAGTGCAAGTTAGTTTACAGTTTAAAGTTCTTTAGGGTTTGGATAAGCAAGGCTGGATTTGGGTTGCAGTTGGTTTAGAACTTTATTTATCTAGAGTTAGTTCAGGGTTGATTGTTTTTTCAAAGTTAGTTTGTAGTTTTTCCGACGGGGTGGCTCGAAGGTTGATCTCCGATTGGCTCAAACCTCTACTTATATATGGATATATATATATATATATGGTGGCCAGCTGGCTTGCTTGCTTGCTAGCTGGCTGGCTGGTTAGCTTGCTTGCTTGCATGCTTCCTTACTTGCTGGTTGGATGGCTTGGCTGACTTGCCTGCCTGACTTGCTTGCTTGCTTGCTTGCTTGCCTGCTGGCTTCATTGTGAAAGGATGATCGGAAAAAAAAACGGGGGAGGGGAGGGAAAAAAAATTACCGGGAAAACTAGTGCACCTAATGTATACAAATCCCCAAATGGCAGTTGTTTATGACATTGGGTTTACCACATTGATCTTTCCCTCACCTTCCCTTCCCAACTACCTCATCCAATGGATCCGCCATGCGCCGAAAGCGCGACCGCAAATTGCGCTGGTCCCGCGCGAAGAAGTTTGCCAGCCTGCGGGCATCTGCGGTTGCTGCTTTAACCGCGCTTGGCAATGGAAAAATCATGGGGGATTCGTGGGAAAATGTGCTTTTATGCATTTTCTAATAGAATTGTGTGGGATATCCATCTATCGTTGAATCTATTAAGATTCTTGATATATCTTTTCTGAACATAAAGCGTGCTTTTATTGGTTTTGCTGTTGAACATGTGTGCAAAACATGTTGGAAAGTTTCTTGATATGATTGTTGTTGATTTGAAAAAGCCATATTCAGGCTTGATCTCTGCCATGCGTGATGGTTCATCGTAGCATAGAAATATGTCACCCTCCGAGTGCTAGATGATGTTTGACCAAAAATGGTGGTTTTACTCTTCTGCATTGCATTATTTCCAGACAGTATACAATCATGAAACCATTGGAATGCCTGCATTTTGCCTTTCCAGGCCCAAAAAGTGAAAGCATATCTTCTGGTGCTACTTGGAAATGGCAGGTCGACTCATTTGCAATGATGGGACCCTACCAAACATGATTGGGGTGTGGTGATGGCTGAACCAACATCCAAACACCCATGTCTGGTAAAATGTGGGATGGTTTGGGATGGTTTGGGATGGTTTGGGATGGTTTGGGATGCTGTATTCTGCATTTTCCACATTTTCCACATGCACTACCTGCAATGGTGACAAACTGCAGTCTCACAGTTGAACGGGAGACGGGGGTCCCACATTCTGATCCCACAGCACCTTTGCCGCTCATCATCACTGCTGGCAACCACACACAAAAGCCGCACAGAGGACAAGCCTCGGCTGTGGACGTGGCCATCTTTTGAATATGGTAAACCCCAACGATAAAATCAGGTCTGGCTTGTCAAAATGGTAATTCGTGTGAAACACCTACTTATTGTAAAGCCTGAACACGCTTAAGAAACCTTCTTCCAACATCGCAAGGTTACAAAGCACTAAGATAAACACCCCCCACAAACCCTGATTTAGTACTGGATCTGTTCAGTGGCCTGTGTAGGGGAATGTTAAGTTGCTGGCATGAGTTGATTGTGCAACTAGTAGGATATGGGTCGTCCGTAGAATTACCATCAAAATCACCAAGTTATTTTCAACGATTTTGCATCTCATGCTGCCCATCTCTGGCAACAACTCATCATCCCCCCATCCCCCAAACCCCAACCCCCAGGCCACCCCTAGGCCCTCCATCCCCCATCCCCCACCCCCACTGGCGCCCAGTGGCTGTATCCGTGCACCTTCTGCACGGCCAGCTGCCTGGTGATCCACGTGCCACGCAAGCGCTGCGACTCCCGAGCCGCCACCGAGGCGCAACGCGGGATGGAGCTGGCGAAGGCCCAGAAGTCCTCGGCATGAAACGAAACCCACAGTGGGACCTTGGTACTTTTCATGGGAAGTTAATGTAAAGTTCATGGGAATTCAATGGGAATTGGGATTTTTAATGGGAAGTTATCGACTATGTAATATTCAATGGGATGTTGTTGGAGTTTAAAGGCATTTGACCTTTAAAACTGGCTCAAGCTTTGGAAATGGACCAACAAATGGGATATCACCTAACAAACCATTAAATAAACCATTTACAGTAGATCAAAGAAACCAAACTAAAGTTTATATTAGCCAAGAAAACTGATCAAGAATTGGGATATTGCCTAACAAAGTTGTGTTTGAATAAAGTCAATCTGGTGGGTTTACCACATCAAGATTGGTGTGTACCAGTAGTAGGGATATAATTGGGAATAAATATAGCTTACAATGGCTTACAATCTAATTATCAATTGCTCACTAACGAATCAAATTTGAATGGAAACAGCGGTTTCAAACCATCAACCATTGGGTTCCACCAGCAATATCTTCCAAAAAAAAAAGGTTTATGGGGCGTCAGTTCTGGATGGGGGTCCAAACAAAGGTTGTTACTACAATAGGAACTGGAGACTGATATTCGAATCCAAAGCCAGGATGGTCACTCCAAAAGAATAAAGACCTTAGTGATGAATGCACGTACCTTACCAATGAAGGAAAGGATGGTGATATCATGCAGGAAGCATCAAAAATCGATATTTTGGATCATGGGCTGAAGGGGGGCGAATATGGTGCATCATCCCAGTGCGATATGCCAGGGACATGCCAAGATCATGCCAAGTCCGCCACGGCCAAGTGTCTGCAAAGCACTCGCCTTCGATCTTGGCTCGCTGGAACTCCATGCAAGGCGCAAGGCCCGCACTGCTTGTCGAGATTGAGAACCCGTATACTGTTTTGAAACTCGCAAGCTCGGCTCCGAAATCAACAAAAACCGAATTTCGTCAGTAGCAGTCTACAAGAAAGTTCATCTATGGTGATTTGTTTTGTCCAAAGACTCTGGGATGAGTTAAGTCAGTTGCATCTCGTAGGGGGTTTGTAAGCAAACAGCAAGCAGAAACAGATGTATATATGGTCACATGTCAACTGCATCTAATTGCTCATGGATGCACTTCAGAAAGACCCAAGCCTCAAACGGCTGCAGATGAAGCTGGCGGAAGCATCATGAACAATCAGAATTGGGGAGGTCTCAAAATTCTGAAGCCCAAAGTCACGTGGAAAAACCCTGCTGCCATGTTTGGAGACCACCCAACTGGCGCCTGCTGGCCATGGCAAAGCGCGTCCAATGATTCCCATGAAAATAAATAGCCTCTGGTCCTCAAATATGGCAATGGAAATCCCCTATAACTGGAGGTTTTAATGGGAAATTTAGCCATGAATGGGGACAAAATCAGCCATCTAGAAGCCCAGAAGTGGTTTTCCTGCGAAAAAATCGGGGTTGCCCATTTCCAGGTTTGGTTTCTAGATTACTTCGCAGTTCAATCGCAAAACACACCCAGTGGTTACGGAGTAAGTAGTCGCAAACTCTCATGTTCCATCCATCATGGTTTAGCAGTATACCATAGTATACCCTTGCAGCTTTTGTCCAGACCATTTTTGAGACACCAAGCGATCCAGTTCTACGGCAAACATCCGGAAACTGAAGATGGAATATATCCGTGCTTTGCCATCAATTCACCAGCTACAAAGACTGGCACCCCCGATTTTCCCAAAACATGATCCCCTCATCTTGAAATGGCAGGGTGCATTGAGCGCTCACACTGCTGCCACTGTCGCGTTCCAGAGCCAAGATGCTGAAGGGGTCAAGGCGAAGATTTCTAGCTGTGGCTTCGGTGCATTTTGGTACCCTAGAATCACCAGAAAAATTACCTATGGTGAAGTGACTGGAAACCTATCAACCATGCTGTGCTCACTGGGTTCAGCAGTTGGAGCATTGGGCTGTGGCGGGCTATGTCTATCAGACTCAAGTACAGCGACACTAACGTACAAAGGTTTGCATTGAGACCCGATCGTGTGTGCATATATTAATATATATATATATACATAGATTGAAAGTGACATACACCATAATTATTTGGAAAGTTCACCTACCGATGTACGGGGTGTTTGGTCTTTCAACCATTGGCATCCATGAGTTGTGGAGCCTCCCTGCTAGAAACAGACAGTTCAGGCTCGAGAAAGGCATGGTTATGGTTCACCGGAAAGGAATGGCTCAATCGGATCATTTCAACCTTCAGCGTAGTATTCTATAAACAAATGTGTATATGCAATTATATACACATTTACACACATATAAATATTATTTAAAAAAAAAACGACGACAACAACAACAGATCTCCAAAGAGGTCCACTTCTTGTCCACCGGGCTCCTGCCACCCAGCAGTCCCCACACAGAGTTGACCGAGTCAAAGATCCTGAAGAAACCGGGGACATTCGGATGTTTCATCACCAGAAATGGGAAATGGTAGCCACCAGCGATGGGGGATTCTGAAAGGCAGAGATTCCGGATTTAAGAACCAGAAATTGGGATTAAATCGACAAAACGGAGAGATTAACCAGAAGAAACAGTCTCGTCAGCGAAAAGAAGGATGTACAGATCGCAGATGCAACCCACGTTTCTCGGGTAACAAATACATGCACCATGGAAGTGCTACGCTTTACCCCACAATGCATGGATGATTTAGGGGTTTACACGATCAGAATCAACCTTGAATCAACCCACTACTGTACCCTGTACCAGGCCTAGGTTGGAAAGCATCATCATCATCTCACCATGGTTGGGTCCCTGAGATTCATCATTCACCTACCATTCACCAAAAGTCAATGTAGTAAGTCCCAATGGTGCCATGATAGACCCGAATCATTCAAGGTCAAAAATATAAATAACATTCGATTGCAGTTTTATCATATGTTATGTTCACTACTACAAAAAGAAGTGTCATCAAATGTCTGGTTACTTCAAAAATACGCCCCATCTCCAAGTTTTCAAAAGCCATCCCCGCGCGACCCTTGGGCTCCCACAAGTCAGCAGCATCAGCGATCCCATCGCGCACGGCGCCCACAGCACCTGCTGATCGGAATGGGGACATGATGACGCTAGGGAAGCAATGTGCTTATAGGAATATTGAAAAATAGATGCATATGTATCTATCTATCTAATCTATCTAATCTAATCTAAACAATCTATCCATCCATCCATCCATCCATCTATCTATCTATCTATCTATGTAATGTTATGTAATGTTATGTAATGTTATGTAATGTTATGTAATGTTATGGAATGTTATGTAATGTTATGGAATGTTATGTAATGTTATGGAATGTTATGTAATGTTATGTAACGTAATGTAATGTCACGTAATGTTATGTCACGTAATGTTATGTAATGTTATGTAATGTTATGTAATGTTATGTAATGTTATGCAATGTTATGTAATGTCACGAAATGTTATGTAATGTTATGTAACGTTATGTAATGTAATGTAATGTTATGTAATGTTATGTAATGTTATGTAATGTTATGTAATGTTATGTAATGTTATGCAATGTTATGTAATGTCACGAAATGTTATGTAATGTTATGTAACGTTATGTAATGTAATGTAATGTTATGTAATGTCATGTAACGTTATGTAATGTTATGTAATGTTATGTAATGTTATGTTATGTAATGTTATGTTATGTACTGTAATCTAATGTAATGTAATGTCATGTGATGTGATGTAATGTATGTAATGTAATGTAATGTAATGTAAATGTAAATGTAAATGTAATGTAAATGTATGTATGCATATCATGTATGTATACATGTAAATGTGATTATGAGTGTTGTTATGTTTATTACCAATCATTTTTGCTATCATTGTTATCATTGTTATGATATGTTCATATCTTACTACAGTACCTGTATATTACAAATAATGTGATGTGTGTGTGTGTCTATCTATATATCAGAAACCATCTCTTCACGGGGTAAGCCAACCCTTCGCTTTCGAAAGATTAGAATCCCATGTTCAGCAAAGGTTGGCCAAAGATTATCAGCCCCCCACCTACAACCACATTACATTTAAGTCTATTTCACACCCTTTACATGACATTCTAGAACCCTACTTCAATCTGTTTGAGCCCATGTTTTTACTAGATCATGTTCATCTAGGAATATTGGATATTAGTTCGATAATGTTAGTTCTAACACCTCCAGCTTTCCAACTCTATCTATTTGAGGGTTGCTACCCCCACGGCCGCCTTTCTCCCTGAAGTCGTCCACGGTGTCGGCCACCGCATCGCCCACAAAGCCAACCATCTGTCATGGGGTCCATCTGAGAGTCACTTGGAGATCATCCCATTTCTGTGGATAGGTTGAGATGGTTTAAGGGAAGAAGACATGTTTCAAACATGCTTTGAAATCAGCAGAAAAATAAGACCTTTTATCCCTATTTCACGGGAAAATGCCCCCATTTTTCGTTCGGTCAAACTCGTCAAATTCCCGGCCATGTCCCAACTTTTGGTAAAGATCCTTTTTTTGTTGATTGCTTTAAAAAGGAAATCTACAGGAGAGTTGAAGTTTTACCTCCAAATCTAGGGGAGTCCTCCCCCAAACTTCTCCAAAAACGGCGCCTCGTTCACCAGGCCTGCCACTCCAGTGGGAACCTCTTCGGCCTCTATGGGCGGCATGTAGTTCCCAAAACCTCCCAGGTCACGGCAGGGTTGGGAAGGAATTAAAATGTTTTTTCCATATTTGGGTATGGATCAATACCTATTAATACCATTTTTAGGGGACTGAACATCCATTTACCAGCTATTTTGATGTTCACCAGGGGTACAAGGTTTTGACACACTGCCATTTTATTTTTTTTGAGTCTGGAAAATGAAATTGCTGACAAAATGGTTGCTGAAATGTCCTGAAATATCCGAGCTGGCGATTCATGAGCAAAAAATCTGGCGATATGGTTCCTGATGGTTCTGAGAACATGGACACTGAACAACCAAACAGAACAGGAAGAAATCTGGACGTCAAAATGAACGTGGGAAGTTTCTCCCAAACCCAAACAGAACTCCGTCAAAGTCCATTTCGCCAGACATGCATCCTATGGTGACCATCAAAGCCATGCCAAAAGCCCACTGATGTCACCGGTTGTAAGTTATAGGAATAATTGTCATCATTTCCGGATCATATCCAATCTCCCAATCTTTGCTGGTGAAATCGCTCATCTGCCAGATCTTCAAGCCTTCGCAGCGAGCACGAACGCTCTCCTGGGATGGGTAAGGCAGTTAAGGGCCCTGGAGGCGTGGATGTTGTCATCCATTGTTCACTTAACTTCTCTATCTAACTTATCTACATATGTACATGTATACATATGGATATATTATATGTATGGGTATTCGATTTCCATATCTACATATACAATGTATGTTATGTATATAATTACATATATATATATATACGTATATACGTGTCAGGTCTCTTTCTGCTTACAAGAAGGCTGAATTTGACCAGCTAAAGATGGCCCCACTTTACAATTGTCATTTTGGGACACCAGTCCCCCCATCTCAGATCCCAGCCTTCTCCAAAAAGCTTTCCGTGGAAGATACCACAGCCCTGGCGAGCAAAGGAACATAGCAGCTTTTGGAACCAAAGTGAAGTGTGCCCCGAAACTTTGCTTGCAGTATTTAGATGTATTTAGAAAGGACATCTATGATCATCTATAATAATCTGTAATAATCTATAAATATCTATTTAAAATACACAAGTATACATATATACATATATACATATATGTAAATGGGAATTTATATACATATATATATATATACATAATTATATATATTATATATACATATATAATAATCTACCGTAATCTATATTTGTTTGGTGGGTCCACCCTCAGGTTTGAGCCTCAACGCTCGGTCCGCCGCGATTCTGTAGATCTTATCCTCTTCCCTGGGCCATGGCCATGGTTTGCCAAGATGACTACTGAAAGATCTCGCCAATATTTTTGGCATCATTGGTCCTAACATTATCATATTTTATACTAGCCAGAGGCCAGGATTTTGGATTGGAATTGTTTCGTGCTTTTTTCCTGTTTTTTTCCTGTTCCGTTTTCTTGTTTATTTCCTGTTTTTTTTCATGTTCCTTTCACTGTTTCTGGAAAATGTTTTTTTGTGTTGCCTTTGTTTTCTTCTAGTTGCCATGCCTTGTCTGATGTGTTGCCACATTTCTCCAACCCGGGTTTTTCCAATATTGCGACTAGTGTCTGCAAAGCATTCTTGCAAGAGTACGGGACATTCGATTTCGGGGCCTCTGGTCCAAACAGGACCCCTACGCGGAAAGCGAACAGGAAAACGCAGGAAAAGAACATGACCCAACGCAGAAGGGAAAGCGAATACGAAAAAAAGCAGGAAAAAAACAGGAAAACGGAACAAGAAAAAAACAGGTAAAAAACAGGACCTCTTCAGAGCAGCCCCAAACAACCACTGAAATTTGTAAAAACGAGAAAAACCTTGACTTGTTGCTGTTTTTCACCTATTGTTTACCTGTTGTTTACCTGTTTGGTTCCCGTTGTTTTCCTGTTGTTTTCCTGTTTTTTCCTTTTTTTCCCTGTTTTTTCCTGTTCTTTTCCTGTTTTTTCTCCTGTTGTTTTTGTTGTTCTTTTCTCCTCTTCCTAGGGCCTGCTGCTTCTGTGCCAGGCGTCCTTGGCGATCCAAATCTTTGATGCAATTTCTTGTGGCCCTGGGAAATTGGATCTATGTGTAAAAAGAATGGAATTCAATTCTTGCCCCAAGTGATCCCTATCCTGCTGGAACTAAGAGATAGTGAAGAGGCAAAAACAAAACAAGCAAAAACAAGAAAAGCACAATGAAACAAAAAACACTGACAAAAACCAACAAACTAAAGAAAAGCAGCAACATTTAAAAAAAAAAATGCAAAAAGAAAACATGAAAAAAACATGAAAAACATGCAAAATCGGAACACGAACAAAACAGGTTAAAAACAGCAAACAATAGCAATTGTTCACACATCCTCTGTGGCTCAGAAAATCTCATAATCCTAACATCTAACAAACACTAGGAACATATCCAAATATGCGATGCCGGTCTCAAAAATTTTAAGCAATCCCGGATTCTTAAGCATGTCCCTGGAACATGTCTCCGCGAAATGCCTAGTCTACCGTCCAAATCCTAGATGTCCCTACAATATTGTCATTGTTGTTCCCTCGACCATGCAGTAACCGCACGCATACTTGTTCTGATGTGCACGCGTTTACAGCGTTTTGTGTGCGTGAGTTTCTCTTATGGAATTTTTGGATGTGCTTTCAGTTTCCGAGTCTTTGTTGTGGTTTCTGTCGGTTTGTAGGGTTGGGTGGGGTAACATGGGTTTGGAGTGGGACTGGGGTGGGGCTGGCAGGGGTGGGGTGGGGTGAGCTAATAACGTTCAAGCTGAGTGCATCCACACACATTGCATCTCTAGATACCTTCGTTATTGTTTGAAGCACAACGTTGTACATAGTGGCTGCTATGCTGCCCATACGCTAGGGATCGTCTGAAGTACATATGGATGTGCTGACGACCAGAAGGTTGCTTCAGCGCCCAGGCTTAAAACATCTTAAAACTTACCTGCCTGGAAGCACCAGCTGTGTATAGAAAGGAGCGTTGTGCCAAACTAAGCCACGTTCCAGAGGATATCTATGACATTCAGAAAGACAACGCGTGGCTGTGAATCAGAGGTGAGGAACCTTGTGCTCAGTGAGAAATTTGCATCATTCAAAGGCAATTCTAGGGTAATTGGCAACACAGTCGGCGTGTGGTTACGCCATGGTCGACCGTTGTTGGCCTGGTCACACCAAGTTTTCACTAGCCCAGTTGTGGTTGGTCATGAATGGGGTATGATCCCCAGATCCTCCATCTTATGAACTAAATGGATCATCACGTTGCTAGATGGGATTATAATCCCCTCTGGTACCAAAATAATCCCTTCGAAACCAAGTTACTCACCATGACTTCCGACTGAGAAACTCAAACTCATCAAATACTGGAGTTATCATTGTCATCATTCCAAAATTGGTTCAGAAACCAGAAATCCTTTCCAAAATCAAACAAAGGGAGAACCTCAGCTTGCGTGTTGCAGTAACAGGTTTTAAGCAAAAGCAAGAAAAAAACATACATCATCATATCATCTATCATATCATGCGCATATTATATCATATTTTTGTTGGGTACACATCCCATTAAAATCACCGAAACCCATTAAATCAAATCCCATTAATTCCCGTCAAAATTGTCTAATTTTGGATGATTTGTGGGTACCCCACTTTGGGAATCACATCATATCATATTCTGGTTGGGTAAATCTCAATGAAGAATCACCTTAAAAGCGAAAAAAATAATCCCATTCAAAATCATCATATCTATCATGATCATGATCGTCATGATCACCACTAAAAATCCCAATGGAATCCTATGGAAAATCACCACGAAAATCACCATGAAACCCTAAGCTCCGCTGCTGCGCCTCTCCAAGCTTTGCGCCTGTGGCAACAGCGGCGGCCTTGCCAAGCGCGCCAAGTGTTCCAAGGCCTGGGGAAAATCCCACGAAATCCATGGGTTTTGAATGAGAAAATCATCGATAAATTATGGTTTGAATGGGAAGATCATCCTATAAATCATAGATGATCTGGTAAGATAACAGTTTGCTATGGAAAATCACCGTTTGTTTAGGGAAAACATGTGTGTCTTCGGGCCACTTGTCCATTGCTATCTTAATTTACCAGAGGATAATGATGGATAATAGCTAAAATGTGGCTGCTGATCATTTTTGTAAAATTGAGTTGGCGCTATTAGCAGTATATAGATGAGTTGATTTTGGAAGAGCCCCAGCTGGAGTTGAACATCGTCTTTTGGCAGATCATATCAGAATCTACGGGAACCATGTCCGCCAAAAGTGAGTTGGGATGAAGTTGTGCCCCAAGAAGTAGAAAAGGTGCCCATCCCCGGAATCCCCGGAATCCCCGGGATCCCCGGGATCCCCGGGGTCGCCCCAAGCACCTCGTCACAGCGGATCATGTAGGCGCGAAAGTCGAAGACCTCTTCCGCCAAATGCCGCACCACCAAGCAGCCCTGGCACCGATGCTGCTGGGATGTCCTAAATCATGCACGAAGATCTGGAAGTAAAATCTGCATCAAAGGCAATCATTGGTGACTCCCCCTTCAGCACGAACTGCGACAATCCAGACTGACAAGCCCGCGTGAACTGCAATTGTAGCAACAGAGAAAAAGGATTAAAAAGGTATGACTTGGCGTGTGGTAACTATCTCCCGCCAGATATGTTCAGACGAACACTTCCTACAAAAGGTGGAGGCTGTCACACCCCTCGACAAGCTCCCTCCGCCTTCAGCGAGACCATCCATTGGTGGCTGAGGACCGACCTGCTCAAGGCCCAAGAGTCCAAGAGGGATGAGGATCCCACATGGGGGGCATCTGCATCATGTTGGAACCCACAAGTCAGGCGTAATATATATATACATATATATTTATATATCAAATACTTCCATCAACAAATGTCTGACTAGAGGGTCGGTCTTCCACACCACCCAAAAAATATTGAAATTGGTCACCTGTGATAAGGCTTCTGGCTCAGTCATCTGTGACGCAGGGGGATGCCATCCTGAGCGCCTCATGCAGTGCTCCGCGACATCAGGAACATGTTCTGGATACTGCTCCACATCTGTACAAATCTCCTGCGGTCCGAAAAGCATCACAAAAGTGCAGGGCGGGATGATTTTCCACTGAAAACATCTAAAAACTAGTGAAACCCCCAACCTTTTTGAACATCCCAAAAGGTACAGTATTCCCCAAAACCACACAACTCCTCATGGGGGCCCGCCTTGAAGAGCCAACCCGGCACTGGCTTGTCCACAGCATTGGTCGCCTCGAAGAGGTTCTCCCAATTCATGGCGGACGCTCCGGGACGCTCCGGGACGCTGGGAGCTGGGATCAGTGAGAAGATGAATTCAGGGGCTGGGGTGTCAGCGGTGTCAGGGCTGCGAGGTTCAGATGCTGGGCGTGGCTTTGAGGCAAACAAACTGCAACAAGACGGGCTCAGATCATATCCTCTTTTGAGGCACATCTGTCTCCTGCTGATGCTTGAGGAATATTTGAGGGTTGGAATTGAACCATCCAGTGCGGCTTAAACAGAGCTCTACATCTGGCTTGCGTGACGCACTCCTAGACGGTGTTTCTGTATCTCTGAGCCAGCAATCAGCAGTTGCACAAATATGGCAATGTTTCAATGCAGAACCAGGGGCATTATGGGTTCATCTCCCAAACTTCAACCCTAGATGTTCGAATTTTGCTTCAGGATCATGCATCTTCCTTTTGTTGGTTATAGCTTGAAACTGGTCAGAAATGTTCATTCTTGCACTTTGTTGAAGCCATGATCCTCTTGGTGTCGTTCGAGGTTCTAGGCCTGCCTTGATCCACGACAGTGGAGGGGTGAACATGTCACAGTTGTTCTGAGATTCACAAGGTTCTGTAGTGCTGCAGATACTGTCCATGTACATCCCACCCATGAAGATCACAGATCATGGGTATCAAAACCTCTACCAATGGGGTGAACTGACCATCTTGCATGGTACCATGTACTGAGTGACACACTCGGACCGCCATCAGCTTTTGGTACACCGAAACCGTTAACCATAGCCATAGTAACTAGTATCAATTGTCTGAAGAAACATGAAGAAACTGCCGTTCAAATATTGATGTGTCTTACATAAATTTGCAGGAATAACAACATTGACATTCCATAGTGTAACAATGTCCAAAACACAATGTGCTTGTTTTTTCTTGCCACGAAATACCTGAGGTGTGTGCATATGTGTGTGCAGTTTCTCAACCCACTGGCCCTGGCCGATTTTCCATCCACTTCCTCTCGTGGGCGGTCGCACGACAGAAACCCGACCGAAGCGCTGCCGGACACTGGTCTGTCCGCCGTCTCCTGTAGCACGGGAAGACCTGTCTCTACATGAAGTAGCTGTGTCTTTGACCCCACCCGTAGACTGCCAGGGATGACTCTCTGAAAAGTTTGAATTGTTGACCAGTGTTGGTAGTGGAGATTTGTGTACTAAAAAGGCCGCTTGAATCAGCCAAAGCTGTAGTTTAAGGTCCATGGTTCCCAGGGCCAAGAAAAATGTATCAGACCACCCCCATTGTCTCCTGACTGGGCGCCACCGCCAGGGTCACGCGAGTGCCAATGGCTGAAAAGAAACCACCTCGGTCTAGCGGAGGAATGACCATGATCGACCCACGGCTGGGCTTTCCCCGAACTGGATTCAATTCACCGCACAAATCTGCAATTCCTCAGACTTGCCCAGGCGCTGACACAAATGAGTGTAAAAATTAAACACAAAAAAGTTAAGCCCTTTACTGGAAATGACCAGCCAATCTGTGGTACCCTCTGATGGCAAAGGCACTGAGTGCTCCCTTCAAGTCATCGACATAGTCAACACTCGAATCGCCTCAAGGTCAACGATCTCATCTGAAAATTCAAAAAGGATCAGAACCGTCAGAGCAAACTGTTTCTTGACTTGTGTTAGGCTTTGGGATGCAACCCAGACTGCCACAGGACTCTCGGATTGGGTTTCAAAGAGGTCCCTTGAGGTTGCTGGGCGCCCATGGAACCTGATATGGAACAAATCCAGTGCTAAATCAGGGTTTCTGGGGCGGTGTTTATCATCTGGGGGGGGAAGGACTCCATGGTTTTTGAAGCAAGATATCTAGTTTCTACTCATGTATGAGGAAGGGGACAGAAATACAACACGTCTACCAACCTTGTTTTGCTGGTTGGAGCCTACTGAGCAACATCTTGGCTTCCAAACATAGGGCAAGTGTCATATTGTTGCACATCACCATCCAACACTCCAAAGATTCAACGGAATCCTCACTCCAGTACGGACAACCCAAGTTGTATTCTTAAGCACTTCCTAACTACAATGTTCACCCAATCCAAGATGGATGGTTGTACATGTTTACATATGCAAAGAGATATATATACAATATACATATATACACACCCATATCATCATATAATATCTGTGTATCTTTGTATGTTTGTATGCATGTATGTAGAAATGGATTCCAGCATATTCCAGCAACAAGGTCGCTGACTCATGTGGCCTTCCCTTACCCGGCCTGGCGAGCCCTCGACGCGATCGCGACCCTTCTGCTTCCCTGAGGAATTTTGGGATCATCTTGGGATCTGTTCTTGTGGGAATTTTGTTGGCTGAGTTTGATACTATAGCATGTATTCCATGTGAATATGTATCTATGTGTACATCTACATCTACATGTACATGTACATATACATATCCATATACAAATACATATGCATGTACATATACATATAAACATATACATATAAACGTATACATATACTTATATATATACTTATATATATACTTATATATATATACATGTATGTATATATATATATGTATATATATATATGTATATATATATGTATATATATATATCCTATACACAATAACTATCTATGTGCATATATATATATGTATGTGTATATATATATATGCGTAAACTATATATAAAATATAATATAATAATATATATATATGGTGATCATGCGTCCAAAAAGGAACCACCAGCGGCACCTGCGATGTGGCTTTTGCCCTCCAGCAATGAGGATGAGGCAGACCCACCTTTGCCTGGAGCTGGGCCAGATGGGGTAGCTACCATCAACCAAAAATTATGTAAGGAGGATTTTTATCAACCAAAAACGAGTTGATGTTCACCAGTCAAACAAAGTTGCGGATTCCAATTGGATTCCAATTTAGTCAACTTGGAGATTGAAGCAACACAAATTGAGAATTTAATCACCAAGAAAAGGCTGTTTGTGACCAAGCCATCCAACTTTGTGGGTCAGCTCTCTTCCTACCACAGTCGCAAAGGGATCATGGAAGGCCAATGAAAATCTCCCAGACCCAGAAAGTGGTTGGTTTTTCAGGCAGGTTTCGAATGAGCTCCATGTACATACCCATCATGTCATCTGCTTAAAGGCTTAGCTTTTGGACCTTGGAAAAACAATCCTGGCCATACTAAGCTCCAGGCTGCGGGTCTGTTCCTCGATTTCCTCCACCAGCTGCTCAACAATACTTTCACCTCAGCCAATGTCACGAGTTGAAGACAAACCCGTCCCTGGGGTCCCTTGTCACTCGTGAGATTGAGCGATCTCTATATCTCTATCTATCTATCTATCTATCTATTTATTATACATATGTAATTAAATAGATATGTTGCCTTTGCATCTTGCCACCTGGAGCCCGGGTGCTCGGGTGCTCCGGGCACTTGGCCAACTCGCTTCGGAGGGTGGCCATTTCGCGTTCCAGCCGCTTTCTCTGAGCACCTGGGGAGCTGCCAGGCTGGCCAGGGCAAGTGCTGGAAATCATAGGATATGCATTTACATATGTATGTATATATATATATATATTATGTATATACAACCTGCTGTTTTGTGGGTGAACTCAACAAATAATGAAGTGCTGGCGTTTTCCCATTGATGGTTCGTTCACGAGTATCTTGATTGCCTGGCGGCTTGGGTTGGCACTTTGGTTCTCACGACCTTAGGTACCACGGTATCCCTACAATTTCAATCCACCAACCCAAGCCACTAATCCCACTCCCAAAGCTTAAACATCCCCTTAATGGTTCCAAATATGTGTATATCTATATATATATATATGTATATAGACAGTGTCAATGTGTGTGTATATATATATATACATATATATGTATTTACATAGGTATACAGTATCTGAATATGCATGTAAATCCCCTACAAAGCCATGGTTTCTGAGGGTACTTGGATTCACCATCGATGTGTCCCTTGGCGGAGCTGAGTTACGCTCCAAGCGCAGCTCTCTGCGCCAGTTGCGCCGGTCCTCGGCACCAGCTCCGGTGCCGCTGGAAGCGGCGAGGGCGGACCTGGGAGAACAGCCACGCAGCAAATAATAGTAGTGCTATATATATATATTACTGTATTACTATTATTACAGTATATATGATTATATGATTATATATTTTAGTACTGAACGTAAGTACTACATTTAAGCCACCATAATATTCAATCGGCTAATATGACTGGTACTAAATTAGTAGTACGAATTATTGATGATGATAATCATAACAATTGATGACAATAGCAACATTAAAGTAACAATAAGAATAAACCCAGCGCCTGGCGCGGTTCCACAGCTCGCTTCCGCCTGGCATTAAATCCCTCAATTTCTGGAGCCCAAAACATATTGTGACATATCCGATATATCACATATCCATGAAATATCCCCACAACCTTCTACCCCGAAGATTCCTGGCAGGTAATAATCTTCCCCATTTATTTTTGTTGAAACCCCAGCTACAGCTGGTCGAAACCTTTCTTTATTGGATACCTCTGAGCCACCCAATCGTCGTCGCACCTGCTGGGTCGTTGCCACTGGGACTGGTCTCCTGATGGTTGACATCTGAGGCTTGTGACTGTCACCGCCGGCCGAAAGAAACTATCAACCAATCCGACCGAACAGGACACCAAAGCTCATCAAGATTCTCTCCCAAAATTTCAAGACATGGCCGGAAAAACCACCTTTTGTCTGATCCAACCCTGTCCCGGGCTCCTGCAGGTATCCCTTCGCCACACTGCGGGCTTCCTGGGCATCCATTTTCACCGACTTCCGCGTGGGGGTGCTGCCAGGCATGGCTTGGATGAAGTCCCGCGCCGCCTCCGCACCTGTCAGCTGGATCACCATGTTGGATAAATCATTCATCAATAGGCCATGTTCCATAGCTATGTTGAAATACCATATTATGGTAGGTCAATTTCAGAGCAGTGGTGATATTCCATTGAATTTCCATTGTAAGCTTTGTTTGCCAGGTATCCCATTCGAGAGCGATATATATATATATATACAGTATATATACATATGTATACCTTGTATACATTTTATATACTTACCATGGCTTGATGGACAGTTACACATGTATGTATCTAGATATATATATATATATGTATATACCAACTCTGTGATTGTTGGTTGAATGCCCCTTTTTGTTGGTTGTAACAATCTGTTGTCAGTTCCTCAAGGACCATCCTCAGCACGGACACCTCCTTCACGCAGCACATTGCGGTCGCGGTCTTCGTCGTTCAGCGCACAGGTTTGCTCCATCTCAGTGCGCTCAGGGGGAGGAGAAGGGCCTTTCTGGTGGGCTGGCTTCAACCAGTTTCAACCAATGGCCGGTGCTTTGGATCATGGGTTTTTGGATTGGCGGTTTGGATTTTGCGTTGTGCCACGGTGGCTTTCCATTTGGGTTTCCATGAGATGGAAGTTATGACCACATATGTAGTGTCCTTTCTCTTGCTGCTGGAACCAGCAACCAGCCATGACCATGTCGGGTTTGAGGCCGGAACCTGGGTTTCACCCAAATGTCATGGTCGGGGTTTCCAAACAAATATCTTGGGTACCTGGATATGGTATGGCAACGTGGGAAACCGTTTCGAGACCGATAGATTTGCTTAGCGGATGAAAATGTTTTTGGCTGGGTTTCCGTTCATGTTTGGGTCTTTTCCGTGGATTGTTGTATCCTAGAAAGTCAACCCTGGATTAATTAATAAACCTCAAGGCTGTTTAATTGAGGGGTTAGCATTTAAGTGTCAGATTATCATTATTTGGAGGGTACCCCCATAATGAATAAACCATGATTTTTAATCCAGGGCATTAAGCACTTTGTATGATTTCCTTGCCTATTTTTTGGGCTATCCCCACCTGCTTGTTTCCAACTTGAACATAACTCTGCCAGAAAAACAGTGACCTGTACCAGATTGTCACTATTGTAGAAGAGGTTCTCCTAACTGTGTCCGCGCTAATTCCTGAGGTTCGTAATATTTAGATGCTGTGAAACTTGGGCATACTCTCAGTTGTCAGGGGTTGTAGCCTGGTTTCTCACCATCCAGTGGCGGCAATGTTCGAAACCGAAGCACAGTTTCTACTCGCGCACGCAGCGCGGCATTTTCCTGTGCCAGGACATGTCACCACATGGCAACGGGGGAAATCAAGCAATAAGGACAGTGCCGAATTGGCATTTGGATAAATATGAATTAGTGAGATGTTAACCAACAAAACTAGATCTCATTAGAACAGAAAGAGAGAGAGAGGGAGAGAGGCGAGAGGGGGAAAAAACCATGGATGTGTGGACATGTTGTTTCCCAACAATGTTGGGAAATTCATGGTCGTTTGGTCAATATGGTTATGGGTCTCTGGCTCTTGACACGGTAACAACATGAGTACAAACCATGCAGACTTCGCTAAAACATTTTGAACCTAAAGAATTCGCAAGGCAAAGAAACCTCATTTCTTGGGGGTAAAATACCATGATTAGCGCCTAGCGTTTAGCATTGGGTTGATAACCCTATTGGCATTTACAACCCCATTTTACACTAGGTCAGGAATCGGAAAATGGCTGCTCGAGAGGTCCCGTGTCATATGCCCAGTCATTGCAACCACCTGGGGATTTGGACCCGCGACACAAACTTTCCACCTCTGTCAATTGCTGTAGGCGTTCCTCCCACCCTTGCGATGGCCCTTGCGTCCTTGGCAGGGTTACAACTAGACGTCCGTTCCAGGTGGGCCAGGTACTGGGATGAGGCTTGGAGCTTATATAGCACTGTGCGCGCATATACATCTATCTATATGTGCATGTATATGTAACAATGTAACATTTACATGTGTAGTATACAGTATTAATTTAAAGTTTCTCCCAAAGTACTTGGCCTTTCCTTGATTTTCTCCGAGGGCCAATACTTTAGCACTAGAGTTGAAATCGATGTCCGAAGAATGGTGGCTTTCAAACCCATAACGACGCCAGGACAGCTACGCAAAAAGTAGGGTTGAAAGACACTTCAGCGGACAAGACATCGCGTATACCATGAACTTAAAGCACATCTCTCCAGAAGAATACGAAATGTCAAATGAATGAAATACATGTAATGTTGGTAAAGCAACAATAAACCACCCATATGTTGATGGTTTATACAACCCATTTGTGGGAAAATTGGAGATGGTTTATTATTGTTTTACCAACATTGCACATTATACACATGTTGCGTCATCTCCCTTATCCCCCGTGCCAACTGGGTACCCAATTCCACCATTACCATCACCCTGGTGCTAACAAGCGACGCCGTGCTTTCAACCTGCGCCAGTTCCCGTCCAAAATGAGGTACACTCCAATCTGACCATATTTTATCGTGGAGAAGATCCAAACAACTGTGCCAATTTCATGGCGAAAAAAAAGGAAACATCATCTGCCAGTTTCATGAGGAAACAAAATCATCATCAACCATAGATATCCCTGATTTGGTTATGGGTCAAAACCCTGGTACCCTAAGGTACCCTAAAATAGCTGGTCAATGGATGGTTATTCCCCAAAAAATGGCAATAGGTTTTGACCCACCCCCTTTTCCCACGGCACCTGCCATTCCCTCGGAAGCGACGCCCGCCGCTGTGTCGGGTCCGCATTGCCCACGCCCCGCTCTGCAGCGTCAGTGGAGGTGCGCACTCGCCGCACACTGGGCTGGCTGGGCTGGCTGGGCTGGCTGGGCTGGCTGGGCTGGCTGGGCTGGAGCGGCCCCTCACGGATGGCCTCTGAAGGCGGTTAATTTTTCAACGAAAAGGCGGAGATTCGCGAGCCAAAACCCGTTGCTTGACAAACCAATAGGGGTAGATCACCCACAAACCCACTGATTTTTGGGGAAGTTCGCATGTCCAACAAAATCATCGTCAGAGAGATGCAAAGGTAAAGGATGGTAAAAGGGAAGGACTAGCAAGAACACCTCCACAAAGATGGCGATTCCAATTTCAATGCTCTCATGGAGGATAAAGATTTGCATGGGATTCAACAAGTGGAGTTTCGGAGTGGTGAGAGCCACTGAATTGTCAAAGTAAATCAGGGGATTCTCCCTCAAGTTTTCATGGCAGGTAGGATCATCTATGCACATCGTCATGGGCCTGACACTCCAATGAACAAGGATACAGTAAGTAGATGTGTACAGTATCTTATGATGTTCGACCTATTGGGGCTCACCCATCTGGGTAGCCTTGGTAAGGACTGCCATGCGGTTGTTGATGAGGTCGTTGTGCTCAAACCTGAGGCTCCGGCAAGGTTTGAGGGCCGAAATGATGGTCATACTGAGGTGGTCATCCAACTTCGGAATACATCTGGAAATCCATCTGTTCAGCCTTTTCCAACAGGATAAGCTCTTTTGCAACTTCGGAATACATCTGGAAATCCATCTGTTCAGCCTTTTCCAACAGGATAAGCTCTTTTGCAACGGATATTTGTTTTACATTTCTTTACCATACGATCCACTTGATACATCACTTACCAGGTTTGACTGGTCATCCAAGTCTCACCCCTTCCCGCCGCAGAGATTTTTTTGACGCTTCGCTTCGCGGCCGGCATCCTCGTCACAGTCACCCTCCTCCGCCTCGTAGGACTCGTAGTAGGTCGTCTCGTAGGTCGAATACCTTTGTGGCAAAATAGTGTCATGGTTTTGGCCAAAAAATTGGGTGAACCAGAGATTTCTCATGATTTCTTGTGATGTCTCATGATTTCTCATGTCCAACACCTCTGATTTTGACAATTTTCTGACCATCTTCTGAAGAATCTGAGCAGCCCAAAGACCTCCATCGATTTGGCCAAGTTGCTCTGGACAGTAGTCCTCTGAATCGGAGATGCCGGCCTCTTTCCTACAACGACCGGTGCAACGTGTGGTGAAGGGTATGATTTGTTGGCTGTGCAGTCCCAAAAGATTTGGAAATGTGGAAACAGTACTCTGACTTCTTTTCAATGGATTGCTACACAGCACTTCAAGGAAAATGCCCTTGGTTATCTAGAAACACCCAGATATATACAGCAAATTCAGACGAATTCGATGACCAAGCTGAGATACCCAGCATCTCCACTTCCCTGCGATCCCTCGGGGTGTGCCTCTTGCTTCGGAGGATCCAATCGAATTGCCAGTCAAAATCCACGCGGTGACGGGCGCCGGCCTGATCGGTGGGGAGATGGCCCCAGCGAAGCGAGCTGGGATTTCAAAAGGATGGATACATCTTCATTACTCCAATCAATTCACTACT